GATTCCAATTTTTGTCTTTTTAAAGTCCCACTAAAGTTTTGAGAGCCCAAAATGTGTCCACATATTGTTGGCAAAAAATAACTTAAATTGTACAATGATGTGAAAGGGGATGTCATTTAACAAACACTTCTGCAAGGATTTTCAAAACAAATGTGTTTAAAGACGAATATTCTTATTGATGACAGAATGCCATACTCTTTGGTTTTATTACTGTTGTACGCAGAAAAACAAAATGTTGTATTCTTTCATCAACATTCGTCTCCAAACACATTTGTTTTGAAAATCCTTGAAGAAGTTTGTCCTGAATGACACTCCTCTTTCACATCATTATACAGTTTAGGCGAAATGTTCCCATAAAAAAATTGAGCTCTCATTATTTAAGAGAGGCTTTAAAATGCTGTATATGCATTAATAACGATTTATACTATTGTTGTCATAATTATTATATATATATATTTTGTTTGTTTATTATTATTATCATTTTTATTATTGTTAATGTTATCGGTATTATTATTATTCAATTTTTACTATCGTTATAATACAATTATCAATAGTAGTAGTAGTAGTAGTAGTAGTAGTAGTAGTAGTAGAAGTAGTAGTAGAAGTAGTAATATTAGTAGTAGTAGTAGCAGTAGCAGTAGTAGTATGGTTGTTGTTGTTTTTGTTGTTATTATTATTATTTTGTTCAGCATCGTCGTCGGTGTTGCTGTTACTTTTATCACTTTCATTTTTATTGCCATTATGAATCAATGAATGATATGAAATCCATAAAATCAACGATTGTGCATTTACACAATTCGTTTTGAAGAATTAAAAAATACATATTCCTAAAATATGGTTCAATTTTTTTCTTCGCAGAGGTTCGTTTGTACTGGAGAGAGGCGTACTATGACTTAATAGAATCGGTGCTATTAGACGGGAGTGATCGTATACGACACACATATACATCATCGATTGTTAATATTAATCCGTTTAGTATGGCACTCAGAGGATCTGACGATGATATCTATCTCGCTGATACTGGAAACGATCATATTTCTGTACTCGATCGGTCGCAAGGCACACTCGAAATTGTTGCTTCTTTTCGATCTCCTGTTGGAATTGTGATTAATCAAGGTGATGATTATGGGCCAATTCGTTTTATAAGATTACTCTAATTATGATCTGTTCAAAAGAAGATCGCTAGTAACAATTGGCCGCTTCGTTGCCGTCATACTTTTCAAATGCTTTGTATGCTGCTTTTTTATAGTTTTAAAAAAAATACTTTCACCTTCCTCACAGTAAATTCAACTCCCTGTTCTTTCCTTATACCACATTTGCCACTCTCCACCCACGTTTAAATGGGTACCTGGCATTTGGTAGCGTGAAAATAACTGCAGGACCCAGGGGCGACGGAGGGACTTCCGAAGATGGGGGGGGGGGGGGGCACCAACAAAAAACAAAAAAATCTCAAAGCAATACTTTTTTTGAGACATTTACATAAACCTCTACATTGTGATAATATTTGTTTCTCTTTATACACCGTACAAGACCTTTGTAGTTGGGTGTGATGGTCTGAAAAAATGAGGTCCCAATGCGAAAATTTTCATCTTATAAAGAAGAACATACCCAGTCCGGATGGGGTTATAAGCACATTCTCATAACGGAAGACTAAAAAGACCTTTGATAAGTAACATAATGATGCTGCTTGTAAGTTTCGGCTTGCATGGTGATGTAGATATACAGTAGGTTTGCGGGTGCACCATGTGTGAAACCTCTCTCTCTCTCTCACATGGTGCACCCGCAAACCTACTGTATAACATAATGATATCATCTATAAATGCGAGCGAGCGAGCTTTGTGGGAATTGCTCTTAGCCGCTTGAAATTAGAGGCGTGTTTGATGATGAGAGGAAAAGGGGACACTTATCGAAATGGATAAGACACTGTTTAGAAAAGAAAAGGAGCACGTATCAAAGTACAAAGGGTAATTATCAGAGGTTAAAATGGGGCACTTCTTACACCTACAACAAGAGGCACTCTACAGGGATTAAAAAGGGGCACTTATAAGAATGGGAAATGGTCATTTGTCGAGGGAAAAGGGGCACCCATCAGGTTTGATAGGGGCATATATAACAGGTGAAAAGGGGATTGGTCCCTTATTAGAAAGCAAAAGGGGCACGTTTTATTGTTAAAAGGAAAATTATCAGAGGTGAAAAGGGGCACCTATAATAAATGAAAATGTGCATTACTTAACAGAAGAGGGGCACCGACCAGATTTTAATAGGGGCATTTATCGAAGGTGAAAGGGGGCTTTTATGAGAAGGGGGAACTTGCTTTCATTAATAAGAAAAAAAGGGACATGTTAAAATAGACGGGGCACTTATCAGAGATGAAAAGGGATAATTATGAGAAGGAGAAGGAGCACTTATAGGAAGGAAAAAGAGCATTTAATATAAAAGAAACGGGGCACGTGTAAAAAGAAGGGCGGTTATTGACAATCATTAGAGATGAAAAGAGCACCTATCAGGAGGGAGGGGGCATTTGTAAAAAATAAAAAAAACGAATGTCTCTTAGATTTTAATAGGAGCAATTATTGGAGGTGAACGGGACACTTATCTGAAGTGAAAAGGAGTAACTTCATGTACCTGAAAAGGGTTCATTTACCAGAGATGAAAAGGGGCATTAATGAGGAGGGGAAGTTTTTTTTTAAATGGGGGCACTTATCATTAGGAAAAAGGGCCCATGTTGAAAAATAAGGTGCGCTTATCCGAGTTTAAAATAAGGTAGTTATTAAAAAGGGAAGGGGCACTTCTTACAAAGAAAAAGGGGCACTTGTCAAGGTTAAAACCAGTTATAATCATCAATCATTCTTATTATCAAGATAGTTCTGAGCTTAGTTTCAATAAACAAAACAACAATAGAAATTCAGAATGACAGATTGAAACGCAGTCATGAAAGAGAAATTACACGTGTTTAAAGGAGGTAATTACATCAAGAATTGTGAATAATTGATATTAAAGAGAAATATTTGAACTCTGATAAGTTACCTTGTTTTTTGTACAGCTCATACCGCTGCACAGTGGGCCAGTGAGGAACCAAAGTGCGCCAAAGCTCATGTTTGGGGATTTTCTTTTTATAAATCCAGAGGAATTGTTTGGATTTCCAGGGATTTTCGCTAAAATTTTATTACCAACATTTTCTCCGATGTCTAAAAGCTTTAAGTTGATACCAGATTTGGCTGCCCGATTCTGCCCGTTATTATGGTAGAGCCGTTTTACTTGCAACATTGCCCCGAAAATGTGTTTATTTTGGTCCGCGGTGTCAGAACAAGTGTCACACGCCCCCTCGCGCCGTCATTTATGACCACGAATCCTTCATGATTCAGCCGCGGACCCCCAAAACCCACATTTTTCGGGGCAATGTGGCAAGGGAAATCGGCTCTAACATAACAACGGGCAAGATCGGGCAGCCAAATTTGGTATCAACTTAAAGCTTAGACATCAGAGGAAATGGTGGTATTAAAATTTAAGCGGTACACTGCGGAGATCTAAACATTTCTTCTGGATTTATAAAAAAAACATGGATAATTAGTCCATTTTTCAATGAATTACCCTATAATATATCATGAAGATTGTGTTTCTATTAATTTTAACCCATTCATTGAACGAAATAAACTATCAGAAATATGTGAGAGCAATTTCATATCAATAACTTAAAAACTTCATGTTGAATTGAAAGATTTATAAAATAAGTCACTTTTGCACTAAAACTGTGAATATGTAGGATTTTGCTGTTTGAAGTAGTAAATTTATACCCTTATTGTGCATAACGGAATTAAATATTTCACTGAGGTATTCCTCTATGTATTACCTTTCAACTGGGCAAGAAAAAAATTGAAAAAAAAAAATCACCCAAACTTAGTTTTGGCGCACTTTGGTTCCTCCCTGGCCCACTGTGCGTGTGTATGTGGAGCAGATGGAACCGAACCATGTTTGAATGGTGTATGTACGGATAACAATGGAACGATGGAGTGTCAGTGTTTTCAGTGGTTTGGCGAAACAAAAGGAGGTTTGAGCTCAAACCTTGCTTTGTGAATTCGGGCCATTGTGTCCACTTTCGTTGCATGACCACATTCCGTTTGACGACAGGAATAGTATTTTTATTTTAAAATAAGCTTTAAAGGAATCGTTAAATTGGCAACAAAATCTAGAAATCGGCCATGTTTCGACTTTTCTACCAAATTTCTAAATATTTATATTGTTTTCAGAGACATTTCTTTCTGTTAGAATAAGAACAATGAAGTATTCAAAGCAAAGTATTATTAATACAAATTTAGAGAACAATATATGATCAATGTAGCCTTTACAAACAAATATCTTTCCTGAAAAGGGGGGTCATACCAAGGAGTTTAAGAGCATGGAGCCCCAACTGGCAACAAAATATCACAAGCAGTTGCCGTTTTCTAAGGTATCACAATAGAATCTACAGGTGTGCTGTTACCTTTGATGTTCGAGGTTTGATGCCGCCAACATAATTGGAAAGCTTAAGTAGTGATTTTTTTTCAAAAAGAAATATCGTAAATATTTCACTTTTTATTTGAACTAACAAGGGGAAAATCGAACAGATGATACAATATGAATACAAAAGCCTAATTATGTTCAGAAATTTGCTTACATTGTATAATATCTGTTTTAATTTGTGAAAAATAGTTACATTTTACAATCCTAAAACCTGCAATTTGATGCTGATTGATTCCTGCACACGAAAATTAAAAGTGAATTTATGATGTTATATGTCAGATTAGTGCCCACACATGCCCAGTCGAGTAATCTTGATTAATATTTCGGGAAATTTTCCTCCATTTCCTTTCGCTTGCCTCCTGTAAAGGTATGCACTATGTCCTGCTCGTATTATCAGACGAGTGGTAGCGAAAAGTAATTATCATTACAAAAGCATATTTCCCTTTGAAAGTGGCCCGTTAGTTTGCAGTTAGGCATGAATCTTTTTTCTACATATCTGCATGGAAGATCCAGTTAAGCACATGCCTGACATTTTTTCTCCTGGCGGCATCGAAGATGGTACAAAGGGAATGAGTTAGATATGTCCTAGGTCATACTGAAAGGATAATGACTACCCGGGCTTATTATTGATTTGAAACATATGAGTGAATGGGTTTGAAGAAACTTTCAGATAAATCTTCACAATAGGCACTCTCTGATGTTCAACATTATAAATTTGACAATATTGGACATGTCAAACAAATAAACTCAGAAATTTTACTAATTTTACTAAGAAGTAGTAGTAGTAGTAGTAGTAGTAGTAGAAGTAGTGGTATCAGAAGTGGTAGAAGTAGTAGTAGTAGTAGTAGTAGTATATAGTAGTAGTAATAGAAGTAGTAGTAGAAGTAGTAGTAGTAGTAGTAGTAGTAGTAGTAGTAGTAGTAGAAGTAGTGGTGGTGGTAGTAGTAGTAGTAGTAAAAGTAGTGGTAGTAATAATGATAATAATACATTTGTATAGCGCAGCTTTTACACAAAATATATTCACCTGCGCTGTTTCAGAGCTCCTTTTTTTACTAAATTCTACAACATAAAAAAAAAGAATCTCTCGATTGAACAAATATGTTTTCAATTTGGATTTGAAGACATTGAGAGATGGAGAGCTTCGTATTTCTATTGACAAGCTATTCCATAGTTTGGAGGCAGCAATGGCAAACGCGCGTTCCCTGAGAGTTACCTTAGTTTTGCAATGGGGAATCTGGAACAATAATTTCGTATCAGGACAATTACCCCCTGGGCAATCACCCCCCCCCCCCCGGAAAATTACCCCCAGGAAAACTACCCCCGTAGGACGATTACCCCCCGGAAAATTACCCCCCGGAAAATTACCCCCCGGAGAATTACCCCCAAGGACAATTACCCCCCAAGGACAAATATCGCCCGGAAAATTACCCATGGAAAGTTACCCCCCGAGGACAACTACCCCCGAGGACAACTACCCCCGAGGACAATTACCCCCCGAGGACAATTACCCCCCAAGGACAACTACGCCCGAGGTCAATTACCCCCCCCCCCCCCGAGGACAATTACCCTCCATGGAAACTACTGGGCATGGTGGCTCAGTGGTTAGAGCGCCCGCCTCATGAACGGGAGGTCGTGGGTTCGAACCGCGGCCGAGTCATACCAAATATTTTTTAACAATGGGACCTTCTGCCTTCTAGCTAGGCGTTCAGCATATTAGATTGGAGAAGGGCAGTAATATAATATTATGTTATGCAGGGCCCGCTGGAAGAGCGGTTTAATAACTGAAGTGGCTACCCTGGGTAAATAAAACGTTATTATTATTATTATTATTATTATCATTATTATTACCCTCGAGGACAACTATCCGCCAGGAAAACTTCCCCCGAGGACAATTATCCCCGAGGACAACTACCCCTCCCCCCTTCGAGGACAACTTCCCCCCCCCCCCCGAGGACAATGACAATCACCCCCGAGGAATTTATAACACTGTGAAGTATAACGCAAGCTTCTCTCCAAATTGCTATTTACAGGTAATTGCATAAACCCTCATTTTCTTTGTTATTTATGAAGTTCATTTCAGTCTTTTCAAATTATTCAATTCGATATTGGGGGAGGGGTGGAGGTTGCCCAATTTCCCTGTAGTTTTGCTACCGAGTAAAGAATAGAAATTAAATTTCTTAGAAATTGAACAATTCATTCCTCGCAGATGAGTACGCGTTACAGCCTCTCTCACCATCAACGGCACAACAAAGAAATTAGGATGTAAGATTTCCTTTATGCCCCCTCTGTAACTTTTTTAATCAGCTGATCGTGCATTTGTCTTTGTATGTATAATGGGCCCTCATCCACAGGGCCGTAGCCAGAGTTTGAGTTTGTTTTTTTGTTTGTTCGTTGTTGTTGTTGTGGTTTTTTTTGGGGGGCACATACATGTATTCGATCGACGTCCTGGGGAGGGGTCTAAAAGGGTTCAACCGATCTTTGTGTCTCTCAATGTGTCAGATCGTCTTTTGCTATTGAATCCTGATTGTCCACGGGCCGGGGTAGTTGTCCGCGGGGGGTAATTGTCATCGGGGGAATTGTCCTCGGGGGGTAGTTGTCCTCGGGGGGTAGTTGTCATCGGGGGGTAATTGTCCTCGGGGGGGTAGTTGTCCTCGGGGGGTAATTGTCCTCGGGGGGTAATTGTCCTCGGGGGGTAATTCCCCGGGGGGTGATATTCCAGGGGGTAATTGTCCTTTGGGGATAGTTTTCCGGGGGGTATTTTTTCCGGGGGGTGATTGCCCAGGGGGTAATTGTCCTAGAACAGTTCAAGAGTATTAATCCACCACAACATCACCAACAAGAGTTCTTTCATTAACCTTAATAGGCCATTTCGAACGGAGTAATGTTGAACCGAATTCGAACATATTTTTTTCCGAGCTGGGAAAAAAAAGTATTTAGATTTTCAAATCTGTCCACAAGTAATCAAAACATTGCTCAAATTGAAAAGCTGCCGAAATACCTCATCAACTAAATTTCTAACAATATAAAAAGCCTTTTTTACCCACAGTCTTCCTTCTCATTTGCCAAGTAAATCTGAATGAGCATACCTATTCCCCCCCCCTCCTTATCGTTGCCATAGAATTTAATAATTAACTTCCACGAGCCCAGAATAGTAACTATGACCTTCTCACAATGCTGCTTTTAGTTTCGTTTAGAATTAACCATAGCTAGCTCGAAACAAAGGAACATAACAGGAATGCTACACAACACTCCAAATAATCCTTATTGATGGATTCGTACCATAAAATAGTCGTAATGTCTCTGCAACTCAAGGCCATCACAACATCGACACATAGCCCGGCAAGGTTTAAGAAGGATTAGAATTTAAAAAAAATCTTCAAATGTTACCATTTTTCCAAAATATCTTTGACTAATCGTCATTCCTTCATTTATGATTATTCTCATTTACAGAGGTCAGGCAGTGTGAGATGTCTCCATGTCAAAACAGTGGCACGTGTATCGACGAGGTCTACGACTACGAATGTGTGTGCATTGATGGATATATGGGAAAGAACTGTGAAATATGTACGTATATCAGGACCAGTGAATATGAACTGCTTTCTATTGATTGCTCATCTAGGAGAAAACATGATTAACCCACTGGGAAATATTCCAACGAATCTCATCAGTGAATACAATGATTGCATCATAGTTAATGACAAATTATTCAGTGAAAATTAACAACACTGGTCTTTAGCCAGAATGCCTCTTGCATAAAAGTAATCAAACTACGCTAATTCAGGAACTCTTAACGCAGGTATTAAAATTCAATTTGCTGATTGGCTACTGTTTTCATGATATTCTAATTTTAGTTTTCCATGTACTATACTTATATAGTTGTCAATAGTGTAAATAAACATACTAGGTATAAGATAAAAGAAGGACTTTTCATTCATATAAATCAAGAGTTCAGAGTCGTATCAGTTTGTATTGTTCATTGTAAAGTTGTAGAAATATACATGCATCAATCAGTTGAAGTAAGTTAAATTTATTTTCAAATACTATTAAAATCATACGATGAGAAATTTCACTTTCTTCGATTGAAGGTCAATTCTGTTTTGTGTATCAGTCATTAGTTTAGAACACAGCAATATGATATTTATGTATAATTGCAGCAAAGTCAGAGCGCTTCTTGTAACCCATAGTTAGTTAGTCGAATTGTAGGTGACAAATTAGACAACCTTCTCGTCAACCATTCATCAACCCATTCGCCACCAATATGTTCACTTACTCGTCACCCTAATCGTCAGCCTATCCGTCAACCATTCGTTCACTTACTCGTCACCCTAATTGTCATCCTATCCGTCACCCATTCATTCACCTACTCGTCACCCTAATTGTCAGCCTATCCGTCAACCATTCGTTCACTTACTCGTCACCCTAATTGTCAGCCTATTCGTCACCCATTCGTTCACCTTCACGTCACCCTTATTGTCAGCCTATTTATCACCCATTTGTTCACCTAGTCGTCACCCTAATTGTCACCATATCCGTTTCCCATTCGTTCACCTACTCGTCATCTACTCGTCATCTGTATTGTCAACCCAGTCGTCCCTCATTCTTTGACCTACTCGACACCCTAATTGCCAGCCTATCCGTCACCCAATCATTCACCTACACGTCACCCTTATTGTCAGCTTATTCGTCACCCATCCGTTCATCTTCTCGTCACCCTAATTGTCAGCCTATTCATCACCCATTCATTCACCTACTCGTCACCCTAATTTTCAGCCTATCCGTCACCCTAATTGTCAGCCTATTCGTCACCCATTCGTTCACCTTCACGTCATCATAATTGCCAGCCTATCCGTCACCCATTCATTCACCTACTCGTCACCCTAATTGTCAGCCTATCCGTCACCCTAATTGTCAGCCTAATCGTCACCCATCCGTTCACCTTCTCGTCACCCTAATTGTCAGCCTATTCATCACCCATTCATTCACCTACTCGTCACCCTAATTTTCAGCCTATCCGCCACCCTAATTGTCAGCCTATTCGTCATCTACTCGTCATCTGTATTGTCAACCCAGTCGTCCCTCATTCTTTGACCTACTCGACACCCTAATTGCCAGCCTATCCGTCACCCAATCATTCACCTACTCGTCACCCTAACAGTCAGCCTATCCGTCACTCATCCGTTCACCTTCTCGTCACCCTAATTGTCAGCCTATCCGTCACCCTAATTGTCAGCCTATTCGTCACCCATTCGTTCACCTTCACGTCACCTTTATTGTCAGCCTATTTATCACCCATTTGTTCACCTAGTCATCACCCTAATTGTAACCCTATCTGTTACCCATTCGTTCACCTACTCGTCATCTGTATTGTCAACCCAGTCGTCCCTCATTCGTTCACCTATTTTTCACCGTAATGTTTATCCTTTTTGTTCGCCGACTCGTCACCTACCCGTCACCCTAATTGTCAGCCTATTCGTCACCCATTCGTTGATCTACTCGTCACCCTAACTGTCAGCCTATCCATTACCAATTCGTTCACCTAATCGTCATCCTGTTTGTCAACCCAGTCGTCCCTTATTCGTTCACCTACTTGTCACCGTAATTTTCATCCTATTTGTTCACCGGCTCGTCACCTACTCGTAATCCTAATTTGCTTTCATTCACGTACTCGTCACCCTAAATGTTAACCCACTCGTCATATTTATTATCACCTCTTTGGCACATATTTGTCAGCCTACTCGTCTTTCCATCCATCAACCTACTGGTCAACCCAAAAGGTAGTCGTATATACTAAAAGATATTTTTATATTTAGAGCCTAAACCTCTCTTTAAAATATTCTCTCTTTTCAGCTGAGGATGATTGTCTGAGTAACCCTTGTAAGGAAGGAGACTGTCTTGACGGGATACGAGAATACACATGTGTCTGCACACCCGGATATACAGGAGTAGACTGTGAAGTTGGTTCGTTCTTATCATTTTTATAGAACAATTATTTGCAATTTCGCGAATGCTATCCGGGGTGGGGGGGGGGGGGTGAAAGGCCAGTACCCCCACTGTTTATTTCAAATCGGTACCCCTTTGTATTTTCTTAAGAGTTTCACTTTCGTCGAAGCGTCTTCTTTTACTTCTATTTTACTCAAACTTTTATTCATGGTAACTCATTTAAAAAGTATTCAACCTTAGGGTTGGTATTCTCGAAAGCGGACTTACTTTAGGTAAAAATATTCATATAACAATTAATCAAACCATTTCTGTATTTATATTTCAAATAATCGATGAATGCAGCAGTAATCCATGCCTTAATGGAGGATCATGCGCTGATGGTGTGAATGGATTTACTTGTTCCTGTGTTTCTGGTTTCACCGGCGAACGCTGTGCTACAGGTAATGTATCTACAGGATACCGTCAGCAATAAGCAATGCTAAAAAAGTTAATCTTAAAGCCACACTGTACTACTTGTAGCTACTTGCTCCCTCTATATAGAAAACTTCCCCAAATCGATGCGAGGTCCTCCATAATCTTGTTTTTATGCTAATTGAGAGCTGAGTTAATGAGACAGCCACCTGTCAGTGACTTAGCTGGGTGTTCTAATTCCTTCTGGCTGAACTAGTACAGCCGGCCTTTAAGTTAAAGGCTTCGGAAAGCCATGGCGGACTTGTATAATTGAGTTTCAGACATGACTTGCCTCTTGAAATGGTAAAGGATAATGGAAAACAAGAAAACGATCCTCCTGTAAGCATCCTTTTTTATGTATCATTATTCTTAACCGTTTCTGTTTAATATGGCTTCTTGTGTGGGAAGGGTCACATAATACCAGCAAGAAATCAAGAGAAACAATAATTTGTTACATGTGTCTGCACACCCGGATATACAGGAGTAGACTGTGAAGTTGGTTCGTTCTTATCATTTTTATAGAACAATTATTTGCAATTTTGCGAATGCTATCCGGGATGGGGGGGGGGGGGGGGGGGTGAAAGGCCAGTACCCCCACTGTTTATTTCAAATCGGTACCCCTTTGTATTTTCTTAAGAGGTTCACTTTCGTGGAAGCGTCTTCTTTTACTTCTATTTTACACTTTCCTTACAACATGTGTTCACTTGAATAACAAAAATGACCAACTATTTATGAAATGGCTATTTTAGCGCTCATTTCCAAAAATGAACAGTGCCCTTTCTTCTTGTATCACTTGTCCATCTTTACAATCAAATTTTCAGGACCCAACTGCTATATATTGATTTCAGTGAGTGTACCATTTTAGCCCTCGTCTTTTTTTTTTACACTAGACATCAATACATGTACTAGTATCCATGTGTTTCTTTGTATTAGATATCGACGAGTGTGCTAGTACTCCATGCCTGTTTGGAGGAACATGCATAAATGACATTGTAAATCAGTGGAGCTGTGATTGTCCTGTAGGCTACACAGGAGAGAGATGTTTAAACGGTAAATATATATTTACAGGTAGCGAATAGTTAATCGTATGATATTCAACGTCATACATGTTAAGTACCGGAATAGACTGAATACGGAAAAATCTTACAAATCAATGTTACTACGTAATACAGTCCATGTTTTTAAAAAGGATTAAACAACCTTGAGACACGGAGTCTACTTGGTCCACCTCGTACCGTCTCAGTCGTGCTAATGCTAATAAAAAACAAACTTAAATCCGCTTTCAGAATGTGACATGCCATTTAGCAAAATCAAAGAAGTAAACAAACGAAGTACATTTACTATATAACACATGTTTATGCCCTTTTTTGTGGATAAACTGATCAAGGTGATTGTGGTAAGTAGGAATTTTGTAATCATTTTTGCAAAAACATATCAAATCAATAATTGTACACATCACGTACGATTATGATTTCTCATAATGGCCTAATATAATTTCATTTAAGTTACTACATGCATTAAATATTTTGTCCCATCATCATATATATGACTATATGACTCCTTTAAAGTAGATATTCATTGATTTTAAAATCTAACTTTATTTTCATTATTGCAAAGTTGAAACTTTGATTCGACAAGGTTATCAAAATTCAATGCTTGGAAACATTCGAAGTAACGATTATTATAAATTTAAAAACGCCTAAATACAGCCCCGGCATAGCACCTGAAGAGCTCTCCGAACGCTGCTGAGATGTGTGAGATCACAGTATGGACATGACTTGCACAAGCAGACGATGTCCCATTACATCTCACACATTTTCAGTGCCTGTGTTTTCATCTTCTCTTGAGTTCTTTCTCTTACTTCACTACCGTCAGGCTAAATGTATAATCTATTGCCTCACTCTAAACCCCGCGCATGATTTTATTTTGATGACAAATGCAGCGATACAAAAATAAAGGAATCTGTCGCTTGTAAACAAAATAAGACGCCATTGTATATTCAGCTGCACACATCGGGGTATGTTCGGCGTTTAAAAAGGGAACAAATGCCGTCTTTAATATCATTCCGGGGCTTTTCAATTTGGAGGTCTGGTTTCTTTGATTGTTAATTAACCCCTATCCTGTGTATTTACAAGCAAAAGATTTTAGTTATCAGAATCGGGTCATATCCCCTTTTGAATGGTTTGACATGCCATTACATTTATATACACTAAACTCATTATAATTTGAGAAATAATAGCTTTGCAATTATGTTCATTCTCTATGGGATGTCGTCTGCTTGGGCAGTGTTGGTCCATATAGTGACGTCATTAAAACATCGTTATTTCTCAGGCGAATCTCCCGTATATCCCAGCTGCTATGGAGGTGGTTGTATTTGTATTTTTATAAATCACCCGATATGTAGTTGACCTAAAACTTGTCCGATGGCCATCTGTTAGCTTACCAGTTTCTAGTGATACATTAGTTGACATATTTGTGATCTTCTTTGAATTTCACCTTTAAGCAACAACAACATTGTCATTGGCTAGATATTGGTTAAGAGTATGGAATAAGTTTGAAGTTGGTACTATTTATTAGTAACGTTTCCTTTCATTTTCAATTTTACAGAAGAGAATGAGTGTATGAGCAATCCCTGTCATAGCGAGCACGCTTTTTGTGAAGACAAAATCGCCAGTTTCAGCTGTCATTGTTTTCCTGGTTATATTGGAGACAACTGTGAAACCAGTAAGTATAGCCGTATTTGTGGTTAGTTTCAATCGTATCCAAACACACAAATATCACGATTTCCATAGAATTTAAAATGAGGCTCCTCACGCTTATCCTCAGTCACCGTGGACAGGGTTCTTAGCAGCTTGATTGTGACCACATCGCTGATGTTTACGATGCCATCGCGCTTACCCAAGTTTAGTAAAAACATAATACGAAATGAGTTAAACCACATTACTGTACGTTCTAAGATTTATTTTGAAAGAGGGGAAATTATACATACCCACTTCATGGATCCTTTGTTCTTTCAATTATATTATTCATGATTGCAGCATTTATTAACTGTTCTTTATTAACGTCTGTCGTTCCGTTTATATTTTGTATTTGACTTGCAGATTATCAAGAGTGCCTGAGTCAACCCTGTCTCAATGGAGGAACGTGTACTGATGGTATCAATTTCTTTACATGTAGCTGTATGGCCGGATTCACCGGTTCCTATTGCCAACATGGTAAGAAGAAAAAAACACCCCACGCTACTTCTTTTATCTCATATAATTTACATATAGCCATATTGTTACAGCGCTATATATTACGTTTCTAGAGCACTTTACCTAGTAATTATTGTTACCCCGCTCATTAGATTAAATTGCTAGTCCGCACAGGAAAGTGTACACGCTTCGCTCCCTGGGGAGTATTCGTTAGACTTGATAGACCTGTTCGTTTGTATGTTTATTTTAATTCCATTTAATTTTTCATCAAACTGTTTGCCCAATTCAAACTTTTATTCATGGTAACTCATTTAAAAAGTATTCAACCTTAGGGTTGGTATTCTCGAAAGCGGACTTACTTTAGGTAAAAATATTCATATAACAATTAATCAAACCATTTCTGTATTTATATTTCAAGAAATCGATGAATGCAGCAGTAATCCATGCCTTAATGGAGGATCATGCGCTGATGGTGTGAATGGATTAACTTGTTCCTGTGTTTCTGGTTTCACCGGCGAACGCTGTGCTACAGGTAATGTATCTACAGGATACCGTCAGCAATAAGCAATGCTATAAAAGTTAATCTTAAAGCCACACTGTACTACTTGTAGCTACTTGCTCCCTCTATATAGAAAACTTCCCCAAATCGATGCGAGGTCCTCCATGATCTTGTTTTTATGCTAATTGAGAGCTGAGTTAATGAGACAGCCACCTGTCAGTGACTTAGCTGGGTGTTCTAATTCCTTCTGGCTGAACTAGTACAGCCGGCCTTTAAGTTAAAGGCTTCGGAAAGCCATGGCGGACTTGTATAATTGAGTTTCAGACATGACTTGCCTCTTGAAATGGTAAAGGATAATGGAAAACAAGAAAACGATCCTCCTGTAAGCATCCTTTTTTATGTATCATTATTCTTAACCGTTTCTGTTTAATATGGCTTCTTGTGTGGGAAGGGTCACATAATACCAGCAAGAAATCAAGAGAAACAATAATTTGTTGGTAAATATTTAAATCATTACAAAAAGAGTATGTGTGAAACATTATACCTAGGTACAACCGTCACACAGACCAATATTGTCAATGAAGTCACAAATTAGGCGCCAAGTGGGGCGGCCTCGAAAGCCGACCTGATCGGGAAGCGTTGCTCTTATTGCAAGCTAAGAGTAAGAGCTTTAAGAGCTTGGGTACAGCTTGTTTTATAATGAAATCATAGAAGTGGATCTTTTATTGGATGGTTGTAGATATTTTGTCTTGTTAAACACGATCAATATTTTGCACTACACTTACTTAAATTAAATGAGACTCGTTCAAATATGACGCGGTGAACCACCGCTAATATTACCGTCACGGTTTTTTCAAACTTGTAAATGAATCGCAACTAACCGCAACAATGGTCCTACGCGTATGCACTTAGCTCTGTGTTATAATCACGACACAGAAATATGACTCATATTACACTTTTCATCCTCATTATAAAAAAAGCAGCCGCGGTTTTACCGCGCCATACACAACGCGACTCAATGTTATGTTGTATTTTCTTTCAGACCTCGGTTCCTGCGCACTGATGTTCCATCCATGTACCAACAATGGCTTCTGTGTGGATCAAGCGAATTCATATAAATGCATCTGTGACCCAGGATACACGGGAGATGCCTGCGAAGCAAGTACGTCTTGTAACTTCATTTTCCTCGAATGTTAAAACGATTATTAATGACTTTCCAGGTCGTGACAAAGTAATAACATTAATTTGCATCAATCTATACTTTAGATTCCAGGGGCGGATCTAGGGGAGAGGGGTTTTGGCGGTTTAACCCCCCCCCCCCGGGCGGCCAAGTGAGAAAAAAAAGGGGGAAGAGGGGAAAAAGGAGGAAAAAAAGTAAAACGGCGCGATTTTTGGAAAATCCTGCATCCGCCACTGGGTCAAACCACCCTCTTGGCAAAAAGCTAGATCTACCCCAGGCTTCTTTATTTTTCTTTTCATTCATGAACTCTTCTCTACAATAATGACCCTCGAGTAACTCCTTGACAAATCATTTCGAGTTGAATAGATTCTTCTCGTATTTGTGTACCTTGGTTGATGATTTTTTTTTAAAACCAGGCCTGTAGTCACGGTAATGTCAGTAAAGTATCAGGTCTCAAATAGCCTCAGAAGCAGACGTGTCAATTCAAATACAGAAACAATGGCCTGTCTTCTCTGATAATTAGATATCAAGTTAAAACCATGCAAAAACATGGGCAAACAAAATTTCCGTTTCGGTTTAATACAATTTGGAGTGGACTATTAGGCTAGTATTATTATTATTATCATGAGATGAACGTGGACACAAAATGCTTGAAATGATCTTATAAACTCGACAGGGCATCAAGATTAACCCCTGTGGGTAAGAAAGACATTCACCCTGATTTTATTACAAAATGACAAACTATTTCGGGTTGTTTTATCCTTTGTACAGATATTGACGACTGTTCGAGTAATCCTTGTGAGAATGGAGGGACATGTATCGATGATGTAGCTGCTTACTCGTGTCTTTGTCGAGAGGGATTTGTAGAAACAAACTGTCAAACAAGTAAGGTCTTCAATCACATTTATTTATTGCCAAAAGAAATAAGAGAATAATCATGTAGTGCAGCCATTATATCAAAGGTAGTTCTTAGTGTCGACCTAAAGCAAACATTATTAAAAGACTCATCAGTATTATTCTTTTGTTTCTTTTACACTGCATTCATGTAATCGTTTAGTAGTTTGTATTTTTCTTAACACAAACAAAAACACTCATATATATATATATATATATACATCTTACAGAGTCATTAGACGGACATATGAAGTAACAAAAATAGTCATTATAAAGTAGACATGGTCATTAGCAGGACTTGTGAGAAGAAATACAACATGGATACATTGTTTGCCATTTTCTCAACATTTATTCCACTGGGGATAGAATTTCCCCCTTTCAAACCGTCCAACAATTAATGTCACAATCAAATAACAGAAATGCAATGAAATTAAAAAGGGGCGATATCTGTACCCGCACTATTGTACAGGGAAGAGGGGAGAGGCTAAATAAAAACGAGATACTAAGTAGGGGAACCCGGGTCACGTGACCAACCGGGAGGAAGACATCCAACCGAAGTCCCAGTTTCCTGAGATTACGGATTCCCCTAAACAACCTCTCCTACTGAGAGCCCCTCCTTGCCATTGGGCAAACCGCTCTCCCCTGTTATGAACAACAATTAACATAAATATCAATAGCAATAAGCAACCTTGACAATTTTCAACCCCAAACAGCCAATACAAACCATTTTTTTTTTTTTTTTTTTTTTGGCCTCTTAAATAGTTTTGCCTGTTTTGTTTTCTAAATTGTTACTTTCTGCCATAAATGGACGAACAATTAAATGAAATGATGTTATCTGTTGTCACTTGGACCCATTCAAACAAAGCAAACTATAGTCATCTCTTTAAGGGCATTTATCAAAAATACTAACAATTTTATTTTTATTATTTTTCTCCATCGGTTCCAAAACCTTAATACCAAGCCAGGTGCTTAAATTCTCTGCACCATTATCACATTTTATGTGACTTTGCCGAGCAAAATTGAAATGAACAATTACGATCTATGAATCCACGTTAAATCAATTAAACACGATCACTATGTTGAAGACAATAATAACATGTTTGCCCGTGTACAGTCGAGCTGCACAGCCTCAAATAAGATTCAGTCATTAGTCGACTGTCCTATTTTGATCGAACGTCTATTTACATGTACACCTTGTATTCATCTGTACAATCCACTGTTATCTTATTATCTTTGGCATTATTCCCTAAACTAGAAATATACATGTAGGTATACTTGACGAGCTGCCATACCAAAACCAACAACAAAACAACCATGATAGCAGCGTCAACGAGCCATATCATGGTCCAAATCAGATTCTGCCTTGTTCTATTGACATGTGCATGTATATACATTATGCAATGATCTGTCTGTCCTATAATCTCACATATTATTTCGTCTGTCATCCCTCTTGCTTTCCAATACACCCAAATAACACAATAATACACTTCAATTATTGTGGAATAGCCTGACAACGACTACTGAGAGCCGGCCGTTTATTCAGTATGAATGTTTAACAAACATTTCTTCTCGTTTCCTTCACTGGAAACCGTTTCCTTCACTGGAAACCGGACCTATCATGGTCCAGGATAAAAAACCAGAGATAAAACTCAACGAGCATAAAAACTCTGGAAAACCTTATTCAAACGCAGTCATGTAACAGTACATGACACAACGCACTTTTATTGTAAATAAAAGTTGTCTCGTTGAAAGCTCAAGCTAAAATGATTCAATTACACACTAATTCATGCCACGCCCTGGTCTCCGTGGCAGAATTAGCTCGCACACCTGTACGAGCTGCCTATGCGTATTACATTCCATCGGGGCACAGCCCCGGACCCAACATAAAGATGCATTCATTAACGATACAAACAACATTTGTCTGCTATACAATCGTACCGCAGACAAATAATATTATATTCAGCTTAAATGTTAAAGTGTTGAGTCGCAAGACTCACGTGCATTATTTTGAGGGAGTCATTATATTTAAACGGCGTTTTCTCAGAGATTTCAAGTTTTAAGTTAACCCAGCCATTCGAGCCGCCGTTGCGAAACTCTGTATCAAAATGTCACATCCACTGTCCGACAGGTGTATCCCGTCCCTGTTAAAATATTGGTGTTCTTGCGCGATGAAGTTGTGCATGATGAACGATGCATTGTGCATGCGCCTGATCTTTCTTCTACCATATTTGTTCAGGGATTTCCTCACCTTATTAATCGCTAATTGCGAATGCACTGTACGGCCATATCCATAGTAGAACAAACGAGGTATTATGCTTGAAAAATAAATATGGCACCCCGGTAATAATTCCCGGGCTGTGGTGAGGGCATCATCTAATGCCTGTCGACATTGCTTGGCTCCATAGCGGCCGAGGTCGTTCGAACCCACGTGAATGATCATGATGGTAGGAGCTGGGTTGTACCTTAGTAAGTCCTGGAGAGCTCTCGGAAATTCGTGTAGGGTTAGGCCGCCTCTGCCAAACCATTTAACCTCGCTTGCATTTACTCTCAGGTTGTGGTTGCCTGTCCAGGATGCCCTCTCGCCGGCTCTCCTGACGAAGCTATCCCCCAATAGCCACAACCGTTGGGCTCGAGTACCTGTGGTGAAAACAAAAGAGTTCTCCGGGGAAGTATACATGTACATAATTCTTTTCGCGATCATATGTTTATTCATAGTCCACCCTATTCGACTTGTTTGTAGTTAAGGTTAAAACGAGCATCATATTGTGCCCGTGCTATAATTTGGTAAGCACGATAATCGGTTTCTTATTATTTGTTTATTATTTATTTATTTTTTATTTATTTATTTTTACACTGTATACATGACTTTTTGAAAACTTATGATCAACTACAATAATTTGCTTCATGTGAGAGATGAGGAAGAGCACTCTCAATTTTATTAATGTAAACTACAACCTTCCACGCTATAACCTTTGGAAGGAGGATATCTCTATTCTAATATGACTAGGGTCTTACATAAGACCTGTAGGCCCCGCTGCGCCATCGCCCCATCTCTTTTATTTTTTCTGTGGGTAATCCATTCAAGGCAGCAATTGTGGCAGCACCAATACGAAATGAATGAGTGCCATAATGGGCTGATTGCACCCCTGAAAAGATCAACACCTTAATCAATACTGCTCTAAATTAATACCTGGTTAATGGGGCCCCATTAGCATGGCAAAACAAAGGGCCATGGGTTTTGGGTCTCAAGTTGAGAAAACTATACATTGCGGCAATTGGGCAACTGTTGTGTATGCCATTCTTTCTTATGCAAAAAATTGTTAATTCTCCATATTAATCTGTTTTTGAGAATCTTATCTTTACTAGCATGAAACGCGGCGTGCTTTTTTTCATGTGGATGTCGTCAGTTGACCATTGCCTAGGCTGAATGATTGTAACCCCGTTAAGTTGTTCCAGAAAAGACAACCAAACTTCGAGGTCAGCACGGGCTCCATCCGTTAAACGCCGTGAACCCTTTGACCCGTCTTCTGTTTTCAGGAGATCTATTGACCTCCTTAGGAACGCTCTACCTGGCCGTACGGCTCGACAAACAAAATTCAAGGATCCTATTAACGACTGAATATTCCTCAGATCCAAAGACTTTTGTTCTAAGGCCCTGCGGATTTTCTGTTTCAAGGCTGCTACCTACCGTCAGGTATCCGAACTTGCATGACGCTGGTGTCGACCTCCAGGCCTAGATATGTCAATTTTGTACAGGGCCCTTCCGATTTTCCCATAGCCAGAGGGACACCTAGTTCACTGCCTACTGAGCGAAATTCGGTTATTATTCCTAAACATTTAATACCTCCTGCATTTGCCGACCCTACTGCTAAAAATCGTCCATGTAGTGAACTATCCTATCTGTTCCTAGCCTGTCCCTCACACAGAATTCTAGAAATGAGGAGAATTTTTCGAAATATGCCGGTGCGCATCGGATCCCCATTGGTAAACACTTATCTACGTAATACTTCCCTTCGAATTTTATTCCTAATAATTCAAAGTCCTGGGTTGATATGGGTAGCAGTCTGAATGCAGATTTTATGTCTTCTTTTGCTAACTCAGCCCCTATTCCCGTCTTAGAAACTAAATCTACGGCAGTATCATAGCTACTGACTTATTCTACTTTGCATGCGTCATCGGCAATGAAATCATTAATCGGGTACCCTTTCGGATAGGATAAGTGGTTTATTAGTCGGAAATCCCCTGGGTTCTTCTTCGGGACTAAGCCAATTGGGCTTGCTCTCAAATTTTGAAGGGGTCTTTTCTCGTATGGCCCTGCGTAGCGTCCCAAAGTAACTTCCTTATCGATTTTCTTTTTTGTCGCTACCTTATTCTGATCTGCCGATTTCAAATTTGGTAGATCATCAGGCAACCGAGGGCCGTTGTAATTCAATATGAAGCCCTGGGTGAAACCGGTTACTAAGAATTGCGCTGCCTTTTTATTGGGATATCTTTCTAACTCTGCTACTAGTCTTTCTACTTTAATGGGAGATGGAGCTAGTGAGTGTAGTTGATGATCTTGTACCGACTTTACGTTAACATTATTATTATTGGCCATTGATGTCCCTTCGTTATATTGATCCCCAGTATTTAAGAATTACTAGACTATCTAGGCCTACTAGATCTGCTTTATGCGGTTTGGCTGGTGATCGCCTCCCGGGCCCGCGGGCAGGTAACTTTCCCGAGGCCGGTATTGCCGCATGCCAAGCATTTGTGGAGGAATTTGCACTGCTGACGCTCACATTTTCCATGTCTGAAGTTAAGTGCATAGCATACACCGGGACCGGACTGGCGAGCTCCGAGCTGGCGGCCGCCCAGCCGGCGGGCTGGTTGACTCCAGTAAGCCTGACTTTTGGTGCCCGATGTTCTGGGAAATTGGGACTGAAATGGTCTGGGCCCGCCTGGCCTCCCCACTCTTGGAGGCTTAGCCGTGGGGGTTCCTATTGTTGTTAATGTTAGTCTAGGCGCCCCACCCCCTACAACGTGCATGAGCCACAACTCTCCATCGATACTAGCCCACGATCTTTATTAGATATTAATTTACGGGAGCGAAACTCCACATCATAGTCCCGCCATCCGTACCCTGTGTATTTGCTCGATGCCGACCGTATGAGCTGGCAATATTTTAGGATCTCTTGTGCGAAGTTTGGATGTGCCTGCAAATAGACACTCGCAAATGTCAAACAGGCGTTTGTCCACGCCTCAATATTGTAGATCTTGTTTCTTGCTGTTACTATTGGTTTAAGCATGAGTTGTTGTCCCGTTTGAACTACAGTAAAACCCGATTGACACTGTTCCATTGGAACGTATCCCTGCCCTCGAGCCGTCATCCCCTGGTTGCCTAGTAACCCGTATGATCCCCCAGGTCTGAATTTAGACCTCCATCCCGCCCTGGTACTATGGAAGGGAACGATACGGTAGGGACGAGGGCTGAATTGGTCTCTATGCTTTCATTAGATCTAGGCCTAATGCCTGTAATGTCAAGCTGACGGTTGTTTATCGTAAACTCACCCGGTTGTGTCACGACCGAGGGTCGTCCCGACGACTGACTGGGTGTTGCTGCCTGGGCTGCAGGCGCCTGCTCCACCGTCCCTGGGCCGGTCACTGGCTGATCTTGCGACACCGACTCCCTTGGCATTGACCTTGACGTGTATCTCCCTCTCCTACTACTAGTAGGCCTAGAGCTAGTAGTACTAAATCTAGGCCTTGTCACTCTCGTGCTGGGTCCTGTGGTAACACTAACATTCCGTGTTGATGCTCTGGTCTCGCGATCTTTGCGTTTAGTCGTCTGCCCGCCTCTTTTCTTCCCCATTGTCACTGTCAAGTTCGGGCTTGATCGAGCGCGATAGTCCGGTTTAGTTTATAGAGTAGATCTAGACTTGATCTAGAGTCTAGATCTATAGATCCCCTTTAGTTTATGTATCCAGAATAATCACTTCCAGAGTTATACCAGGCGATAGTGTGGGCTAAACCATCCTCGACGAGCCAGCACGGTAAAAGTTGTCTTGGTAATAAAATTGTTCAAGTGTAGACACCTAAAAAGTATAGGTCTACGTGTATATTCCTGTTCCTACGTGAATATTCCTGTTCCTAAAATCTGGGAGAACTAAAAGAAAAACATCCAACCCCAGTGGAACTTGTTGAGTATGTGAGACGAATTCAGTTGTTGTGCCGCGCATGCTAACTTGGAATGCGCGCACTTTACCGGTATCACGCGCGATGCGCTTAACTAATAGTTTCTCTTTTGACCTTTCTGCACTTTGCTAGCGTAAACAACTTTGACCCTGAACTATATTGTTTACGTTGCATTCTCTCACAAATGCGCTGATTCGATAACTCGAATAATCGAAATTTTCGCGTCCTGTTAAAGGTGAAATTCAAAGAAAATCACAAATATGTCAACTAATGTATCACTAGAAACTGGTAAGCTAACAGATGGCCATCGTACAAGTTTGAGGTCAGCTACATATCGGGTGATTTATAAAAATAAAAATAGAACCACCTCCATAGCAGCTGGGATATACGAGAGATTCGCCAGAAAATTACGATGTTTTAATGACGTCACAACAGGGACCAATACTGCCCAAGCAGACGACATCCCATAAAGAATAAACATAATTGCAAAGCTATTATTTGTCAAATTATAATGGGTTTAGTGTATATAAATGTACTGGCACGTCAAACCGATCAAAAGGGGACATGACCCGATTCTGATAACTAAAATCTTATGCTTGTAAATACACAGGATAGGGGTTAATTAACAATCAAAGAAACCAGCCTTTCAAATTGAAAAGCCCCCGGATTGATATTAAGGACGGCATTTGTTCCCTCTTAAAGCGCCGAACATACCGCGGTGTCTGCAGCTGAATATACAATGGCATTTTATTTTGTTTACAAGCGACAGATTCCTTTATTTTTGTATCGCTGCATTTGTCATCAAAATAAAACCATGCGCGGGGTTTAGAGTGAGGCAATAGATTATACATTTAGCCTGGCGGTAGTGAAGTAAGAGAAAGAACTCAAGAGAAGATGAAAACACAGGCACTGAAAATGTGTGAGATGTCATGGTACATCGTCTGCTTGTGCAAATCATGTCCCTGCTGTGATCTCACACATCTCAGCAGCGTTCGGAGAGCTATTCAGGTGCTATGCCGGGGCTGTATTTCAGCGTTTTGTAATTTATAATAATCATTACTTCGAATGTTTCCAAGCATTGAATTTTGATAACCTTGTCGAGTCAAAGTTTCAACTTTGCAATAATGAAAATAAAGCTAGATTTAAAATCAATGAATATCTACTTTAATGATTGAACAATATAATTACTGCCCTCTACGAACGTTTGTAGGCAGAGGAACCTGTTCGTTTGTATGTTTATTTTAATTCCATTTAATTTTTCAGCAAACTGTTTGCCCAATTCAAACTTTAATTCATGGTAACTCATTTAAAAAGTATTCAACCTTAGGGTTGGTATTCTCGAAAGCGGACTAACTTTAGATAATAATATTCGTATAAAAAATAATCAAACCATTTCTGTTATTTATATTTCAAGATACCGATGAATGCAGCAGTAATCCATGCCTAAATGGAGGATCATGCACTAATGATGTGAATGGGTTTACTTGTTCCTGTGTTTCTCGTTTCACTGGCGAACGCTGTGCTACAGGTAATGTATCTACAGGATATCGTCAGCAATAACAAATGCTATAAAAGTTAATCTTAAAGCCACACTGTACTACTTGTAGCTACTTGCTCCCTCTATATAGAAAACTTCCCCATCGATGCGAGGTCCTCCATGATCCTGTTTGTTTATGCTAATTGAGAGCTGAGTTAATGAGAAAGCCACCTGTCAGTGACTTAACTGGGTGTTCTAATCCCTTATGGCTGAACTAGTACAGCCGGCCTTTAAGTTGAAGGCTTCGGGAAGCCATGGCGGACTTGTATACATGAGTTTCAGACATGACTTGCCTCTTGAAATGGTAAAGGATAATAGAAAACAAGAAAACGATAATCCTCCTGTTAGCAGCCTTTTTTATGTATCATTATTCTCTGTCGTTTCTGTTTTAATATGGCTTCTTGTGTGGGAGGGGTCACATAATACCAGCAAGAAATCAAGAGAAACAATAATTTGTTGGTAAATATTTAAATCATTACAGAAAGAGTATGTGTGAAACATTATGCCTAGGTACAACCATCACACAGTCCAATATTGTCAATTAAGTCGCAAATTAGGCGACAAGTGGGGCGGCCTCGAAAGCCGACCTGATCGGAAAGCGTTTCTCTTATTGCAAGCCAAGAGTAAGAGCTGTAAAAGCTTTGGTACAACTTTCTGTTAAATGAAATCATAGAAGTGGATCTTTTATTGGATGGTTGTAGATATTTTGTCTTGTTAAACACGATCAATATTTTGCACTACATTTACTTAAATTGAAAACTCGTTCTCTACAATAATGACTCTCGAGTAACTCCTTGATGAATCATTTGGAGTTGAATAGATTCTTCTCGTATTGTTTCGTCATCATGTGTACCTTGGTTGATGATTTTTTTTTTTAAACCAGGCCCGTAATCACGGTAATATAAGTAAAGTGTAAGCTCTCACATAGCCTCAGAAGAGGACGTGTCAATTCAAACACAGAATACCACCCAATGGCTTTTCTTCTCTGATAATTAGATATCAAGTTAAGACCATGCATACACAAGATGAAAGTGGATTTGTTGTTAATGCTTGACTTTTCAAGATTAACCCTGTGGGGTTGGAAAGACATTCATCCAGATTTTATTACAAAATGACAAACTATTTCGGGTTGTTTTATCCTTTGTACAGATATTGACGACTGTGCGAGTAACCCTTGTGAGAATGGAGGGACCTGTATCGATCTTGTAGCTGCTTACTCGTGTTTATGTCGAGAGGGATTTTTAGAAACAAACTGCCAAACAAGTAAGGTCTTTACAATCACATTCATTTATTGCCTAAAGAAATGGGAGCTTAATCATGTAGTTCAGCTAAAACATCAAAACTACTTCTTAGTGTCGTCCTATAACAAACATATTACAAAGACTCATTACTATTATTCTTTTGTTTCTTTTAGACTGCATTAATGTAATCGTTTAGTAGTTTGTATTTTTCTTTACACAAACAAATCCACTCACAGACATATGAAATATGTTTATATATACCAAGAGAGATGAGAAGGAGAGAGAGGGAGTGTGGGTGTGTACGTGTGTTACAGCGAGAGAGACAAATTGATAGTCGAGGAGTAAAACATCCACTTGAAAATATATTCAAGTACGACACATGTATACGTAATTATGTAACTTTTAATCTAACAGAGATAATTGCAAATATACCACTAAAAATAAACACTTTATATTCTTATAAAATATATTAAATCAAAAAATAATAATTATTATTATTATTTTTTTTAAATAATAATAATATTTATAAACAAAATTAAACATTTTTAAAAATGTGAGTGTAGGTAAAATGATCATAGAGCATTATATAGACATTGTACGTACCCTTCCTATATTACAGGATCGAATGAGTGCTTCAGTAATCCCTGCATTCACGGACAGTGTGTAGACTATCATAAGAGGTACCAGTGTCGATGTGACGCTGGTTATACAGGGTCTTCATGCGATACAGGTAAGAATCCAATGCACTCTCCTAGGGTTTTTAATTCCATACTTAAGGGCCCGAATTCACAAAGGAGGTTTGTCGACAAACCTCCTTTTGTTTCGCCAAACCTCCTTTTGTTTTTAACAAACCAGGTTTGTAAAAAAAACGCGTAAAAACGCGTCATCTGACGTATGAAAATCAAGGTTTGTCGACGAACCTCCTTTGTGAATTCGGGCCATTATGTTCATATACATTTGCATACATCAAACTCTGTGTACAAATTTGAAAGGGAACTATTACAATCATACTATTTCAAATTGTATTTGAAATTCCAGTGGAGAATCAAATCACTTTGTCACAGGCACCGTGCATCTTCGTGAAGTGTATGTTTTCTTGCTACATGTAATATCATTATAATGGCTTACACCCAGTAAATAAGATTGTTTGATCGATCTGTATTGAAAAACAAGTCAGAAAATATCTTGGAACCTGCGGGACTTGAACCTGCATCTACTGCTTGCCGGGCAGAGACTCTACCACCAGGCCATCACTGGTACATGGCACAGTCACGATGAACTAGAACAAATACCTAAGCTCTCCTGATTCATTCTGACTCATTAATATTCATTAGTCCGCCATAGGACAATAATTTTTATTAATGTAATGCTTCCTGGGAGAAATTTCAATTATTTAAACACATTTGTGGCTTACACCCAGTAAATAAGATCGATTGATCGATCTGTATTGAAAAACAAGTCAGAAAAAATCTTGGAACCAGCGGGACTTGAACCTGCATCTACTGCTTGCTTACTGGGTGTAAAGCTATGGTCACAAATCAGAGCAGCGACCGACCGATCAGTAGCCTGCTCGGTCGCTGCTGGAATTAGGCATCGCCCAGCGATTACGTCGGTGCCCGGTCAGCGACCGCCCAGGCACCGAGCGTATTTTGGGCGGCGACTGAAAAGTGAGCAGGCGCCGCCCAAATTTAAACTCCGCGCTAAAACTTCAGCGGCGACCGAGCGATGCCCTAAAAACGAGCGGTGCCTGGGCGGCCGCCGCTCGGTGGCCGGGCAGCCGCCGGGCAGAATTGGTTAAAAACTCGCCGCTCGGCCGCCGAGCAGGCTACTTTTGGGTTATGTGACCATAGCATAAGCCACAAATATGTTTAAATAATTGAAATTTCTCCCAGGAAGCATTACATTTATAAAAGTCAGAATGAATCAGGAGAGCTTAGGTATTTGTTCTAGTTCATCGTGACTGTGCCATGGACCAGTGATGGCCTGGTGGTAGAGTCGCTGCCTGGCAAGCAGTAGATGCAGGTTCAAGTCCCGCTGGTTCCAGGATTTTGTTTCTGACTTTTTTTTCAATACAGATCGATCAATCGATCTTATTTACTGGGTGTAACCCACAAATATGTTTAAATAATTTTGTTACAGAATATTGAGTAAGCGTTACTCGCGGAAGAAAATGTATGACTCCTTCTGTACTTACATGCGAAAATGAGACTTAAATAAAAAAAAATAGTAGATTGCAGAACCACCTAATTCATTCGCACAACGAACTCACATGTGTAGATCCTTGATAGGCATACAGGAACAATTTGTTGTTGGGTGTGCAAATATCTCTTGCCCGAATATTAACTTTCCAGTTAATGTAACAATATTCCATGCTCATCATTGTTCTATGACTTTTCACTTCCAAATTAAGACCTTCCCAAATTTCATTATTTCATTGTTTACTAAATTGCGTGCTACCTACTTGACCTAGGTCAATATGTTATCACTTGACAAAGTCAGTGCTTCATTATTCATTTACTTACGTTATTCGGATCTCTGAAGCATGTACTGTATATTCTAAATCAATTCTGTAACGATTAATCAAGGCATATCGAATACATTGTAAATTATTGTAAACCATTCGTCTGTCTGGGGTTAAAATGCAAAAATAGGAAGGGTACAAACCGTTTATTTGTTACATTTTCCAGTATAATTTTAAAGGCAATATTGGGAGTACCTCTGCATCAATTAATGTCTTTGTTCTGTATACATACAGAACTAATGTGTTCACCCCTAAGTGATCCACCAGAAGGAACAGAATTCACCAATCCGACAAATCTATACTTCTACGGTGACGTGTTGACTGTCTCATGCCGTGATTCGTCAGCTTCTACTCTGTGGATCTGCCTTGGTACTAACACTTGGAACAAACACGAGCTAGTCTGTACAACAGACTCATCAAAGCAGAGTAAGTAGATTACATACTAGGTCTCAACTCTCTCTCACCTGCTAACCTAAGCCCAGGGCCCTGTTTCATAAAACTTATTATCAATAACAGCTGCCATAGATCTTTAACACAACTGCTCACAACCAATCAGATGCCACGATTTTCAGTAGCTTAAAACAGTTATTGTAACTTGATATTGACAACAAGTTTTAGGAAAAAGGGCCCAGGTATACCTGGCCTTGTCTGTTCTAGTCACGATGTTTATTCATAAATAATCGAGAAAACGTTTCCATGCTGGCACGAGATATCCTGCCGTGATATGTAGAGCAGTAGAGCATTTTCTCCAGCGCGATCTAACACAATTTTCTTTAAACAACTTTTTTTCCCCAGTTTCCCCTGCTTCGAATTGATTGCATATCCATCTTAGATCTAATTTGATATTGCAGATGATTACATCCATCAAGATTCAAATTTATTCATAAAAAATCCAATTGTGCTGGCCAAAAAATCATTTCGGTTGAATAGATTTCACAGTCGACTTCAAAATAGGAAATATTTAAAGCTAGTCAAACTTACTAACGTCCAAAATATGTAATAGCTATGGTGATAGTATACCCGGGGTTTTCCGACAATACATTTCAAGGATAGGGCAACAAATTATGATTTTTCTTGATGTCTTTTCTTCAGCTCTGGTAATGATTTCTGCATTGCTTGGAGTACTTCTCATTGTCTTCATCATCACATGTGCTTTATACATAATGTAAGTATTGATTGGCAGCTTGTAACTATAATCATCATTCTTTTATCGAAAAAGTCCTTTTGTAAAACCAAAATGTTTTTAAAATATGTCATAATCGCGTACATTACTCCTTAACTTTAAAAGGACTATAGGCTTTTTATTAAGTTTTGATGACTGGAGGATAGATGCTTTCCCCATACGACCGATATCCCTGGCACTTATGTAAATTAAATGCCCAAAGATGCTTTAAACTTCTAGAAAAACAAATTAAATCGGCTGGAACAATAATCGTCGAAGGATAATTGCATCGTATCGTATTTCGGAGTACCCGTTAGAATTGAGTATATTGGTATCAATCGTTATTTTTCATTCATAATAGATATCGTCATCGGACTGGTTCTGCTAATCTGAATACGATCAACAGCTCCGTTCGAATGACAGGAGGAGAGGTATTTATAGTTACCCATTACATTAAGGCCGAATCAACCTTATGTATTAATCAGCCATTGTGCGCGTACAAACCTAAAGGTTCTATGAATAAAGCTAATGTTCTTTTAGAAGCGTTCTGTATTTCAAAACCAGTAAACCAGTAAATTATAAACACAATGAAAATTACACTATACACACTAAAGTGAGACGTCTTTCCATTGTTAGAAATAACATCTATCATTGTTTATTTACATTACAGTGGTCACAGCAGACTGTGTTCATAATTTCCAACGCTAATGTTTATAGTTGAAATGCCCAAAATGCATAGAGCACTGAGTGGTATCCACCATCTACAAGTATTAATTGTCGTATAATATTATTAACTGGAGAAATTCTTTATTCTTGATAGGTTCAGTTTGGTGGAATCAGTAATCGAAGCTTCGAGAATGATAACCGGCCCTCCCGCCCGCCTTCCTATACCGAAGCGTGACCCCTGTGAAATACCTACTTATACCGACACAAAGTGACCCCTCGACGACTTTCCTATTCCGAAACTTAATGACCCTTTTCAAAAATCTTCTTATACCGACCGACCGACACTTAGTGACCCCTGCCAACCATTTTCCAATTCAGAAACTTAGTGGCCCATTCCAGAAAATCTTCTTATACCGACATTTAGGAACCCTCAAACGTCCTTTCGAATTCGAAACTTAGTGACCTCTTCCAAAACAACTTCTTATTACGACACTTAGTGACCCCTTGAGACAATTCCTATGTAGAAACTTAGTGACCCCGTCCAAAACAACTTCTTATACCGACACTTAGTGACCCCTCAAACCGCCTTCCTAGTCCGAAACCTAGTGACCCCTTCCGAAAACCTTTGTATACTGACCGACACTTAATGAGCCTTCCTGTTTGGAAACTTATTGACCCCTGCCAACCTCTTTCCTATTCGAAAACTTTGTTTAAATTTGAAGAAAATAATGAAATATTTACTATTGAACAACAAAATATTTACTCAGGAGCTAACCTCGATTAGCATGTTGCTATTGTCAGCTCTAGTTACCAAATAATATGTATGTATATTGTATTGACTAAAAATGAAGGTATATGTTGATGATTCGGTAATAAATTCAAACTTCAGATACGTAGTTATGTTTAAATTGAGAATCAGCCGAAGCTGAGTAGAAAGCGGTGGGTTTGAGAACATGCATTGAATTTAATTCATCAAACCATATAGGCCTACATGTAAAAAGAAAAACATTCAATAGAAAAAAGAATAAACATACAAAATAAAAAGCAATTATATGGTCAGGACCACAAAGAAGCAGATTGCTCATAAAAACGCCACCACTTAACACAAATTAAATACGATTTAGTCACCATACCCACTAAAACACACACACGCACATACAAAATAAATCATACCTACACGAAATACTGTATTTACTTGCACGTGAATCGATATAAGCTTTTTGGCGTCCCTTAACGAATAATGCATTAGAAATATATATTACGTTCAGATATATTCGATTTATCAAAACTGTACATTTTTTGGATTACTTTGAATTAAAAATTTATTTTTATATTGTGAGATTTTGTTTTATGTTGACCAATATGTATATAATGCACGGTGGACATTATCATTACATTCTCCGTATGGGATAAAGGTATTTCTCAATATCATTGCTGAAATATATTAAATTGTAAGTTTATAGTAATTTTTTACTGAGGAATGAGATTTAGAATGTGTACATCAAATATTGGGAATAGTATACGAAATTGCAATTATGTTGTAACCAATTTATAATCGGAATAAAGCTTTAATAAGTCTTTTCATTCTTTTGACATCAAATATTTTAAAAATAATTATGAAGTATTGCGTTCTGTCTATTATGGTATTCACTTGTTGTTATATAATATAACTGTTTTGGCTATTCATATGTTATCGAAGTTTGTTAAACCAACAGGATAGTGCATTACTTTGGTTGAAATTGTGTTTTTATGTTCATTCTCACAAATTGTTATCCTCTGTTGATGCATTGTTGAAATAAAGTAGTCACTTTATATATCAAGCGATTTAAAGGAAAACAGTATATTTGCTCACACGGTATCTTTATTTTGACGGTGTTTTTTAATACGGTTTTATCTTTTTATCTGCCGATGCATTATTCAGGTATTTTAATCTGCTTGTATCGAGTGATTAAAGACAAAAATGTTATTAATATTTCTATCAACTATTACTTTTTGATTATCGCGTTTTTTGCGTTAATATGTATTAACCTAAACTAGATAAAGTGATATATGTGAAATTGATCAATATTTTGGAATAGAAAACGCAATCTTCATTACAAATCACCGTCATATGAAATTCTTTGCGCAGTCGTTCGCATTCCCATATGCCTTTTTTTTCATTAATTCTTCTTGTCCTAGTCCATTCTATTCTGCCGTTCATAATTTTGTGAAGGTTGTAGTTATTAATTGAATATCTAATTGAAAATGATCCAAGCTGTTTGTCTATGAGAAAGGAAATATCACTCGACAGACTTCGATAAAACAAACTGGCAACAATGTAAAACAAGAGGCTGTTAATTGACGAATAATTTATTCCATTCTTTTTTTGCTCGTCATGAACAATTCAAGTTACATATATTTAATGCAAACTACATGAGGGTTTTTTTTAATGTAAAATTACCATACAATATTCAATTTTGACGCTGTACGTAAATAAACATTACCAAGTGGCTTTTTTTTATAGATGAAATTAAGGCACACGTAATTTATACCCCATATTGAAGCAACATAATGTCAATGCGATTATACAAACGTTTTACATTCAATTTTCCTTTGCTAGCAATGGAGGTCATTCATTCTTATTTCAATAAGAAAACTCTAACTCGAAACAGTAGTTTTATTGTAGACTCAATTTCATCTAACCACTGCTCATAGGGGAGTAGTAACTGCTAAACGTTTGCTCTAACTCATTTTATCAACAGACCAAACTAACATTTATTGGTTCTTTAAATGTATGAAATATTTTCAGACATTTTATATGTTTCTTACAATGCTTACTGAATCATGTAAGCTTTAAGACCAATGAATTTACCCGACGTTATATTTCACGTGAAGGGGTCGGGAATAACATTCCTTGTATTTTATCAGAAGTATCTGGTAACATTCTTCATTTGTTGTTGATTGTAGTTGTACCAGTGGGTTGTATATTTAGACGTCATCAGGTATGACACGATTAGCAGCGATCTCTATGGCCTCTTGAGTGAGCTTCTGTGGTGGTGGTTTGACCTTGGTGATCTTGTAGCTTGGATCTTGTCCTAGCAACCAGAAGGTATGGATTTCTCCTTTACCCTGGGAACAAATCACACAGAACCATGGGTGTCGATCCTGGGGGATGGGGGGATATATCCCCCCCCCCCCAATATTTTAGGTGGGGGATGGCCTGTACAATCATCCCCCCCCCCCAATAATTCACCATAAAAAAAATGAAAACATGAAGAGAAAAATTAACGAGAGCCCGATGAGAGTAGTTAATGGTTATTACTCGCAAGATGACCATCAATATACACATTTTGCTATCTCATTTTCATAATACATACATACGTACATCGTGTGGGGAAACTGAATTCAGACAAGGATTAATATAGAGAACAGTACAACGAATCATCTTCCTTCTCTATTAATTTAGTGAAACGGCAAAGCTTCCGCGCTTTGCATGAGAGGGGGGCAATGAATCCAGACTAGGATTAAGAGTTATAATTAAATGAAACGTCAAGGTACACAATACAACGAATCGTCTTCTTTTTCTAACAATTTAAGAAAACGTGAAAGCTTCCGCGCTACGCGCGGGATGGGCGACAATGATTTCAGACGTGGATTAAGAGTAATGATTAAATGAAACGTCAAAGCTTCTGCGCTTCGGGCGGGAGGGGGGAACTGAATTTAGACAAGGACACGATACAACGAATCGTCTTCTTTCTCCAATAATTTAATGAAACGTGAAAGCTTCCGCGCTTCGCGCGGGATGGGCGAACATGAATTCAGACGAGATTTAAGAGTCGAGAATGGTACATCGAGTCGTCTTCTTTCTTTAATATTCTAATGAAACGTCAGAGCTTCCGCGCTATGCGCGGAGGAAGGGGAACTTGATTCAAACAAGGATTAAGAGTCGAGAACGGTAGATCGAATCGTCTTCTTTCTTTAATGATCTTATGAAACGTCAGAGCTTCGGCGCTATGCGCGGGGGAAGGGGAACTTGATTCAAACAAGGATTGAGAGTCGAGAACGGTCCAACGAATTTTTTCAAATAATTGAATGAAACTTCAGAGGGGACCCCACCCCCCCCCCCCTCCCTGCACTATATATAGGGAGCGCGCTCTGTAAGTATACAACTTTATACACGAAAAACATAAAAACTAATAGTATAGGCCTAGATCTATATGCGTTATGCAAACATATGCAAACATAACCTCCGATAAATGCTCACTACCTCCGCGTGCTCACTACCGCCCTCCCCTAAAATGAAATCCTGCATGGATACGCGCTAGGGAAGAGGGTGCAACCTGCCACACACTTCTACCTCTTGGTTGCTTTGATCCATTGCCGAAAATATTTGGCACCTATCATTCCCCCAACCACAGATACAAATCGACACCCTTGCACAGAACATTTCAAAAATTAATGATTGTATAAATTTAATCTTCAAGACTTGCTGGCGATTGAAAGATGACATGTCTTTGACATCAACTGCGACTATCTGAAACTATATTACATTATCATTGGAAGTTGTAACGAAAAATATTTTTGTTAGACTTCTCGTTGTATTCCACTCAAATTGGCTAGATGTCAAGAGTTCACTAAAAAAAAAAATTTGCGATTGAAGAACATATTTATCACAGGGTTTGTTTTCAACAGCTGGAATATTTAGAAGGTATAATGTTGTTGGTTTACCTACCTTCATTGGAACAAGGCCTCGATCTTCAAGTTCATAACCACCAAGCTTATCCAGAACCTGTTTGCACCATGGACTAACGTGGATTCGCAGAGCTGTGAAAAAAATCACCCAAGTCAATTCGAAAATGAAATCCCTAAATATATAGACCATAAATTTGCTTAGGCCTTTCGTTGTAGATATGAAGAAAGGAAACAATGCTTTTTCTTATGTCACATGAACCCGTGATTTGAATAAATCTATAAGCAAACTATGATTCCAGGTACTATGGGTCAGTAGTAAAAATAAATAAATAGGGAATACATTTCAAGTTTGAGCGCATGAAAACTATTTCCGAATTAAATGAGTAACTTTAGCTACTTTTTAAGCCTACATTACTCGGTTTTAATATTAATGAGATTTCTGTATTGCAGTATAGGGCCGAGTCTTTTTAATGTGTACCTATTACCGTTTAAGATTTAGAATTAGCTGAATGAGTATAAAGAGAAACATCATTACAAAAACTAGATGGAACTTCGACTGCGCGCAGTCGAAAATGATGCCTCCGTCATAGAGCAATTTTACAAACCAAAACAGAAGAAATTTTTCGAATTCAAGTTCAATTGTAATCCATTAACAGGTTCTCAGAATATTGTGATTACAAGCTATTTTTGCATACATAATGAGCCCATGACCTTTGACCTTGTGACCCCTACATCTAATCAGTTCATCGGCTCTGCAAGTAACATACATGACCAAAGTTTGGCAGCAATCCATCAATCGGTTCTTCAGATAACGCGATCACGAGCTCGTTTTGCATACATAATGAGCCCTGTGACCTTTGACCTTTGACCTCGTAACCCCAAAATCTAATCAGTTCATCGGCTCTACAAGATACATACATGACCAAAGTTTGGCAGGAATCCATCAACCAGTTCTTCACATAACGCGATCACGAGAACAGGGCGTACGTACGTACAGACGTACGTACGTACGGACGGACAACCCGAAAACATAATGCCTCCGGCTACTTCGTAACGGAGGCATAAAAATTGGAGTAATGTTAAATCTGGATATTGATAGGCTAAAATGATTTTTGTTGAAGAATCCAAATGTTAACTGACCAAGTCCATTTGATTCCATACGGGATGCTGTGTTGACGGTATCTCCAAAGAGACAATAACGAGGCATCGTTAGACCAACTACGCCAGCGACACATGAACCTGTACAAAAAGGAAAGTTCAATACAACCATTATATCAACGAATTTAGATAAGACCTTGGTGAGAATCAATATGTAACTGTATTAAATCTGTTCCGCCCAATACCTGGTTTAATTTTTTTTTTAATCGCATTTAAAAAAAAATGAATGTTAACAAATTACACAAAGGATATAACTGTTACTAGTCAGAAATACGTGAATCGACATAACAGGCTTATGATCAACAATTTCATGACTTCAAAATTAGTCTTTCTCGATACCTTCACTCTTGTGATCTGCTATCTACTTTCAAATATCAGCGTAATACCCATTCCACATTCTTACAACTAGCTACTACCCCAGTCTCTCCCAGAATATCTTCTTTTTTGTAAATGTCTTTGATTAGGCAGATAAATACTTGCGCTTTACAAATTTCATTGATTGGAAATGTAATTCTTTTAAATATGCACCTTTGGTATCAAATTCAAATTAAATCCGATCCTATCTGATTCAACCAGAGCGATCAAACCCGAAACTCGGTTTCAAAATGATAGATGACTTGACTACAATATATTTGCATCTTTGGGGGTATATGGTGGAGAGAAGAAAGTGCAGATTGATAAATCATGTTGCCATCAATTAAGTGGTATTGGTAATTAAGTGAAGCTTACCCGAATGGATACCAATACGGAGTTTAAGGAAGACCTCGGGTTTATGAGGTACAATGAATCCTTTGACAGATTCTAAGAGATGATGAGCAGTAGATGCGATCTGACCAGCATGACGATCTCCATTACGGAGAGGTAAACCGGATACAAGCATGTATGCATCTCCAATGGTTTCGACCTGAATAAGATATACATAATTGGATTACTCATGAATTACCAGGGATGTCAATTCAAATTCCATTACGATGTGCTATGCAGCCATATTCAAGGACATTGCCATTGGCAGATCTGGGACCCGTTCACAATGCCCCTTTTCAATGGCAAATGACAAAAACCAGTGACATTTTTGGTGAAATGGGGCCCAGATGGTGTTAAGTCAGTCCCTCCACACCCCCCCCCCCCCCTACCCTCTCCTTTCTAAAATGTTAGAACCTTATTTCTCTTTGCTTTCTCTTTGTTCAGATATCCCTACTGGTAGGTCGTCCAGCGAGTGTTTAAATTCAAAATGTAATTCAGAAAATTGAATTTACACAGCTCTTGGATTAAACGAGAGAAACTGCAATATCATGGATGAACAACTTACAGGAATAGATCTGTAAATTGATGCACTGACTATCATATATCACTCAACTACATACCTTGTACACGTCATAGTTGGAAATAATGGCATCGAAAAGAGTGTACAAATCATTCAGCAGGTTCACGACCTATAGAGACAAATAACATAAAATTCTTAAGTTGTGTCTAATTCCCTCCATGGGGCGTTATTATTTATCCAGTAAGTACTATTTTAGATAAACAGATGGCATGGTAGTACCAGTTAGAAATATTCTAGTAATAGTATATATGTCTCATTTTGCGTGTTAAATATCTATCCCCTATTTAGAACACCGAGTATGAAAGATATTTTATGTAGTATTATGGTTTTAAGTTGGATGTTATAAGACCACAAAATTGCGTGAACAAATTTTAAAAAAAGTTTACATGACATTTGTTATATATCCCAACTTTGAATATTCACCAGGATCGACATTGTAATTATTACCAGACAGTATCAGTCATATTGTAATTGTCAGTATCATTATCGTTGTCATTTTCCATCAGACATAAAAGTTACAGTTTTACATGGTTTTGACTTTGCGATCAGTCGTTGGTATGTGTAAATGAGATTCAATCCCACAGACATGGGAGTGAGATGCCTATAGATCTAGATACGATTAGCCTGATTATAGTCAATATATTGTCCAGCTAGCAATCATTCTTACCAAAATATGGACAAATTATCACATCGGGAAACAACAGAACCTTTCTGCTGGTATATAGTACCCTTGTAAGGTAACTTGTTAGAAACAGGTGTGCAGGGATTAAAGATGGCCTACCTGAATTGGTGTACTAGCCGCAGAGAGGGCAGTAAAACCAACAATGTCAGAGAAGAAGATGGATACCATTTCAAAGGTTTCGGGTAAGACAGCAATACCCTTGATCAGCTGAGATGCAATGGATCTGATTCAAAGGCAATCACAAAAATAAAGGGAGAATATTGAGAGATACAGACAGGAGATGAAGAGAGGTAGACAGGCAAAGGGACAAGCAGACGAACAAATACAGTGACTTAGATTTACAGAAATTGTAGACAAAAGGGAAACATTTACAAGAATTGAAACGAACAAGGAAAGATGAATCTTGAGCAAAATGGTTAGCTTAAAGGGAATAATACAGTGAAATGCGCTTTTATCAGCTACTTATAACTCCAAAGACCCTGTAACAGCAAATAGAGGTTTGTGATAATCATATCATAATTTCAATATTTTGAAGTCGAAATTACTAATCGAGATTATATTTTGATTGGTTGGTTGGTTGGTTGGTTGGTTATTTTACCTGACTGCTAAGAAAGCATAAATGCTTGTAAGTAAGCAACCAGACGGCCGACGGCTTTAGGTCCTCTCCGAGGGACCTGGTAATGAGGATTAATGAATATATCATATTTTAGGTGATGTACTTACGGTGGAAGCATACGATGAAGTAGTTGTTCTGTCTTAGTCTTCTCCTTCTGCAGTTCCTGTGTTCGTTCATCTACTAGTTCTTCCAAGTTATTGGTATAGCGTTCCATGATGGCAATCATGTTGTCCAGAATGTTAGGTTTCCTACGAGCAATTATTAAGCAAACAAAGCATGTTATTAACCTCCATTTTGTTGAGTCTTACATCTTGTTTTTCATAGCAGTATTCGCTCGAACCATTTCTGTTGTTCAAATTTGATTTACATATTGTGGACATTTCTTCTTTTTTCCTCTTCTTCTCATTGAATTCTGCTAGGCGAAGAACAGTGCTTGAGCACAGATTTAATATCGAGAAATAGTATTTAGATGATCGAGAGACAAGAGAAGACAGAAATAAAGTGAAAAGAGATTTAACTACATAAGAACAAGGATACAGATGATTGATGGAAGTCGAAGTGTTTGAAGAGAAACTCACAATCCTTTCTGCAATGGAGCTAACATGGTGCGTACTGCCATGATATTGGGTCGGTCAGCAGGATCTTCAGGCCAGCATGCACGTATCGCACTGAGTACGCAGTCTGGAGCAGCAGCATTTACTGCATTCAGGATCGGACGATACGGCGGCACTTCACCACTCTTCACTCGTCCAATGATATCTGAGAAATGAAGACAATTTTGAAATGAAAAGAATATTCATACATATACATATATACAGACCTTTAATCGATTAGTAGCAGATTTTTTTGTTGATCTCTACAGTCATTCAAACGTTTTTAGACGAATCAAGTACAAACGGAACAGCAATTATATACACAGTACGATATTACCCCCCCCCCCCCCGGCAGTGGCCTTTACTTCTAGTGAAGAACATAGAAGAACAAATCATAAAACCTCATAAACAGAAAGAAATGACATTTCATAAAAAAGTACAAAACTGTATCTACAGGAATAACCAATTTTGTATTTGGATGGAATGAGATGGAAGTGGACCAGTATATAAGGTGTTACCTGCTAGATCCATTTCGTTCTCATGGAAGGGCTCTTGTCTTGAGTAGAGTTCAGTCAAGATGATAGCAAACGAGTATATATCTCCTTGAGGGGAGCCGGCTGTAGGCATGCTCCCTTCTTGTCGGAGATGCTCTGGTGATGTCCACAATTGACCTGAAATAACATTTGAAAAATAATTATTATACCTCTGAATTCACTTCTACCAAAAAGGTGGCTTGGTATTTTGTCTTCAATCTCCAACAAAAATAAAATAATAATAACGTTTTATTTACCCAGGGTAGCCACTTCAGTTATGAAACTGCTCTTCCAGCGGGCCCTGCATAACATAATGTTACTATTAACCTTCTCCAATCTAATATGTTGAGTGCCTAGCTAAAAAGGCAAAGTCCCATTGTTATAAGCCTTTGGTATGACTCGGCCGGGGATCGAACCCACGACCTCCCGTTCATGAGGCGGGCGCTCTAATCATTCAGCCACGTAATTTGACTTACTTTTCTGTTCCATTTACCCCCCCCCCCCCTTTTTTCCCCTCTATCTCTCTCTCTCTCTCTCTCCACATTACATGTACGCCATTGCTAAAAAATATCATTGCTAACAAATATCATAAACTCCATTCCAGGGATCCATTCATTTACATTATTTACATAATACGATACATAATAGTCAAGATACATGTATGGCATAAATAGCTCATTGTTATTATGTATACAATGAAAATTAGCCTTTTGATTTGATTTGATTTGATTTATTGGTTTCTGCATCTTTTTTCTTTTTTTCATCATACATTTTCAAGAACATAATATGGTTTGATACAATATTTTAAGTGTATATAATTTTATACAGATAATAAACGAAATTAAACAAATATATTGAATGCATGATTAACATACATTAGAGGCAGGAGGGCTACAGAAATAAGCAAAGTAGCAGTGTTGTTTAATGAAGGGAATGTGAGAATCCCATGACTTACGGGCTAGTTTTGCATGGTCACCGAGGTCGACATCTTGTTTCTGTCCTTTCTTGAATTCATTCAGGCCGTAGTCAGTGATCTGAAGTACCCAACGGTTATCGACCACACAGTTGCTTGATTTCAGATGCCCATGTGATTTGATCTCTGAGCTATGCAGATAGACGATGCCTTTGACCAGGTCAGCAATCAGTGATGATAGGAACATACTGTCCAGCTTGATGTCATCATTCTCAAGAATATCCTAGAATTTAATCAATGAGTATTGTTCTAATGAACTATTCGCTTGTATTACCAAACAATTGACCCTTATGTCCCTCCGCCCCCCCCCCCCAAGAATGCCTTACATAGAAACAAGAGTAAGTAGATATTTGAAACATTGGGTCTCAAATTTTAAATAATTATGGACGAGTTGGATTTTGATTTTCTTCAGGTTTTCGGTGCAGGGTGTACTTCTACGAGCCTGTTTTCTTTGTTTCATTTAGGTAAATAAAATATAGATATCATCTACATCATCATCTTATATATAACTATAAAAATCGTGATAATAATACTACATTGCTCTTATAGCGCATACCACTGCCTTACCGTCTCTATGAGCTGAGAAACAGAAATATATGAAAGGAAGAGGGGTGCTGTAAAACATTACCTGCAAGCTTCCCTTAGCGCAGTAGTGCATCAGGATACTGATATGAGGACGATCAATACAAGCTCCGATGAAAGGACAAATGTTATCATGTCTCATGTCACGCATCTGATAGAAGGTACATCAAAAATAATACAAACTGGTTAAAAAATGGCCTTGGTGGAAATGCCAATATTTCTAGCATCGTAGAAGAATGTTCACACTATATGCCTTTTGCAGATCAAACTAAATTCAGAAGCAATTGTTCATTTCCTTTGAGAACCATAGAATTAGAACTGTAAAAGCGGGGTTTTTTTTAAATTACAACTCTGTATTCGAGAAAAATAATGTACGATAGAAAAGAATAATAATAATAATAATAATAATAATAATAAAAATAATAATAATAGCCAAATAGTCCACTCCAAATTTTATTAAACCGAAACGGAAAATAAAGTGAAATATAACTCCCGAGTTCCTTAAATAGTCATATCGATTTCATTGTGTCTCCTAAAGTTTGTTAAGTTCATTATTTCATTGCTTAATAAGGATAACTATGTTGATAATAGTAACATTTGAATAGAGTTTAATACAATTGCTCCCCTCTCAGCTGGTCACTGATATGATCATTCTGTATACAGTACTTACTATTTTCAGCTCAGTTCTTACAGCCCTTGTAAGATCAATGTGGTTCTTATGAACTGCATGAAGAGCACACACTGTACCCTGAATAAAAAAGAGAAGAAAAATCACTTATAATAAATACTTCTCAATAAGTCGTGAAACATTATTTAATTAAAGATATATTGATAAAACGATCTTATGTACACATTTATTGTAACGCGTTTGTGGAAACAACAGAATATATCTTCACGGCAACTTTGCATGTGCTGTACATACATGTGTACTAAGAAATAAAGCTACAATTTCGTTAGAAATACCTGAGCTTCTATTCGAGTACTATACATGGTGGGGCGAATGATTATCATGAACGATACATGCATGCATCTCACTTAAACTGAGCAATTTGACATCATCAATTGATAATCTAAACAGCGACTTACCCTGTATGTACCAATGGTAGCAAATATCTGTTGTTTTTCAGCATTCGATATGACCGAGATGGCACTCATAACCATGTTCTTCATGGAGAATCCCTGAGAATTTGTATCCGTTGCTTTAGTTTGTACTTCACTCCAGTCAACCTTCCACACCAAGCTATCAAGTGCTGCTTCGTACGCCCGCTTCCTACAAGAAATCATTACATCCCGATTTCAATTGATTTGATTTGATTTGATTTATTTATTTCCGTTTGATTTTCTCTTTCTTTTGCAGTTTTACAAATATATAACAAACAAAACATTGCACATGTAACACATTTCAAAAGAATATAATGTCGAATAAAGTAACTAATCAAAAACATCAAACAGGAGGGTTGACAAAGTAAGCAAAGCTTGGTAGCATGACTACCCTCAGTGGATACATAATAATACGAATATGGTGGAACAAATATTGGTAAAAGGGGAGAGAGAGAAAAAAAAGAGGGGGGGGGTGTACATCAAGATTCACAGATGTGTGTGGTACAATGTATTTGGATTTCAATTTGATATATGAAGATTAAAAAAGAAGATGCACATATGAATATTGGGTGGCCAACTTGGGATATACTATAGAATGGGAAGCCTCACAAGGTTTCTGGACAATATGAATAGAAGTGTGAGATCAGCGAGCTGGTTTGTATAGACTGTAAACTTTTTTCTGTATACAAAACAGGTTTTGGGAGTATCCCATATTCAAATTATAACTTCCATGAAAAACACTGGTCAAATATTTGAGAGGACTAATTACAAGCAATTCATTAAGTATCACCTCAAGAGTTTTATTACACTTTTTTGTAACTTTCATAACGAACTGAAATTCATTCCATAATTCTTTTGATTTACTTTTTGTAATGCTTTTTGAAATATCAAGGTCAATGAGCTTCGAAACAAAGCAGCCATGTTAACAGAAAGAGAGGTGATTTTACCTGTAAATAAAGAAACCAATTAGTCCTCCAAAGATGATGAGGAACGTTGGTATAGAAGCTCCAAGGTAAAGTGCCCAATCTTTAGATAAAAAAGATGTTAAAAGAATGTAATTATGAAGTAAATTCATATAGATTAGATTAGAAAAAGTTAGTTTAAATGGCTGCTATATTGTCGTTATCAAAAAGAAAAAATATGCGGAAAACCCTGTTAATGTTTATATTTATATTAATGAAATGATATCAGAGGTAAGTATGTTATCACCTTTAAGAAGTATTTGATAAATAATCCTAAAAATAGGGTAAATATAATACTAAATGGAAGGGAGAGAGGAAGGAAGAGAGGGAGAGAGAGAGAAAAGGGAAGAATTAACATAAATTTACTGAGCTGGCATGATGTACATGTAAGTTTTGAGAAGTTATCTGCTCGTATTATTGTAACTGCTTCATAACATTGCAATATTATCCTTATTTTTGTAGGGAGAAAAGGGTCCCCTTTAACCTTTTCCCTTCAAGATTCTGATATTCCCATAGACTTTGTACACAGAGCGGCCGGTTCCCGTAGGGAAAGGGTTAAATTAAGGTGTTTCCTTGGTGACTACAGACTGATTGACATTGACTGCCCAAAAACGAAAGAAACAACAAAACATGGAGAAGTACAAAAAAAACAAAGCGCATTGGAAACAAGGGTAGAATAAATTAATATTGACGGAGAGGAGAAATTGGGGGAACCAACTAATAATACAGACATAGATAGAAATGAGGATATGATAACTATTTACTTGTGCAAAGTTCGCCATGGAATCCACAAGGAGGCATGTCCAGAGGAGGTTCATCTCTGTTATGCCAAACAGGTCTCAAAACGTTTGCATCCTCATCCAAAGCCTCTTCAAAACCCTGTCAAGAAATCGAGGAAAAAGTGTATAAAATCGTGAAAACTATCCATCCATGAAAATGTTAAGACGAATGTTGAAACAAAATGAAAGTAGCAAAAGTCTTAAAACAGTCTTCTAAATATTTGAGCCAGGGCGATGAATTCTTTATTAGTATGTACTTACCCATTGGCCGTTTTCTCTATTAAATGTTCCAATAGGATACATGCCAAGCGAATCTTTAGTCGCCCCTCCATCTCCTTTAGGTATAGGTATAAGATGCAGTAGAACATAGGGCTTTACACCGTCTCCATTCTCATCGAACTGATAGAAGGTGTCAGTCTTACCTATATACAAACAGATCGAAATACAAGCGCTTTATTCGAAACATCAACAAGAGATGACAAATTTACATTGCTCACTGTCCATATTTAAAACAACATCCCGAGATCCTACACTTATTTTTAAGTCAATAACAATCGTTGTATACTAGGCGAAGCGAGAAAAAAAAACATATAACCATCAACAAAAAATCGCACTGTAAGTTGTTTGCATCAAGTTTATATCAATGAACAAAGACTCCTATCGCAAGAAATGTGATCTTGACAGAGGAACATAATGGTTATCTATACTGGGGTTTTCTACTCGAGAAGAATCAGGCTGTACATTCTATCCTGTCATGGCTTAGACTTTGGCCATGTTCTACTTGGAATTTCTTCCCAAAATATTATAACTTAAAGGGAAATGATTCTTTACCTTTTTTTTTTTACCTTGTTATGTGTATGTGAACTTTGTGATATGTTACAATGGAAATGCCTTCTATCTTACCCAGCATGCCTTTTTTTAAACTCCTCCACATCATGCCACCATTCTTGACTTCATTCTAACTCGGCTGAATAAGGACCAATAGACTAAGAAAGCATAAATGCTTGTTTGTAAGCAACCAGACGGCCGATGGATTTAGGTCCTCTCAGAGGGACCTGGTAATGAAGATTAAAGCCTACCAAAAGGGCACTAGCGCATCGACTTGGTTTCAATTACGAGACCACTGCTCTACCGACTGAGCTATCGCGCCTCCTTGAATCTATATTAGTCACTGTCCAATAAAATTGTATGATTCTATTTTGTACTTTATTTTTAAGATGGAATCACTGTGCCTTACACAAATGGTAGGAAACATATTACATAGCTTTACACAATCCAATGATATTGGATTCAAATCTTACTTCGATACGTAGAGTTTAAGAGGGTCGAAACCACTTCTTCTCCATCATATATATCACCCCCGGCCGTGTGTGTGCGATCCAATGCTTCCAAAAGCTGCATCGTGGCATCAAACATGTACACCGATGCAAAGTCAATCTGTCAAAGACAATAATAATAATATTATTCCTCAGTTTTTATATAGCGCTTAATTATTACAATCACTAAGCGCTTCCAAACTTGCAGATTATTACCCCAGCCTTAGCTGTGCTGCCATTACGGCGCTCTAGCATTTCAAGAATTAATTCCTGCCAGGTACCCATTTACATCACCTGGGTTGAGTGTGGCAAATGTAGATCAATTTCTTGCCAAAGGACATTAGATGAAAATTGAACATGGTGAATGGAAGGAATGGAAGTACGACACATGTTATTCAAGACATAAGAAACAAAATGAAATGGATGGGAGAAAGAAAAACATTAATGAGCTGTTAAAATTCCTGATGAAATTGATTACATATCCACTATAGATTGAGAGCAGATTCAACATTCTTAATGTAAATTTATAAAAACAGAACGATTCAATATTCTTAATGTAAATGAATAAACAAAACGAGCACTTACTTCAGCTCTTAATTCTAATTCACCATTGAAAGGCGCATCAAGTGCGTTGTCGATCACAAAGGTTGAAAATCGATCCCAGTTTCTTGTTTTAAGTACAGGTGCTCCAGTAACAATGATAACACTCTTCAAAGCTTCAAGCGCACGGTCATTGTCACTTCTAGTATATTCCCGATTCTTAAAGAGTCGTGCATAATCAGGATTTATCTGATTCAAGTATTCAGATGTGTCCAGGATATCTGCAACATGAGTATAACATTAGATAACATTGTATTACAATGTAAATATGAATATGAATATCAAAATGAAGGAACATAAAATTGAAAGGGAAATACCGTATAAATAGGAAAACAGAGAAATACATATTATAGTCACAATTTCAAATATGATTGGTATGTATTGTCTAAGACAATGCATATGTACATGTACTTTTTAAACTTTTCTTAGGTTAACAGCTCTCCGTTGCCGTGACATATGTTTGCTTCCCTTCGAAAGTTCGAGCTAAATGTTAGGAGAAATCTTTAGCAAAAAATAGTGAGTTTTATATATACTGTAATACACAGAGTACCAAAAAAACAAACACACAATAACCGGGCGGTATTCTGAGCACGATTTTATCACTAAGGGTATTTTGTCTCGCTGAGACAAAAAATCAATCTCTTAATAGCACTCCAGGTTTTTCAGTATATTAGGTTTACTTACAATCGAGACTATGATAATCTTGACTGTCTCTGACTTCTAAATCAACGACGGCTCCAAGAATCACATAATCACCCGAGTCTAAGATTCCCTCATCTAAGGCTGTCATAGCAAATTGACGAAGGTCGCTAGCATCACCAAAGAATACATAAACTAGATAAAACATAAATCATTGATATAAGGTACAGGATGCAATGATTGGTAAACACGAGCATAATGAAAATTACCAAAGATGACAGGTAATATTACAATGACTTTCAATATGTTCTTCAACCGTGTATACAGAGTATTACAATCAAATTTGTTTATCTATTTAATAATTAAAGATTTTGAGCTTGATTTCTACCTTGGACAAATATTTAAATGGATAAAACGAGAAGATTCTCCTTTACAAAAGTCGTGGTTTAAACCATCATCCTATAAAACAAAATATACTCTTTAATATAATTCCAACAATTCGACTGGAAAATTTAAATAAATGCTCATAATTATCCATACTAACGATATTCATTAGCCCCCCCCCCCCCCCCCTGCTTCAGCTGAGAGGTCATAAGTCGCTAAAGCACTCAAGAAACTTTTCCTGCAGGATACCATTTACTTCACCTGAGTGGAGAGTGGCAAATGTAGATGAATTTCCTGCAAAAGGGACATTAGTTCTGTAGTAGGGATTCGAAACTCATACCTCGCTATGCGCAGTCGCTTAATCGCAAGACCACAATACTTCTACAATCTGGGACCTCTTCCATTAAAAAATATGTAGCTCCTAAACAATTCATTTCAATTGAACTCAAATACAGATAACCAATTTTTAAAGGAATATCTCAGGGGCAAGCCTGATTGGTTGAATAACAAGTTGGTCTGAATTTATGAGTTGAATGCAAGAGACCGGTAGAGTGTGCATCTAAATAGACACGAATTACCACCAATACTCACTTCTTGTTGTTTCTTTAGTCCGTTGGATAATTTCAGAGAAAGGATCATCCATTTCGTAGTCCCATGGATCGAATCCTGCATAATACTCCTCGTGCAGAATCTCATAATCTCGCTCATCAAATTTGTCCTTCATTGTGTTAAAGATGTTCCGGTACTTTGTGATATTTTCAACAACTACTGACACCTTTATTCAACAAAAAAAGATAATACATATTAGTGGCGGTGGTGGTGGTTACTAAAATAATAATCCCAGTAGTAGCGGCAGGGCAAGTTCACACTTAAAAATTCATAGTATAGAGGTAGATCTCTAAAAATTTAAATGGCCGATGTGATTAATGCAATCAACAATAGGATACCTACACCATAAATGTAAGTATTGCAATACAAATAAAACAGAGAGATGAAAAAACATAGCATTGTCTAGGAAAAAAATCGAAAAGAAGACAGAAAGAAGCATAAGAACGAATCAATTACCTGATCCCAGTCGTATCTTTGTAGTGTAAGGATCATGGCTTCGACAACTTGGATGCTTGGTGGAATGGTACGAAGGAAAGTTGGATAGATGGATTTGTCCGATACTGGATTTTCATCACAAACCTGATAGCAGTCAAAGAAATGCATTCAATTTTATCATAATGCTCTCAATTATATTCAATGTTTCGGCCAAAGCCGAACACAGTTCTCTCTTTAAATTCAATTAATCTACAAATCAATTGCCTTCACTACTCGATCATCAGATTCTCGAGGATTAGAAGTACCTGTCATCCCTCTTAAGAAAAACTATTCAGCTCTCTGTACAGATAATTTTTACCCCAAAAAATGTATTCGAAGTCGAATATTGATGATGAAAGAATAACAAAATTAGGTTTCCTGAATACGACCCCCCCCCTAAAAAAAAAATATATATATATATATATATAAATAAATAAAAAAGATATTAGATCTATCTAGACTAGACCTAGACCTATGTATTCTTTTATCAATAATTGTCTTCAAACTCATTTTTTTTTTCGAAGGGGATTCTTTGAGGAAGTATGTCTTAAATGACATCCTCTTCCACATTATGATACAATTTAAGTGAAACTTTGCAATCAAATTGTTGGCGAATTAGGGGCTCTAGCTAAAGACGCATAAGAGAGATGAGCGGAAGAAGGTAATACTTACATAGTCGATCATGGGGATGTTGAGAGCAGAGGCAAGACGACCTTCATAGGTACAACCACAACCCGGTCCAATAACACCAACAAAGCCTCGTTTCCACCAATCACTTACGGCATGCATTCCGATGTTAATATCACAGTGGGTGTCAACCCATTCAAACTGAACGTCAAATCCTTAAAATATAAATTAAATAAAATCATCAATGTACCATCGGATTAATGTACATGAGGTAGCGTTTATATGTGCATGTATGTAAAGTATGTAAAATTAGTATTAGACTATTTTTTAAATATAAGTAGTCTAGATAGTAGTGTCCCCTGTTCCTCTCATCATTAAACGCGCCCCCTAATTTCATGCGCCTACAAATAGTACAAGACAGTAGTCTACAAGCAATTTCTCTCAATATTTTGGTTTTTGTTTGTTTGATTGATTTTATTTCTGAGTGCAAAAAGATAAAAACTCAAGTTCAAAGTACAAAAATTCGAACAATAACAAATGCAATGAATAAAATGTTTACAAAAGTAAGTAAACAGAAAATCATATACACTTATATCATACAATAAACATGTAGACCTACGAAGCATACAAATATGATAAGAAATAGATTCTAGTCTATACAGATCTAGTCTAGATCATAAGCACATTATCACAACACTACAGCACTACATCCTGACTTATGGATCCTGCTGAGTATCGTCGTAGAAGTAGATCTAGATCTAGACCCTAGTAAATATTTTTCAATAAATTAGAGAGGTCATTTAGAACGCAGGAGACCACCATCGTAAGCGGCTAGACTGGAGATGGATGGCGGCCTCATACATGTAATACTATAGTACTAGTATGATATCATTATGTTACTTATCAAACTCGAAGGTCTTTTCGATGTTACGTTATGATAATGTGCTTAGGTCCAGACCTAGTCTATGTTCCCATCGGGATTGTGGTTTATCCTCTTTATAAATAATTTCATGCACTGCGACCTCACAACTCTTTAAAAATGTCCTCGCTCGTTTCGCTCGCTCGTGAATGAATTTTCAGACCGGCATCACACCCAACTGCAAAGTATGATGCTTAAGCAATAAGCAGTAGACCCTATCTTATAAATATATTCTAGGCATAAAGAGAAACGAATATCATGATATTGAAATCATCCCTGATATTGATGATGTAAATGTAGGCCTAGAGTCTAGTCTAATCATATTGTAGGTCTAGGGCCTAGGGGTATTGACCTAGTAGTATAGATCTAGAGTCTAATGTCTAAAAAATAAATTGTTTTTTTTTTCGCCTTGAAAGTTTGAGATTTCCCTTTGTAGTCTAGGTCAGTGCCCTTTCTTGTCGGTCTTTTTTGCCCCCCCCCCCCCAAAAAAAAACACTCCACAGTTTGAATGCAACACAGTCATCATGGTCACAATGACTTTGGAAGAAATTAATAAAACAAGGAAAAGGACTCACCATTTAGAATGTTAGAATCTTGGTTGGCCAGTGATATTGCTAATGGTAAAGCACCAAGAGCGGGAAAGCCCAATGTTCCTTGGTCTCCGTCTGCGGTCGTCCATTCTGCCAGTAATCCAACGTGAATCTTGGTTCTTCCGCGATCTTCGTTGATGATGGTTGGATTGAAGTCCAATCTCGCAGTCACTATCGTGATCGTAAAGGCGACCAACAATAGGAACAGGTGTCGTGCATGCGCCATAATGCACACGCGCGTTGGACGAAATGTCTTTCTTTTTATTCTGATCCCGCTGTTACCCTAAATATTTATCCCTGCATCCATGGCTGGTTTAAGTTTCTTTCCCCTGTATTTTGTGTTGTTTTGAGACCAAGGGCAAAATATAGCGCGCGCTTATCAAGTATTTTTTCCTTTGTTTGTATTACGCGCATTCACTTAATGCGCGGTGCCGGTGCCATGGGTACTAATAGCGTTCAATGTACTTAATACTAAACAATTAAACCGTCTGCGCACTTTACTTGACAATGCAATGCGCTAATATCTTTTGTTAACACAAGCGCATTTAACAATGGTCAGGAAATCGTTGCTATGGTTATTCTAAAACGGTATAGGGCACCAAACTCAATCATTTAAGCACGCGGTCTTTAAAAACGTCAAAATAGACATGACATCATCTGATTCTAGTGAAAATCTTTGACACGAGATCAGATAATTTGGATATGTTTCTTTGCCAGAGCTAATAACCTTAACTAGCTGCGGTTTTTATTGAATAATCGATTTTATTTACCTAGTATATATTTATAAAAACATAGAGATAATGGCAACATAATTTCGGAAGGATCAAACTGCTCAGCTGGGCTATTACAGAATAGCTATTAACCGAGGGTTCCTAAAAATATGGTAGAGGTTATTTATGTATGGTTTAGATATTAATTCTTTAAGAATGAGGTTGCCCCTGCATAATTTTAAAAAAATATTGCAGACTTTCTGTGCAAAAGGCCAGATAGCCACTAAATCGGAAGGGTATGCGAAGACTTTTTTTCTCCTATATTATCGGAGATGATTTTTGTATATTTTTAATGTTATCAGACTATAAATCAGTAGCTTCAAACAAGACGATTTCACACAGTTATTCCTCATGATCATGTGCCTTATATTTAGTCGTAGTCGGAAAGAAAAGGAAGTGTCCTTTTTGAATCTCGATTTGTGTTCATCATTAAGAACACTTTCTAATTGTACTAATGAAAACACATTAATTTTAAGTATTTTTAAGTCACATTAATATAAAAATGAGGCAGTAGAACTAATTTCAATGTGCCTTACCAATTACACTATGCTTGTTCAGTCAAACGTCAGTTACCCTTAGAATATTATATATATAATAATATATGAATGATTATATCAGAATATTACCTTTCTTAAATATGATGTGTGTTTTCGTATAAATACTTCCCCATTCATTTCTTCTTCTTTTTCAAAACCAGAATAAGTCAAATTAAGCAGTTTATGACTCTGCCACTGCAGATCATGGGAAATCATTAATGAGTGATTTATTTATTGATCATGTTCGTATGCATTCCAAAAAGAAATCATGCAGTGGCATCATTCTCTACTTCAAAATACGAAAATTATTGCCCCGTTCACCCTAATCCCTGGATTTGGCACTGTGTAACATAGCCGGGAGGGGAAATGAATTCAAACAAGGAATAACAGTAGAGAACGGTACGACGAATCGTCTTCTTTCTCTAATAATTTGATAAATCGTCAAAGCCTCCGCGGGAGGGGGAAAACTGAATTCAGACAAGGATTAAGACTAATTTAATGAAACGTCAAAGCTTCCGCGCTTCGCGCGGGAGGGGGGGGGGGGGAGGCAACCAAATTAAGACTAAGATTAAAGGTCTCACGGTTCGACGAATCTTCTTCTTGCTCTAATAATTTAATGATACGTGAAAGCTTCCGCGCTTCGCGCGGGATGGGCAAAAGGGAATTCAGACATGGATTGAGAACAATAATTTAATGAAACATCAAAGCTTTTGCGCTTCGCGCGGGAGGGAGGTAACTGAATTCAGACAGGGATGAAAAGTCGAAAACATTACAACGAATCGTCTTCTTTCTCTAATGATTAAATGAAATTCCAAAGCTTCCGTACTTCCCGCGGGAGGGGCGAAACAAGAATTAAGAGTCGGAAACGGTACAACGAATTGTCTTTTTTTCTCTAATCATTTAATGAGGTGTCAAAGCTTCCGCACTTCGCGGGGGGGGGGGGGAGAAAAAATAACTTAGTTCCTAGCCCCGGGTTTATGGGGTTAAATTTGTAGACATTGGAACATTGGCATTAATATATTTGTCGGTAATTTGTGGCTAGTTTTGTCGGTAATCGGTGGCCTGTACACCCCCCTCCCCCCCCCCCCCCCCCACTTCACTGAACAAGGTCTATAGCGACGCTCCTGATAACAACACAGTTTATACACTCGAGATATTTTTTGCAAGTACAATTGGTGAAGTACCGGACCACCGTTTTTGTGCATTGTGCAGCAACGAAGCGTCTCGCGACGTAACAGATCACTTTTTCTCTAACTTCTAACCAATCAGAAGGCCTCATTTTTTCCAGGAAGTCCCGGTGGACATTAATACGCCAAATGTGGTTCTCAAATTCCAAAAGATTCCTACTCTTGGAGGAGGTAGGAGAAAGCAATTTTGCGTCATATTACTCCAGGAAGTGCCTGAAAATGCGCCTAATATGGTTTTAAAATTGAAAATGCTTCCTACTCAGGGAGAGAGTCCTGACCCCCTCCCAAACCCACCACCGCTTGGTCGCTCCTCTCCCTCACCGCTGTCGCCTCGCTCTGTTGCTTCGCTCCATCGTTTTTCATATATTTACCCAATGCGATTTTGTGCCCCCCCCCCCCCCGGTAAGAAATTCCTGGATTCGCCTCTGTTATTATCTGATTGCCTCTAGGATCGGGGTCTATTTGCATAATATTACTCTATTTTCCATAAATGAATGAACTGACCGAGACCAAAGTCCAAAGACTAGACAATTTATTGAGCGAAATACATGTAAACAAGACACATACTCGCAACAACCATTCCAAAGAAGGATTGTCAATCCAATACAACCATATCATGGCTGCTTCGGGTGATACGTCAGTCAACGATTCGGAAGACAAGGTTTTTGTACGTCTCGATGATGTGAGGAAGTTCATCAAGGAGGCTATAGAGTTATCTGGATTGCGGACCAGTTATGCTGAATTACAAGCTAAAGTACTAGTAGACGCAGACTGCAAAGGAAAAACTTCGCATGGTCTTGGATTACTTCGTGAGTTCCAATACAATCGGCAAAAAAAGTTTATTGTTCAAAATGTTCATATAAACCATTAGTATGCAGTAGGCTTGCGGGTGCACCATGTGTGAGAGAGAGAGGGAGGATTGAGGAGTCCTGAAAAAGACTCTCGGTAATCTTTCTTGGGGTTTGTAGTCCTGAAAAGGACTATTGGTGTAGTCTTTCACATGGTGCACCCGCAAGCCTACTGTATATATACATCACCATGCAAGACGATACGTACAAGCAGCATCAAACCATTAATGATATATAATAATATTTATATCAAATTAAAGGAAAATGACTACTCTACTAATATAAATTAAGATCAAGTTTTGAACTTTCACGCTTGGATGGGCACAATCATTTAACCCTTAGAAGGTCTAAATAAGAAAATTGCGAAATTAAAGTAAGATGTCGTTCAAAATGTTAATGATCAAACGAATCTGAAGATTATTTTATATATTTTAGCAATGTAAACAAAGAATGAGAAAAAATGAGGAGGATTGTGCTCCTGATGTCACCTGTAGTCTCGGGACTGCTGCATGGTCAATATAACTCTCCTTTCATGTTTGCCGTGATTGGTTGGATCGGTCGAGATAATTTGACGTCAAGTGTCAATAGTCAAGTGTTTATGATTTTCTTTGTATACCCAGACGTTATTTGTCCAGACAGGTTATTTGTCCGGACAGTTGATTTAAGTAGATAATTTGAAAAAGTGTAGTGTAATCATGCAATATTTCATGAATCGTTTTGGACTTAGTTTAGACAATTATATATTATAAAGGATGAATATTTATGATTGTTAGAACTATTTGATGCATAGTACACCGAAAACCAAATGTGTTATTTTTGTTAAAGATCAAATTGAGTTCTGGTAAAAAAAATGAATTTTCACAGAATCAAGCGAAACTTACACTGAATGTTCAAGATTAAAAATAAATGTCATGTGCCAAACAATTTTGGAAGAAAATGTATACTGGCTGAGTAATGATCAAAGAAAGATAAGGAAATCAAGGTATATAGTAGCCCCGACACCATTTTGTGTATACATCTTTCTGTGTACAGTGCTTGTTACCGTACCAAGACTGGGCCAAATTTATTATGATTTTGATGACTCCAGAACCTTGCAGTACACACCAATACTTACATGCTACATGATCAACTTTTCTGATCCATTCTACACCTTTTCTTTCACAATGCAATCGCATTACCAGAACTCATTCTTATCTTTAAAGGTAAAGAACAGTATTGGAAACGCCCCAATTTCAAAAAATTAAATGGAAGCTCTTATTACCAATCATGTGAAAGAATATGTTTTGACTAATACATGATGATAACAATTTTGCCGGGAAACCGCCTACTAATTGATATAATTTGTAAATTAGTTTATCTATTGGATTGTGAGAGATAAACGCACGTGTCGCGCACGTGTGTGTAGTCCCATACACATCTTTCTGTGTACAGTGCTTGTAACTTTACGAAGACTGGGCCAAATTTCTTATTATTTTGATGATTCCGGAACCTTGCAGTACAACCAATACTTATATGCTAGATAATCAACCTTTTCTGATCGATTCCACAACGTTTCTTTCATAATGCAATCGCATGACCATAACTGGTCTTTATCTTTAAGCGTCCGGACTCCGGACACGGTCACAACTTCCGATTAATATTATAGTCCACATGATATTGAGTGATTGCTGCGTGTCCGTTGGTTATCCAAGGAGTTAACTCCTTTGGTAATCTATGTACAAACAATTATGATGTTGACAATGTGCTATTCAATTACAATTATCTTTATGTCCTAGATATGATATTACTTAATATCTCAGAGGGCAGTATAGTGGACTCTGAACCCGTGGTACTTCATGAGACTGTTGGATCAGCATGGCTAGACGGACAGGGATGTCTAGGGGCAGTCGTAGGATCCTTTGCTATTAAGAAAGCCATAGAGAAAGCAGCTCAAAATGGCATTGGATGGGTAACAGCAAAAGGTGCGTCATCAAGATCGTTTTAACAAAAGGTGTCATATCTTATGAATACAGACATTGACAGATGCCGGACCCTAGTGTCCTTTCAAGGTTTGTTCAGATATGGCGATGTAAACCGTCGTGTACATGTAAATTAATGGCAACTGCGCGCAACAAAAGAATTGCGCGTATGGGAAATGTGTAGTGTTTTACATTTTACGTCATCCGTAAAAACAAAAAACGCCGCGGTTTTTTGACAAGTCATATCTAAACAGTACCATGTTCGAATACGATATCTCCAGTCCCTAACTCCTTGCTCCCGAACGATGCGAGCTCACAAATTATTTTCCGACACTTTTTGTGGTAAAAATTATAGGAACTACCTTTTAAAAACCATCCTGCCTGAAAACGGGACTATTCGACATGACATGAAATAACGTCAATCAATAACATTATTATTGCCTAAATGATCATTGTTTCTTTGCTCAGGTTCTCATCATCTTGGGTCTCTGGAATGGTTTTCTATGCAAGCATGTCAACAGGGTATGATTGTAAGTACTCTCTTATCAGTGTGTCAAACATCTTCGCTACTTTATAATTTGTCAAACAAAATGGTTTTCTTTCATAACACGTTCTTGAATAGAACTAAACTGCTAAAGATTATCTTTACATTATTAGGCCTATAGTCATCAAAAAAATAAATGAGAAAAAAAATTGTAAATCCTCTAAACCAAGATTTCGTTAAGCACGGAATTTACCCGCTGGATCACCCGCTGCTGTAAAAAAAAAATGGTTCTAGGACACCTACCCCTTGGACATCCACCCCCGGATAACCACCCCAGTCAACTACCCCCTAGGACAACTATCCTCTCGGGCAACCACCCTCTAGGACGACTACCTCCCGGGACAACAACCCACCAGACAACTTCCCCCAGACAGCTACCCCCTCGGACAACTACCCCCCGGACAACTACCCTCGGACAACTACCCCCTATACGACAATCATCCTCTAGGACAACTACCCCGGACAACTACCCCCTATACGACAACCATCCTCTAGGACAACTCCCCCGGGAGACTATTTATCCTAGGGGGTAGTTGTCTGGGGGTAGTTGTCCGGGGGTAGTTGTCCTAGGGGGAAGTTGTCCGAGGGGGTATGTTGATAAACCATACAATTCAATTGCGGTGTTGTGGCTGATTACCATAATTATTATAACAAAATGAATAGTAAATAGTACATTTATTAATAATTCCCCCTAGCACATAGTGTGCAAATTATCATTGAAATACTTTTAATCATATTCCCAGGGTCTATGTATGTCTAATACATGGCCTGCCTCCGTAGTCCCCGGCTCTAAACAGCGAGTCTTAGGAACCAACCCGATTTGTCTAGCTGCAGCGGGTCTGGACGGAGACTATCTTCTCTTTGATTCAGCGTTAACAGTCACCGCAATGCGAAAGGTCAGTCTTTGCTTTCAAACTGCTATTCATATCAGCTGAGGGCGCTTACACCCTCATTTTGTATAATACGAGCAATCATACGACTAAAAAGGGTAGTGCTTCCTGAAACGGTGGGTTTAAACCATTGGTATGGAATGATATAAATGCAACTTGGATCTATCATGGTATAGTGGTTCATTCATTGACTCTCAGTCCAAAGGTTCTTGGTTCAAATCCCAGCCTTACACTAACGTCCTTTCCACCCATGTGTAGATGGATACCCGATAGAAAGCTCTAGGTATCATTTCGGCTACTCGCCTTGACCCGGAAGCGTCACGGCGTAAATGGCCAGAGTGTTATACAAGAAACCATCCGTATTATCATGATTGTAAAATTCAAAATAAAATTCAAATTCGAAACACATGATCCCTGTAAATGATTCTGAGTTCCACGCAACCCATTAAGAAACTCAAGAAGGATTGATCGACATGATCTATATACCAATCACAAGCAAATTTTAGATTTGTCTTTGGCTGGGTTTATGTTAAACAATTATTAAAGTATGATGTTTCACGTCATGAAGTTATATGGACAGGGATTTAATGCTGAAAATTACATGATAGGCCTAAATCGTTGAAATATAAGAATAATTATGCAAATTATTACTTGTATGAGTTTAGGTTAAAGAGAAGACAAAAAGTGGTGATGGCTCTGTCCCCGAGGGATGGGGTGTGGATCAGAACGGTCAACCAACTACAGATGGCGCTAGTATTCTAAACAATGGAGCCCTCCTGCCTCTAGGTGGAATAAGTCCGTTAACAGGTATCAACTACGTATCATATAATGTCTTACTCAATTTTTTCTTGAATAAAACAGTTGCACAAAACTTACCGTTGATGGTAACTTTGCCATCAATAGAAATTACCATGGAAACCTGGATTTTGATTAGCTGTTGAGCCCGCTGCCCTGTCACCATGGTAGTTGCCATTGATGGCATAGTTACCATCAATTGTAAGTCCTATGCAACGGGGCCATGGTGGATTCATCTTCAAAATTACTTGCTCGCCTTGCTCACTCGCATTATGTAATTTCTGAATTGATGGATGTGCAATTATGATAGCTGGGTTCATTTGAGCCAGCTGTTAAAGTAACTACATGATATACATTTAGTTCGTGCTAGGAACTTTTTGTTTAACACCATAGAACCATAGATTTGTACTAAATCTTTGATTTTATAACACAGCTCTAAATTGCTGTTAATACATGTAGTTATATATATAAAGAGTGTAAAACTTGAGTGAGACAAGAATAATTGTTTTGCTTTTTGAATATGTTGTTTAATAAACACATTGACGAAAGTCATTGATATAAAGTATTAAATTCAATACTACCCCCCTTCCTTCTTTTGTCTCTCTCTCTCTCTCTCTCTGTCTCTCTCTCTCCCACCCCTCTCTCTCTCTCTCTCTCTCTCTATATATATATATATATCTCTCCCGTCTCTCCCTCTCTCTCTCTCCCCCCCCCCCCCCCTCTCTCTCTCTCTCTCTCTCTCTGCCTCATTCTTATTCTCTTGGTCTTAGGTGGTCACAAGGGTTTTGGTCTTATCCTGTTAGTCGAAGTATTAACCAGTGTTCTAGCTGGATCTGCCTTTTCTTCGGATATCGGGAAGAAGGATGGCGAGTCAGGAGCGTTCGTTGGCAAAGATTTTGTGAGTAATCTACGATAGAATGTATATAGGCCCTATCAAAAATGTATAGATTCCTTCTCCGTGACTGCTACATCCGTTCAATGAATGATTTATTACCCTTTCAACAAGTTTTGACAATCAATGATACAAGGAATACATATCAAATCCAGGGAAGAAAAAAAAAAGGAATCTTATTCTACTTTTGCAAACACATGATGGAGTACATATTTTGAATGAAATATGTCTCTCATGCAGTGCCTTCTGGTTCCATCGGGTGATTTTTATGATGCTTTCCAACACGTTGGTGGCAAATGTACAGGGGAAGTATTATGTCAAAACTGCGGGGAACATTATTATGTAAAGTGGGCAGGTACATTACACAGGTCCGCATGGCAAAATGATCAAATTACGATCATATTTTTCACAATTCATGGCTCTTTTCTTTTTTTAATTTGTAATGTAAGGAAACGTATGCAATGAAGGAAAGTAAAACAGAAAGGTTTGTTTGCACTTTGCAATGTCACATTTATAGACCTTTGTAACATTTAGGGAAAATGTTTAGAAAAAAGACATTCAGGGCAAATATTCCACATTTCTTGTTTGCGGAAAACGCACGTATATAGTAGTAATCTATATCAATAATTGTAGGAGCCAATTTTATTGCGAAACTTCAATATTTTCCTTTTTACTTTGTACTGTACACTATATGATCAGTGCCGTGTCCAGCAAACGGCAGAAGTGGGGATACGCCTCTCCTCCGTTCTAAGGTCCATGTATAAAATTAAAACAATTTGTAAACGGATGTACAGCTCAATGTGTTACCCCGGGACCCCCTGCTCGTTCTTGATACGCCAATGCTGAAGGTATGAAACATGTTTGTACAGGGACAGACGTTCATTGCTATAGACCCAAGTCATTTCGGTGGCGGATTCTCGGACAGACTTCAATTTCTACTGGATTATTGCCGTCATCTAGAACCTGTAAGTAGCTAATACCATGTATAAATTGAAATGTTATGGTCATTATTAGTAGTAGTAGTTAGTAGTAGTAGTAGTAGTAGTAGTAATATTAGTAATAGTGGTAGTAGTAATAGTAGTAGTAGTAGTAGTAGTAGTAGTAGTAGTAGTAGTAGTAGTAGTAGTAGTAGTAGTTCTATGGTAGTAGCAATAATAGTATTAGTAGTAGTATTAGTAGTAGTAGTGGTAGTATTATTGGTAGTAGTATTGGTAGTAGTAGTAGTAATAGTAGAAAGAGTCGTAGGAGGCTAGTAGTAAGTAGTAGTATTATTATCATCATCATCATTCATGTTTTTATTGTACATATTTTTTTTTATGTGAATGCAGGGCTCTCTGGGAGAGCAGGTAAATGGACTTGAAATGAGACCACCCTGTTGAAGTACAACCATAACAAATAAACAAATACAAAATAAATCATCATCGTCATCATCATCATCATCATACTTATTATTGTTTAAATTACTATTATTATTATTATCATTATTGATCCTTGATTGTTATAAGATGGTAGACTTATGTCTATGTCGTCTTTGATGGATACACGCGATATGAAAAATTAATGTCAACTTCTCATTTTGCCAAGATTTAAGGTTGATGTAAATATATGTTTCAATGCCATAAATCAATTACAAGGAAGTAACATTGACAAAATACGTTTCTATAAAATCAACTTACACCAATAAGGGTTTTAAAGGTTAAGTATCGTTCCTCTAAACTAAAAAAAATAGTCCGTTCTCTACCTCGCACCAAAATTATGTTTTCACATTTTCGATCAGCTGAGTATACAGTGGATGAACTTTACTCTTCAACTGAATCGACAAATAGATGAGATTGATTTAACCAAAGCAAATATCAAATCGCAACTCCGTGATAAGGAGATTTGAAGTTTGAAAGTTTCAAGACGAATTTTTGATGGTGTGTTTTAGAGTCACAGTATAGAAACTTCATCGATAATCATTCCAAAGAAACGTCAATATTTCAAGCTGTATACTTACTATTGATTAAGATATTATAGTTTTTTGTCTTTTTGACGTTCAGAGCTTTTGTGGGGCGTCGTTATATCAACATCGGTTGGTTTATAAGACAGATGAGTTTGATTAAATTGATTGAATGACAGGTTGACGAATCAAATCCTGTCAAAATGCCTGGTGAAAGAGGGCGTCTTAACTATCAACGTGCACATAAAGACGGTGGTTTATGGTATTCAAAACAACTCATTCATCAAATGGTAATTATATCATTTTTATTTCTATTCCATACAGAAAGTAATGAAGTACTTCACATTATTGGCAAGTTTATCAAGACCTGTTTATATATATATATATATATATATATATATATATATATATATATATATATATAAGATAGACGACAGGGTCATCAATTTGGCCTTAAATGTATGTTTATCAAGACATGTGTATAATTAAGAAGTGTTGTGTTTTTCTGGCATTATTATGCATACAAAAATAGAAAATGGAAAATTTGCTTTATCCCTGTGTCTTAAAAAGCATTCAGCATTATGCGATGTTTTTTAGAATAGTCTATAGATATCGTCTATCAAGCGCGGATCCAGGATTTCCTAGGGGGGATTTGAAATTATGCGAGCCAAATATTGGTACGTAATGGTGACCAGCAGTGGCGTAATGAGCAAAAATGTTTAGGGGAGGGGCAGAAGAAAAAAATCCGCATCACCCCACTTTTACATGCTGAACGTTTTTCGAAGTGGGTGGGGAGAGGCTAAATTATATACGATCAGGTAGAGCGTAGCATCAATTGGCGTGGGGTCTAGGGGCAAAACTCCGGCGGGGGTCAAGAATCGGAGCCTCCGGAGGCTCAGGGGGTATGCAGGGGCGGCCGAGCGACTTCCAAAGTGGAGGGGGCACCAAGAAAAAGGGCACTTTCTGGGGGGAAAAGGGCCCCTACAAAGGGAAATCTCAAATCGAAAATATACCATTTTTTAGAAATTGGTATACCTGAAAGGGTTCGAGATCATGACGACCAAATAATGCATCCGGAGTCAGTGAAGTAGAGTCTGTACTTTATTGTTTCTCTTCGTTAAACAGCCTCGGCCAATACTAGCCAAAACGCTAAACAACAGTGACTGAATGCATGCTACCAAGTATCATATCCACAGCTCGTAGAAATACAGCAGACTTTATACAAAGTCTGATCACATTTCCTCCTACAGCAGGCCAAATGTACAAGTGCTTGCAGTCCTATAACATAGCTTAGAATCGCTGCCTGCCTGCTATAGCATGCACCAATGCTAGCAATCACACAAAAGAAATCCACTCATGCAAAGAGTTTAATAGAGATACCCAAAAAAAGGCGGGAAACAGTACAATGGGAATCCCTCTAGAGGGGAAACAATACAATGGGAATCCCTCTAGAGGGGAAACAATTTGTCATTGACTGAAGAAGCAAGGGGGCATCTTTGCACCACATAATTCCTATTTAATTTACAACATAAATTCCAATTTACAACATATCCATACATTGTGATTACAACAATCAGGTATGATTTCAGTATTTGTTTCACTTTATACACCATACAAGATATTGCTTAAGCATCATGCCTTGCAGTTTGGTTTGATTGTTTAATAAATTGTTGCGAGCGAGCGAGAAAAAAATTTAAGATGTGTGAGGTCTCAGTGCGAAAAATTACATCTTATAAAGAGGCAAAAACCCAATCCTAATGGAGTTATTACAGGTACTGTATTGTAAGCACATTCTCATAACGGAAGACTGAAAAGACCTTTGATAAGTAACATAAGTATATCATCTATAGATGAGTGCGAAATTTGGGGGAAATTGCTCTTAGTCGCTTGAAATTAGCTAGGGCGCGTTTGATGATGAGAGAAAAAGGGGACACTTATCAGGAAAGAAAAGGATCATGTGCCAAAGTACAAAGAGTAATTATCAGAGGTGAAAATGGGGCACTTCTTACATTCTCCAAAAGAGGCACTCACAAGGGATGAAACAGGTCAGTCATGAAAATAGAAAATGTGCATTTGTCGACGGAAAGGGGGGGGGGGGCCATCAGATTTTGATAGGGGCATTTATAAGATATTATTTATATTGTTAAAAGGGAAATTATCAGAGGTGAAAAGAGGCATTTGTCGCACCTGAAAAGGGGCAATGACCAGATATAAAGTGGTACTTATGGGAATGAAAAAAGGGGCACTTGTAATAAAGGAAAATGTGCATTAGTTAAAAGAAAATGGGCACCGGTCAGATTTTAAAGGAGCATTTATCTAAAGTGAAGGGGGCACTTATTTGAAGTGAAAAGGAGTAACTTCTCGTACGTGAAAGGGTCAATTACCATAGAAGGGGCACATATGAGAAGGGGAAGGGGCTCTTTTTTAACGGGGCACTTATCATTAAGGAAAAAGCGCACATGTGAAAATATAAGGTGCGCTTATCCGAGTTAAAATGGGGGAAGTTATTAAAAGGGGAACTTCTTACAAAGAAAAGGGGGCACTTGTCAAAGTAAAAGAGGCACGTACCTCTCAGATTTGAATAGGACAATTATCAGAGGTGAAGGGGCACTTATCAAAAGTGAAAAGAGGCACTTCTCGTACCTAACTAGGGGCACTTACTAGAGATTAGAAAGGGCACATTTGAGAATGGAAAATGGACACTTATTGCAAAGGAAAATGGGAACTTTTACAAATTAATAGGGGCACAAGTCAAAGTAAAAGGGCCAATTTTCCTACGTAAAAGGGGCACTTTCGGGTGCTTGAAAAAGTGGGGGGCACTGGCCTCTGGGGGTATGGGTATTTAATTACGGTCAGATGAGCATATTTTGATACGTTATTCATGTTACTGGCAGGTCACTAATTGGCGTGGGGTCTAGGGGGCTGAGCCCCCTGAAGCTCAGGGTTTTAGGCATTAAATTACCGTCAAATGAGCATATTTTGATACCTTATTTGTGTCACTGGCAGGTCACTAGTTTGCGTGGGGTCCAAGGGGCGGAACCCCCAGAAGCTCAGGGGTTTTAGGCATTAAATTACCGTCAGATAAGCATCTATAGGCTCGCCCTAGGACCATTGGTTGGGTTCAGGGGGCAGAGCCCCCGGAAGCTCTTAGGTTTTAGGCGTTTAATTATGTTTAGATGAGCATATTTTGATACATTATTTGTAACACAGGCAGGACACTAATTGGCGTGGGGACCATTTGGCGGAGCTCCCAAAAGCTCAGAGGTTTTAGGCATTTCATGACGGTCAGATGAACATATTTTGATACCTTATTTGTAACACAGGCAGGACACTAACTGACGCGAGGTCCAGGGGGGCGGAGCCCCCAGAAGCTCAGGGGTTTTAAGCATTAAATTACCGTCAGATAAGCATCCAGGGGTCCGCCGTATAGAGCCCTAGGTGGCCTCCGGGGGTAGAGCCCCCGGAAGCTCAGCGGTTTTAGGCAATTTAATTAAGGTCAGATGTGCTTATGTTTTACCTTATTTGTGACACTGGCAGGTAACTAACTGGCGTGGGGTCCAGGGGCGGCGAACCCGGAAGCTCAGTTGTTTTAGGAAATAAATTACGCTCAGATGAGCATCTAGGGGCTGGCTTTAGGGCCCTTGATGGCATACCGAGGGCAGCGCCCCTGGAAGCTCAGGAGTTTTAGGCATTTAATCACGGTCAGATGATCATATTTTGATATCTCATAATTTTGTGACACTGACATGTCACTATTCTTTCTTTCTTTCTCTCTTTCTTTCTATTTATCTTTAATAAGTTTTTTCAAAAAAAATGGGGGGGGGGGGGCTCGAGGCCTCCGAGGCCTCCGAGCCCCGCCGTTCCGAAGGCTTTGACATGTAGGCCTCGAAATAAGCATATTTCTCATTGTTGCCTGACTGTAAATTTAGGAATTTGTCATTTTCCAACAAACGCAGTATAATTTACTAAAAAGTGAGGACAAATCTCGGAAAGTTACGTTATTTCAGCAACATTTGTAAATCACCGGTATCGAGATCTACATCTTGTTGGCGGAAAAAAAAAAATCGCTACTGATCTCCCCTACCTTTCTTCTTTCTCTTGTTTTTCTTCCCTTTCCCTTTCCTTCCTTCTCTCTCTTTTAGGCTTGCTGGGGGAAGGCTAGGGCCTTCCCCCCCCCCCCGATCCACAACTTGTTGGCGGGAAAATTGCAACTGATATCCCCCTTCTTTTCTTTTCTTCTTCCTCCTTTTTTCTTCTTCCTTCTTACGGCCCCCCTGATCTCCTTCTTCTCCCCTTTCTTTTCGTCTTCCTCTTCTTTCTTTCCTCTTTCCCTTTCCCTTTTCCTTCTTTTCCTTTGCCATCTCCCCAAAAAGGTAAAATTAACGTTAAAAAAAGTAAAAATACACTTTTTTCACAGGGGGGCGGGCCCCCGGGCTCCCCCCCCCCCCTGGATCCTTTACTGATCGCCACCCCTTTTACGCTCATGCCCATCCATCTTCCCTTCTCGGCCAAGACAAATATACCTATAATCAGATTGTTATAGAATCAATTTGCTTTCGAAAAAAACGCTTTAATTAACCTACAAGTATTTTCCTTGTTTCTTTCGAACTTCTGCATGATTTTGGAAAAGTTTTTCAAGACACATTTGTGGAGTATTTTCTAAGACACATTTGTGGAGTATTTTCTAAGACACATTTGTGGAGTATTTTCTGAGGCAGAAAGTTTTATTCGAATGTTGAACACGACCGTATTTGCTATGACCTATTGAACCGTGCGAACATGGCAATGACGTATTGTTTATTCCAAACATGATTTCTATGAGACTCACAGTAGGATATTGAAATTACACGTGAGAATGAGATGATTTTTCAAAATAATTGACCATATGACCAAAATAGTAATAATATTCAACGCATAAAGATGTATGAGGTTGACCTTCAAAAACCACGAGCCTATTTCATGAAACGTGTACGCTGCTTTTAATAATTGCATTTGATTGGCTGTTAGTGAATAACGTCATTGGGTTGTGACACTAAGGAAACAGGGCCCTATAGCGTGGATGGGATTCCCAAGGATTGCGCAATGGATGGGATTCCCAAGGATTGCGCAATATGGCAGGAAGGATCAATTTTATAAACCAACTATTGCACTCGATAACAGTTCTGAGCAACTTGCGCTACTTAGTATTGCGACATCACATCACATTTTGTTTTTCATGATTTGCCTAGGAGCGGAAACAAGTAGTGTAGCTGCATTATACTCGAACATTAGAATTGCCAATAAACAAATAACAGCCCAAAGTGTGAAGAACCTCAAAGAGAAATTGGTCTGTGCAGTTTGCAAGAATACTCTCAAGAATCCGAAACTTCTTGCATGCTTTCATGCATTCTGTGTGGAGTGTTTGAAACAGGGTGATCAAACAGAAGTGTTTTCAGGTGAGCTGAAATTCCCAGCTGCATGCAGCAAGGTAATGGATCTTCCAGAAGAAGGCGTGGCAGGATTGAAATGGAATCCACTGGTTTGCAGGCTACATAAAGTGCTAGAGGCAAAGAAAAACGCGAGCCAAATCATGTGTGATGCATGCGGCAACAGCAAGTCACCTTTGACAACCTACTGTCGAGACTGTTTAAGTTTCATCTGCGATTCATGTGCTTCTTACCATGGAAAAATGAAACTCTTGCTGAAGGACCACCATACAGTTCCCCTGGACAAGATTATCAATGGGACTTTCCAAATCAATTGGATGGAAGAGGGCTTGTGGAGAAAGGCGCACGAGTGTGGAGAGCATATCGGCGAGCTGCGGAGATTCTACTGCAGGACCTGCAAGAAACGTATCTGCAGGGACTGTATCGTTCTCGACCATACCAAACCTGATCATGACTGCACCACAATGCAGAAGTTGTTTCAGGAATCAAAGGAGAAGTTAAACGATCGTTTGACAAGCTGCAAAGAAAAGGAGGAACATGTGAGTACCCTGTTAAATGATGTGGATGTACAAGCAATAGGAACAAACCAGAATTTTCATATGATGAAAGAAAGAATTCAGGACCTAAAATCAACGGCTGTTGCACATTTGAACAAAGTAGAGGAAGAACTTTTGCACAAGGTTGAAGTGTTGGAGGAAAAACTCAACGACAAAGTGCAAGCTTTCAGAGATAACATGAACACAACAAAAGAAAATCTCACAAAGGCGCAATCAAAGGCTAAAAAGGTTGTTTCGGCAAAAGATGTTACTGACATCTTTAGAGGTCCCTTCTTACCTGAAGATGTTCTCAAAGAACTGGAAGAATTGATCGCGTCATCAGACGTCACTATGACAATTTCTATGGATCTCATGGCTCTGAAATTTACCATGATAGAAGGGTCGAAGTTGCCAGAGCAATTGGCGCGCTTTGCTAAGCTGTCATTGCCGCATATTTGGCGAGAGACTCAGATGTTTCCAATTCCTGATGAAGACATTGTGAACATTTTCTGCGATGGAAACTCGATGTACGTTGCTTGCAAAAAGGGGATTTTCAAGAAACTGTTGCCTCACGAAGCCAACCCGTCCACTTGGATGAAGCTTCATCATAATACAGGCATCAAACAGGTGGTAGATATGGCCATATCACCGACGGACTTAACCTTCTCTTTCATTGCTGAAACCAACGCAGCTAGTATGCAACTCTTCACGTTCAAACTTGATGATTTTCCAACATCTCATGGACATGCCGCCCCTTCGTCATCCGTTTCAACGGTCCCACCGTGTCCTCTGAACCCCAGTGCAAGAATCACTGTTGATTCACAGTCCCGCATCATTGTTGCCGATAACAAGCCTGTCATGCCATGTTTTATTCAGGCAACCTCAAGGTCCGAATCGGACAGCGAAACCAAGGGGAAACACACGACACCATCTGTGACAAATGTGAACACATCATCTGTCTCTCTGGTTAGAGGAGGTAACTCAAATAAGAGACCAGTGGCGGCGGGTGGTGGTGGATTTACCTTTGGTCTGACACTGCCTCAACATCAGCACGGCTTTGCTGGCATAAGCCCCATCTCTCAGACAGGTAAATAATGAACCATTAAAGTAAATTGATGTAATCGCTAATTTCAAACTATATAAAAAAATCGGTCACATTCCTCGAAATGGATGCAATTTGATGTTTTCTCCACCCGCCATAACTAGAGCTGAAGATTATACCTTCATGAAGACATTTTCATCTTTTACGTAAAAACACTTTGATAATCATATAGCAACTTTAACAAATGGATTAGATATGTATTACCTTATGTGTACCACGTAATGTCGTTTTAATATATCAAGCATTCATCAAAGCTTATTCATTGAGATGCCCTAATGTATCAATACATTTTTTGTGTACTGTTTTCGTTTTCATTATGAATTATATCACAAAATTTGGTGGCTGAATATTTTGATGAATTGAAGAACTAAATTGCATGAAATTATGAAAGTGTGCGGTATTTTCAGACAATGATCTGTAATTCTTTCAGCTGTTACAATCAAGCCTTTTGTTTCAACTTGTTTTATTCTTACAGTATCTTCTTTCGACAAGTCTCCAAGCAAGGCAGAAAACGAAATCTCTCCATCGGCTTCGAAAGGAAAGGATACAAGACAGAGAATCACCAAGAAGGGGTCATCCATCTTCACATCATCCATGATACTCTATAGGGGTAAACCTCGACGCTCGCCTACTTTCGGCTTTGGTGGTACTCCTGTAAACCAAGGGTCTCAGTTATCTTCAGATAGTTGCAAGGTTCCACTTGATAGGGTTCAAAGTCTTGCAGCCGCCAAGACAGGTCAGTTGGTGTTCCTCCGCTGGGATAAGAAAGCCGTCGTCATCACTGACAAAGACGGGGGAGTCCAGCTTGAAATCAAGGAACCTGGCAGGATGTATTTGTCCATCTCCTGCACAGAGAGTGACGCCCTCTACGTTCTGTCTGCCTTCTGGGGCAGCCACATCGTCACGCTCGCCAAGCATTCCTTGGAAGATGGTGGTCCCCTCGAGAAAATCATCGACGAACTCGATGTGTCAGCAGACTTCCAGTCAGACGAGTGGCCAGTCATTGGTAACTATGGAAACGACCTCGTGATCATGCATACGGGGAAGGTGATTCGTGTCTACTCGGCGGAAGCTTGGGATATATTAGATGACGATAAGAAGGATGATGTGTAGGGTGATGAATTATGATTCCTTGTTTTGTTTCGGAGGCGAGTTGGCTCAGTCGGTAAAGCGTCCGTCTGTCTAACCAAAGACCCCGGGTTCGACTCCCACCCAGGCGGATGACTGAAGCCTGCGTTGTGTGTTAACGTGCCCCTTCCCTTGTTCATAGACGCAGGTTATGTCAAGTGGAAAACACTCCGTCCCTCTGATAGGACGTAAAATTGATGCCCCGAGTAGAGAAGAGTCACTACCTTTGCACGTTAAGAACCAACTGCACTATTCGTATAAGAGTAGGGGGAAACCCCGGTGTAGTGGTCCACCTGCACACACCCCCAGTATAATACGATAATACTCTTTGAAGAGGTCAAAAGGAAGAAGAAGGAATATGGAAAAGTTTTAACAGTGTATACCAAGTAAACGCTTTATTTTTAATAAATACAATCATATATTTGTGTTGTTATCTCGATCCGTTTTACCTTTAACATTTCAGACATAATAGGTGACCAGTCACCGATTTTTACTTTACATACATTATCCATATCACATTTCATTAGTATTAATTACGTTCAAATGCAACTTCGTTAAGCTAATCTGGCAATCATCGGAAGAGGTGATGTCTTTTTTCAAAGAACAAATAACATGTGTTTGTTTTTCTTGAACTTGAAGATATATCATTCTACACTTTAAGGGTCTGTAAATAGAGCGAAGTAGCATCATGCGCCTTTCACGATAACAAAGTGATATAAATTACCATCCATTTTCTAAAAGTTTAATTGTCATGATAGTGAGAATGTAAATCCGTGTTAGAATACATGTATATCTTTATTTTAAAAGTTTTTTTGAAACATTGTAATCATGACAATCTTTTCTAGGCACTGAATGTTACTATTATCTTTTTCCTTTCATTTATTATTCATGACTCATTTACAATAGCCCTCTCCGATATGCGGGCCATCACAAAGTCAAAACATTGTACACGTACGTGGTATTCACCCGATGAGGGGGGAGTTGCCCCACGAGTTGCAAGCCAAAGTATTTTAGGGGGCGTTTCACAAAACTTGTCATCAGTGACAAATGACAATTTATGTTATAAGCTATTGAAATCTTTGCTTCTGATTGGTTATCAGCAGATTTGTCACTGATTTTTGTTATTTGTCATTGAAAAAAGGCTTTGTGAAACGCCCCCCCCCCCAAAAAAAGTATTTCAACTGTCAAATATAGGCACTCAAATTAATTGTCACACATGATGTATTTGTTTCTTTCCTATATTAAAGGGTTTATAAATTCTGATTCTGCCGTTCCAAATAGTTGCTCAATAATGTTGTAGTATATATTCTATCAAGTTATCCTGCTCATGTACATGCATCAAAAATCTAAACTTTGATGAGAAAGTCACGTTGTTGTCATTTGTTTGTTGCAGAAATAAAGACTAACTGGACAAGTTCAACCCAATTACATTTCTCCTATGTGGTCTTGGTTCTTTTATAGATCAATGGACGAAATAACGTTTCAGCATCCAAATGCACTGTAATTGTCAAATCTAAAATTTGAAGAAAGAAAAAGGAAACAAGAAAGAAGATATTGCGCGGGTACAATATTCTGAACAAAAAGTCCCTGAAAACGTTTTTTTTAACACCTATTTGCACGTTTCTGATAATGCTTCCTATCGCGGGGGCATTGTTATTACAAACAAGGACATGTTCTTTAAAGAAGAAATAGTTGTCACTGAAGGGGCTACATCATAAAACCAGATTTGACTGATGAAGAAAGACATAATATAATACGGCAGAATGAGATACAAAGAGGACTGAGAGAGAGAGAGAGAGATGGGGAGGGGAGAGGGGGTGATAGATTTCTCTATCTTTCTATCTATCTACATCTTGTTATTTATTTTATCTATCGAAAGATCCATTGATCTATCTAAGTTTCTAATTAATCATAGTATCTATTTCCGGTGCAAGGAGGGAAGCTGGAAGAGGGGGGGGGGGGCAGTGGGTTAGATTGAGCAGAGCGGCAAATTGCTGTTTGGTCTACACCCAGTCCGTCTACTATCCATATGGCCTAATAATCATTTCGTCTTCTTATCATTTGGTCTAATGATCGTTAAGATATCATCCATTCGGTCTTTTACCATTTGGTCTAATAACCATTACGCCTACTAACATTTATTCCAATAACCGTTTAGTACTTTCCCGCTGGCTAAGACAAGTGTTCATTGTGTCTATAAACCATTTGATTTGATATCCAATTGTTCTATAACCAATTCAGCATTTCGTTTTGATTTACAAATGATGCTGAAATGACAAGATTTTCTGGTATTTTTTCTCATTTTTGGGGTAAATCATACCTTTTTTTTGCGTTTGCTGGAAAATTAAGAATTCCCAAATTTACAGTCGGGCGAAAAAATATGCTTATTTAGAAGCCTTCGTGTCAGGGCCTGCAGAACGGCGGGGCTCGGGGGCTCGAGCCCTCTTATTTTTTTTGAAGAAGTATGTTAAAGAGAAAAAGAGAGAAAGAGAGGAAAAAAAATGAGTTACCTGCCAATGTCACAAATGAGGTATCAAAATATGCTCATCTGACCGTAATTAAATGCCTAAAACCCCCTGCAAGTTAATCAATTTCATACGTCAAGCATGTGCTGGCTACGGACATGATGATCAAAAGTATTAATTTGTTATTTTCTGATTGTTTAGAACGACTGGATGAAGAAACTTGGTGGCGACTTCATGCTACAATGACCATCTACCTGGATCGCATAGCACATGAGGCATCATACTATTAGAACTGTGGACAGGTTTCATGAAAAATTGCTAAATATATAATAATAATAATCCGGTTTTTTATATAGCGCTCAATACACCGATCCAACGATGTACCTAAGCGCTTTACAGATATATTATTACCCCGGTTATGGGATTCAGGCTTACCCGCACACAATGTGTGCACATTTTCCACTCCCTGGGGAGCATTCCAGCCAGTCGCCATTTTACAGGCGCACACTTGCTCGTTCAACCACATGAACGTTCGCATCCTACCGGGTACCCATTTAACACCTGGGTGGAGAGTGTATATGAGTGTATATGAGTTATGTTTGATGATTTTGTTTTGATGATTTTTTTTCCCGGATGGATTGAAAACGGATTTTTTTTTTCTTTTTTTTTTTCTTTCTTTTCTTTGTTTTGTTTTTTAATTTAAAAATTGGTTGACTTGTTCAGGATTTGTTCTCATTATTCTCATTACAAAATATTGTCTTTAATTTATGAGAGATTTTAGAAAGAAATATGGTTGGTTATTGTCAGAGTTTGGTCATTTCTACAGATTGTCATTAATATGTTGTGCCATTTATATTATGTATAGTCCATATATCTGTAATACACATACCTGCCAACATTTGAAAATGAGAATTAAGAATTTTTAGCGCGGTATGTCTTCGAAAATAAGAAATCTGTACACTTAACAGGCGTTAGCACATGCAGCGGCAGTTTTTAATCATGCAGCCCTTCAACACACGCAATACGTGAACTCTAACATCGCGTCAAAGGATAAAACAAGCTTAATTTGGCTTAAGCAACACCAACACCAACACAAAAAACAAAAACAAAAAAACAAAAAAAAAATCGAAATTTTGAGAAAAAAAACAGAATATTCCGGATTTTGGGGTCCTAAAAATCCAGAAAATGGAATATTCCGGATTATTCGGAAGGGTTGGCAGGTACGCTGAATTCAATTCGGTGTAGCGATTGTCCAACACAGCTCAGTTACGGCAACATTTGACATGCATCGATCAAACTATACACAGTACATGTACGGTACGCCTCGCCATCGCTGCCCCACTCCACTGGCACCGACTCACCTCCGGTACCGCACTGCAGCGTGCGTTCACTCTGTATACCATAGTCCCGACACACTTCTTCCAAATACTGGATTAGACAATTGAAAAGTTAGTACGGTACGGTAAACTCCATGAATCCATCAAGCAAGCGTATTCCTTGGGATTGGAAGACATTATAAGTAAAACTGACAAACTTTTTGCAAGTTTAGTAACCATTCACGATCACACGTCGAAGCTAACCCGTTCGCTCAAAATTTATCGCTGGTGAAGTGTGCATGTTCTTGTACATCGCTTGTATTGGTGTGTGTGTGTGTGTGTGTACGTGTATGGAGAGTACATGCCAGGCCAGACGCTACACACACACACATAATGCTGATCTCTACGCTGTAGATCAGTGGCACAAATACGCTGCAAAATCGTCATTACAAGCCAAATGAGCTTCCGCGGCCATCAACACACACACAGTATACTATACGAGAGCTCTCGCACAAATCGCGGCAAATGGTAATACAAGCCCAATTTGGCTTAAATTTCCAAAATGCGGAATCTCCCGCATTTTAAGGTCCTAAAATTCCAGAAATGCGGAATATCCCGGAAAATGCGGGAGGGTTGGCAGGTATGAATACAACGTCGAAGAATATTACATATCAAATACAAAGTTGTTGTTTTTTGCATGTGCTGTTTGAATGTTCCTTGTAACTAGGCAGTATAGGTACTACTGAGATAAAAACATGATGAAACAACAGAATAAACCAATAATATTACAAAAATTCCAATATCACCAAAATATATATATATTTATTGATATTAACATACCATTATAATATATACGACAGACATAATAAACAACAGATAGTACTTGTTTATCTATTTTACCAAACAAAAACATACAATTTCTATTCACAGTTTGAAATACACCATGAAGTCATTTTACTTCAGATCCCGATCATTCTTATGAGAGTTTAGTTTTTTCCCGAATTGCACCATATAAACAATTGGGATTTATTCTACAATATCTTTTAGTATAGTATAATTTAAGTAGTATATAATATAACTAAAGAAAATATATATACTCCATCACCGATAAAAGAAATGGAGATTTATGGATAATATTCATCAGTTGTTGTTCCATTACCTTAAAGGTAAAGACCAGTTATGGTCATGCGATTGCATTGTGAAAGAAACGTTGTGGAATCGATCAGAAAAGGTTGATCATCTAGCATCTAGCATCTGCAAGGTTCTGGAATCATCAAAATGATAAGAAATTTGGCCCATTCTTCGTAAAGTTACAAGCACTATACACAGAAAGATATATATGGGACTACCCTATATCTCTCACAGACCATGAGAGAAACAAATTTACCAAATATATGAATTAGTAGGCAGTTTCCCGGCAAATTTTTTATCATCATGTATTAGTCAAAACATATTCTTTCACATGATTAGTAATGAGAGCTTCCATTTCATTTTTTGAAATTAGGGCATTTCCAATACTGGTCTTTACCTTTAACTTCATTGATATATGCGATCCCTACCTCAATAATATATTGAACCAAAGACCCTTAATACCTATGAGAGTGTACCATTTTATCATTGTCATTACACCATGACTATAATAAATTGCTATATTTTGAGGACGCCCTCAAAGGTAGCATGAGGGCAATGTCAAACTTTCTTTACACCATAATGCTGTTTTGTTTTATACTAAATTGGAAAATACATTGTATTGAGGGGACACTGATTTGATGAAAACACAGTACAAACAGACAGACTAACGTAAAAACATTGGGTACCATGAAACAATGTATGACCTGCAACAAGTGTAGATTGGGACCATGGTCCTGCTAACTATGCATGAAAGGTTCTTCTGAAATAATGTCTTTGAAATCTTTGAAAAAATTAGGGTAGGCATTGTGCATTTGAATTGTCCCAATAAATACCCGATATGAAAGCATTTCATGGAATTTGTTGTCTCTTTATTTCTGTAAAAGATTCAACTACTTTCAAATGAGCATTTTGAATGTTTCACTGACATTGTATACTCCTGGAAAACCTTTAAAGAATCTGAATCGTTAGTAAACAAAAATATGCTTCTATCACAACATGAAAGCATAAACAGTGTTCATCAATATTATTCCATTTCAAAATGTCTGTAAACGATTAATACTAAGTACTGTCAAAGGGCAGATTCTGCAAATACATTCAAACCTGCTATAGTGACCACGTGTCTACACAGACCATATGTTTTGTTTCTCTTGAAAATAGTTTGTTGTTGAAAAATTGGCTGAAGGAACCTGTCTACAAAGATCACTTTTTGTGCTTTACTTGGGTGTTCACTATAGACAGGTTTGACTGTACATTCAAAACTAGAATATAGAGAAAGATTACAATATTAAAACATTTGGTGGATAAAACAAAACGCACTTACATACTTCAGCCTTTCCACTTACGTTACCTTGTTTCGGCGTAGAGAATATCTTTCAATAGTTAATAGTACTGAAGAAAGATATGCAATTGATCAGCCTATATGTTGGGGTCATTCATATTGAATACATGTACATGTAACATTAAAAGTTTAAATGATACTGCTAGGAATGTCATAAATGCAAGATGAATATGAAATGTTGTAAAGAGCAATAACACAAGGCACTGGCAACTTCAATGAATATTGATAATACATAATACAGACATGGAAGAAAGTCCATCATGATATCAAGGCAGTTTTTTTGTTCTCAGCACATTAAATGGAAGACCATAAAGTCACATCTTAAATTTAATGAATGACTATTAAAATAGAAATAAATACTTTTAAAATGGAAGATTGATGAAAGACTAATATCTGAATATTTTCAAGGTTTTTTCTTTGTAACATATGGAAGACCACATAATCAAGCTGCACTATAATTCTATAAGTAGTTTATTTCAAGGCACTAATGGATTAACAGGTACGATGGAAGTCAATCAGCTAAACACTTTCATGTAGATAGAAATAGTTTATATGATGATGAAGCGAATCCTAATCAAATGATTGGTTAAGAGCGTACACGTGACCAGGCATTTATTTTGCCTAACATGTAATTTGGATAATGACCGGTCATTAGTAAAATCATATTATTAAACATCATTTTATCAAACAAATAATACACATCATTTTCTTCGGGCATTAGTAAAATTACCCACGGTACCTACAAAACAGTCCAAACACCCTCGGGCGTGTTAGACTGTTCCAAAGGTACCTTGTGTGTATAATTCTTACTAATGCCCTCACTGCTGTGTATTATTTGTACACTATCTTATTACAATAACATTTCAAGTTTGCCTCAAAGTATACCTAGTTGATGTTTAGATTTTAAATTTGTAATATCTTTCTCACAAGTACCATATCACATAAAAAACTGAGATAAGTATTCTTTCCAATATGTCTACTTTCCACAATATCTACTACCGAATGCTTTGCTATGAACGGATAGGAATTCTCATAATTGCTTTGAATAACATTATTTTTGGTCAACATGCATTTGTTTAAAGATTTGACATTTTCTTATGTCAAAATGTCATAAACGTTTTTTTCTGTAAGTGAATTTATATTAGAGAAATAATGTTTACCTTAACACTATATACTTTTTTTGTCCTTAAAATATTCAATAAAGACATAATAATTATGTGTTTATTATGCTCCATATTTGTCTGTTTTTTCATTACTATCAATGTTGTCATTTACTATTTAATGGAAGTTTGCTTAGTAGTTTGGCAAATAGGTACTGCTACCTTTAAAGAAGAAAATTATATTTCCTGGTGTGTGTTCCACAAAACAAAACCATGAAAACACAGTAAACACATGATCGATACACAAAGAATTAATTGAAACACACTTGTTATTAATTAATGAGTTGCATATATAAGTTACTTGATATTTAGTATATATTGAAAGGCTCTTTATCAATATCAGCTATTGATATAACATTGTACATTTTGAGGAGGCTTTTAAATTGTATCATATCTTTAATGAATCATTTGGCCATTAAACATTTTGACATGAGTCATACATTATTCATATTGTTTACATCCATAATACAACAATTTATCTATGACAATGAATACAATAATATTCTTCAAATACAATGAGATTATATTTTAAAAATCCCAAACATTCCCTGTTTACATTATATTTCATTTGTTCAGAGCCAGAAGTGCATCAACTCTGTATCAAAGTATACAGATTAACGCCTATCTGACTCCAAACAGACAATTTGCAAACTACCCTTTTACAATGAGAATATAATCATATATTATTCAAAACCCAAATTATTCCTTGTTCATATGATACTCGTGTGATAATAATTCTAACATTTTGAAGTAAACGTATCACATTTGTTACACTGTTGCTCTTAAGCCTTCATTCTCCGGTCGTAGAAAATGAAACACGTTTCATTATCTGGCTATTCTTACCCTACAGCAAGAGCAGAGTATTGTTGAGTTGATTAGACGAATGAGTCTGTAATTCCATTGCTTGGTTCTAGATCCAGTCTGATGGGTGCATACATCTGATATGCGTAGTCCTTCAAATTGATCTGAGGCTGATCAAACAAAACAAGAATAATGAAAAGGAGTATTAAAATGTTATCTACATCAGGGGCAGATCTAGCTTTTTGCCAAGGGGGGGGGGGGGGGGGGTTGACCCAGTGGCGGATCCAGGATTTTCCAAAAATCATGCCGTTTTACTTTTTTCTTCTTCTTTTTTTCCCCTTCTATTTTCCTTCCTTTTTTTCACTTGGCCGCCCAAGGGGGGGGGGGGGGTTAAACTGCCAAACCCCCCCTATATCCGCCCCTGTTTAAATAAAAGAAAAATTATCCAAACTTGGTAGCTGAAGATTTTAAAAAAGTCCTAATTGATGTGTTTTCTGTCTTATGTCCACAGCTGATTGAGCACCAGGATTTTAAAAAAATACTTTGTTTTTAGGTACTCTTTAAAATTAAATATAATTCAAGGTAACATAAGTTTTAACTTTTAAATAGGAATCTACCACAGTTGGATAAACTTGTTTTTATATGCACTGTACCAGTGGCGTACGCAGGATTTTTTCAAGGAGGGTGTTTGAAAATTGAAAATTGCGCCGACCCGATATTTTGCTTAAGGGTAGGGGGGGGGGGGGGTAGTGAGCAATTATTATAATGAATAACGGTTACATGATAAAAAGAAGAACCTTACCGTGCCAGTCTTCTTGAGAGCCTTCATATCTTTGAGGATTCTATCGAAGGTTGGTCTGCTTTCTGGTCTCCTGTGCCAGCATCTTAGCATGACATCATACAGGTCTGGGGAGCAATGCTTGGGCCATTCTAAACGATTGTGATCACGAAGCTCATTGATCACATCCGATTCACGCTTGTTAGCATACGGCACTCCACCTGAAAATATACAATGGTTTTCAATTCATTATTTACTTCATTCAAGGAGATACCAGGGGCCCGTTTCATAAAGCATTTTTTCAATGACAAATGACAAAAATCAGTGCCAAAACTGCTGATAACCAATCAGAAGCAAGGAATTCAGTAGCTTATAACAAAAACTGTCATTTGTCACTGATGAGAAGTTTTGTGAAACGCCCCCAGCACTCCTTGCTTCATTCAAACTCCAAGTCCTAATGTACATAGAACTGTCAAAGTGAAGCTTTCAATTATACGTTGAGTAATTCAAAATAAAATAAAGTTTTTCAGGCAGAATCCATCGATACATAAATTGAACATCCATATGTCATAACTATTCCCTTACCTATCCATACAAGATGTCCTGAAACAAATGTTGTTGACCAATAAAACTTATCAAGATAAAAAAAATAGTTATATCTGGTTGACTTCCTCTGTAACTCTGGCTGCTTCATAACCTCCTTCCATTCTGAATAAACAGCGAATGAAGAGATTCAAGCAAATTGATTTACTATCTCTCACAATCTGAGATTTTCAGCAACTAACAGTATTTAGAATATGAAAGCATTTTGAAGAGCCATGCATGCTTTTCAGGGAACATGTTTTATCTGATTTTCTTCCACACTTGCATAATAACAATGATAACGCTCACAAATTATTTTTCACCTCTTCCCAGATCTCTTTAATAAGGAATTTTACTCACCTAAGGTAACAATCTCCCACAGGACAATGCCATAGGACCATCTGAATCGAGAACAAGAAGTACAAGAATGGAAGAAACATGTAATAAGCACCACTGATATAAAATGATGGATGTGTGTGAGGCGATCTGTCAGTGAAAATGCACTGCATGCAGATTTTAAAGTCAATGTAAAGAAATGATCAAAACTGTGCCAAGTTCTTTTGTGTCAACAGAGTGCAGGCAGTTTCATTAATAAATGATTTCCCTTTTAAAAGAGGTCTATTGAACAAATACAACATAAGAAAATATCCACCAACCAAAAGAAAAATCTGCAAGTTGCAGAGTCACAGTCTGATTAGGACTAAAGACTACTTTAACACACATCACTCTTTTTTGTACTGGCCTTCTAATAGGGCTTCATATGCCTTCCATCCTACCCCCTCCCCGCATGCCTCACCCCACCCTCACCCCATCTGACAATGAAGGAGGGAAACTTACACATCACTCTCCACTGTGTATTGGCCTTCTAATAGGGCTTCATATTAGATCTTCAAAACCTCCCCCCCCCCCACACCTTTCATGCCTCACCCCACGGTCCCCACCCCTTCCTAGTCCAACAAGGAATGAGGGATACTTGCACATCACTCTTCATTGTTTATTATATCCCGCATTCTAAGAATCATGCAATCTGATTGGTCTAAACGAGGTCACATGATCAATGATGGATAAGTACTCCCTGCGATAGGACTTTTGTACCATAATTTTTTGCTGCTGCCCCATGCACTTGCCCATTGAATAAGCATATACCGCATAGCAAAGTAGGTTACGCAAAATGTCAATGTCAATGTCAAATGAGCGTGCATCGACTTTATACATGTATGCATGTAGTGCTTGGTAAATTCTAGCTGAAGCTAAACTGTCTGCAGAATCAGTTCTTTTAATTATGTAAAATTCACTTTAAATAGACATTATTGCCGATGTGGGATATAAAACAAATATTAACCTCCTTTACTTGGGTAATGGATACAAACTATAATCGCGTCAGTGATCTCGGGGCTACCGTCATCCCTCGCCTTGCGGCTCGGCGATGATAGTTTGTACCATTACCCTCATAGTCGATTAATATTTGCTTACTAGCCTTTTAAGAGAGCTTTGTGTGCCATCCATCCTACCCCCCCCCCCATGCCTCACCCCACCCCTATTTGATGAGGAATGCGAGATACTTACACATCTTCATTGTGTACTGGCCTTCTAATAGGGCTTCACATGACACCCATCTGAAACCCCTCCCCCTCCTCCCTCCCCCTCCCCTCTCCCCCCCCCCCCCCCCCCACCCCAAAAAAAAAATTGCCTCACCCACACTACCCCGGTCTGACAATGAAGGAGAGATACTTACAAATCACTCTGCATTGTGTACTGGCCTTCTCATAAGGCTTCATAAGCCACCCATCTGAACCCCCCCCCCCTCCATTGCCTCACCCCACCCTTCCCCAGTCTGACAATGAAGGAGGGATACTTACACATCACTCTTCATGGTATATTGGCCTTCTAACAAGGCTTCATAAGCCATCCATCTCTTCATTCCACGCTGTAGGGAAAAAATGGTAGAGACTTCGGTGGTAAGCGCTTTATAAGTAACGTTTTTATTATTTATTATTATTATTATTATTTATTATTAAGGTGTACAAGATTGATGTTACCATGGTAACTGGACTGGTAAGATGCAGTTACAGTATAGAATACTCTCTCAAAAAGAGATTCTAAGTATGAACACTTAGTTAATAATTGGGGAAACTAATGTTTCTAACACAATATGACATATTTATTGCAACTAATAAGAGCCTAATTACTGTATCACGTAAACACTTGAATCATTACTTTTAATCAATATCACAGTAAAAGCAGTTCTTTTATCTAACTCCATGTGACTTACAGGTTCCCTTTCATGCAGGCACGTAGCCACGGGGGGGGGGGCACATGCCCCCCAAAATTTCCAAGATCAGTTGAGCTTTTTTAGACCCCTCCCCAGGACGTCGATCCATTACATGTATGTGCCCCCCCCCCCCAAACATCAAACTCTGGCTACGGCCCTGCTTTCATGTATAAACAGTAGACCTACGGTAAGTAAGCAACCAGATGGCCGATGTAATGAGAATTAATGCCTTACCAAAGGGCACTAGCGCATCGCCTTTGTTTCGTACCCGGGTCACCAGACTACGAGACCACTGCTCTACCGACTGAGCTATCGCGCCTCCAAAATAATGATATGCCCAGAATCAAATGTTAGTCGGGGTAACAGCTGCATCAGCTTTCAAGCCGATATGAGTTTTCCTCCTTCAACAAAGTTTGCAGATTGCCAACATTGTTATTTTGTCATTCATGTAATTGTTCAGAACCTTAAAGATAAAGACCAGTTATGGTCATGCGATTGCATTGTGAAAGAAACGTTATGGAATCGATCAGAAAATATTGATCATCTAGCATATAAGTATTGGTGTGTACTGCAAGGTTCTGGAATCATCAAAATGATAAGAAATTTGGTAAAGTTTTGATAAAGTTTCAAGCACTGTACACAGAAAGATGTATATGGGATTACCCCAACACGTCCACGGCATGTGCGTTATATCTATCAGGTCCAAATAGATATAATAATTTACCAAATATATCAATTAGTAGGCGGTTTCTCGGCAAAATTTGTATGATCACGTATTACTCAAAACATATTCTTTCACATGAATAGTAATAAGAGCTTCCATTTCATTTTTTGAGAGGGGGGGGGGGGCGTTTCCAAAACTGGTCTTTACCTTTAATTAGTACGATTTTACATGTTTGGATGTTCATATCAAATGCTACTGGAAATTCTTCAAAAATCAGAGAGTAGTGACTAGTCAGGTCATATAGTGTGTGGTGGGTGAGTTTAAAAAATACTCTGGAAAATGATATCTGTTAAGTTACTGAAGATACACGAAGACTAAATTTTGTTGAATACTTACATTTCTTGGTTCGATGAATGGTATTGGTATATTCAATGGTTTCTGAACCTCTGTAGCCATGCTGAAATCACACAGTTTAGCCTTGTTGTTGAACGTAATAAGAACATTCTTGGCACATAGGTTCATGTACACGTACTAGAAGTAAAACAAGAAAAACACAAATTCCATTAATATCCTGATTTCATATAATTTCAGATGACTCAATGTCACTAATATAAATATAGAGTACATATACTTTCATTGATCTCAGTTTGATTATAACAAAACATGAAATAAGATCAATCTGATGGGCTAAGGCTCGTTCAGATACGACACAGTAATTAACCCACTGCATTCTTTAACTCTAATCATGCCACAGGGCTAATCCCCTTTGTGCCAAGCCCCAAATCCCCCCGTGCCAAGTTTATTTTGAGATAATTTTATTTACGCGATGGTTCTATGAATAACAATAACTACTGTTACGTATGCGTGCAAGCATGCACAAGGCACCGAAGCAATGGCTCGCTCGCATGTACAAAGCACTATTACGGTAGCGTGCATGCAGCTTTATGGCAGGCTATGAGTTAACTGTGTACGTGAATAGCAACTGCACGCAACAAAGGTCCTGCGCATATTTAGAGAGCTCTGTGTTATAAAATACAGAAATGTGAAGCCTATTACACTTCATGTCATCATAAAAAAAACGCTGCAGATTTGCCGCGTCATATCTGAACTCTATGGTTAACACATTCCACACAACAAAATTTTTTCTCTCCCAATAAAAAGAATAATATGGCAATATGATGAATAACACCTTGAAATTATGTCCTAATATCTAGTAAGAGATTGAAGCAAAAACCTTTCTTCCTACTAGTAATTAGGCAGTTTTCGCAACTGGCAACGCGGCCTTCTACAACGCTAATCTTCACGGGGGTTCCTCACTCAGAGCGAAAATTTCCACGTAGCATCCAACCCTAAGACAATATTCAGCTCTATGTTGGGAGTCGAGCTAGTACGGGGTGGCGAGCTCATTGAAATACCCCGTAGTCAGCACTTACGTCGCCGCGCGAAAAGTTCCTAGTGACTTACCCTAAGAGCAGCTATGTGTCGCATCCCTTGTGCAATATCACAAGCAAAGTTGAGTAATTCATCCTGAGGCAATGGTTCAAAAGGAGGTTGATCTCGCTTTCGACTACGACATCGACGAAGAATTCGCAGCATGTCACCACGAGCAACGTATTCCATCACCAGGCATGTTTGAACTAGTAGGGGAAAACATGCATCATATCATGGAGAGATTAGAAATACAAAGAAAGTTACAGTAATCATAGTAATTATATAATATGGAATGGCCTGAGGGAGATACAACATATATTTCCCAATCTAGACTCATATTGCCCCGAGTCAAAGACGAGGGCAATATGGGTCTTGTGAGGGCAATATATGTTGTATCTCCCAAAAGTTAAGCCAGTCAATTTGTTATCCAAATCAGACATCTAGAGCAAAAACATAAATCAGCCATGACAATCTCATAGAACTGAAAAAAACTTTGTCAAACCAGCACTGTGCATCCAGCGCTTTACAACATTTTCGATACACTGCAAACAGTGTACCTAATTTGGTGTGATTATTACGTCACAATAGAGTGCGTGCAAAGTGTGCAGGTTCTCGTACTCATAATACTCAAAATAGGGCGCAATGAAAATGAGACTTTATTTCCTGCTTTTTTAACATGTAAAATCCATAGGCTTTTCATGAGAGGGTAATACGGTCTCATATTTACTGATTATCTCTTTTAGGATTACAACAAGTGTAATATGATTTTGTAAAACCACTGCTCAGATGTCTGATATGGGTAATAATCATAATTATAAATCATTCTTATACAGTCAAACCTGCTTTAGTGACCACCTGTCTACAAAGACCACATTTTGTGTTTCCCTTGAACATGGTTTCTCATTGAAACATGTACTAAAAGAGCCTGTCTAGCTGAGATCACTTTTTGTGTTTTCTCTTGGGCGGTCGCTACAGACAGGTTAAACTGTATTAATCATTCCTTAAAGGTGCTCATCACAAATTTGACACACAATTCCATATGTCTCTTTTCTAACAGACTTAAAAGCGTTTCACCTACACAACCTATAACTTGTAATCTCTCCCTTATATCTGCTATTTAAAGAGCCATTTTTAATCTCCCCTATTCAAAAGATCATTGACTTCTCTTCCAATCCTCCTGTAACATAATAATAATAATAATAATAATAATAATAATCTTTTAAAGTCCACTCCAAATTTTATTAAACCGAAACGGAAATTCTTTTTGCCCAATTGATCGTGAGCCCGGCAGCCGCTGAGCAGCACCAGATCGACATCTAATTTACAGAATTAATAATCCCCTCACATATATACACGTAGGATGGTTAATCTCTATCAAATATTCAACATTATATCTATTTACCCTTTGTTTATGCCTCAGACGCACTGCCAAACTCACTTGAAACCCAATGACTCCTGGGCCTAGGATGTACTTTAATTTGTATTTGGTCTGTTTTCTGTAAGGTATTGTTCTCATTGATTTGACTGGTATCACACAGATATTTCCCTCTCCTCTTTACCCCGGCATCCCTTCACATATGTACCTGATTGTTCAAAGACTCTGTTGCATTGTCCTAGGAGCATGAGGATGTTTGGATGCTTGCCAAGGTTGGCTAGAACCTGGAATTCATTCCTCATTTCAGTTATCGACTCTTGATCATTCTCATCTGAAAAGAGAAAGAGAAATAAATACTTTTTACAGAATTGAAGGCATGTGCACACATGACACTGGGTAAAAATGTCCAAATTCCTTTGGAAATGCATAAAGACATTATATCATAATAATAATAATAATGGTTTCTTATATGTCCACCTCGTTGTGACGCTCCTGGCGCTGCCCAATTAATAACCTGGCTTTAGCAAGATGGCCATTAAGGCACTCTAGCATTTCAAGGAATTAATTCCTGCCAGGTACCCACTTCTATCACCTGGGTTGCAAGTGGCAAATGTAGATCAAAAGGACATTAGTGCCGCAGCGGGACTTGAATCGCGAACCTTGGGACACGTACCATACAAGAATGGTAGATAATTATTTTCATCCTTATTAGAGTGGAACAGACATATGAGAACTCAATCCCTACCGAAGACCAGCAGCCCTTTGCCAACATAACTTGAGGGATGATCAGTTTACTTCAGCAGTAGTTTGGCCAGGACGGATTAGACCTCCCTGCATGGTCACTGACAGGTGGTTATTTCATCAAATCAGCTCTCAATTTACATCAGAAAAAGGGGACCATGGGGGACCAATGGTCACCGCTAAGGCATTGTTTGCTATATAGAGGGTGCAAGTAGCTATAAGTAGTGCAGTGGGGCTTAAGGATTACTCACCTCTGTGTAGTTTAATAGCGACTTTGATTGGGACATCACTGCCTTGCTTGAGGTCTCCCTCACATACATATGAGAACTCTCCGCTGTAGAGTAGTTTGCCCATCTCCAGCTCACTCTCAGGAATGCTCCATTTCTCTTGAAGGTGTTGCGTTCGATGAGTAGCATTCCCATTCGAGATCAGGTAGATCTTAGATGCCCTTTTCTGTAATATCAACATTATTGTTTTCTGTTTAGTGTCTTTCTAACAGAATCATTTTTCAAACAAAAAACACAATTTATTGTGAATTTTTGAATTGCAGATTACTAGAAGGGATTAAAGAGAGGTTGAGGAAAAACATTTAAAAAACGAACTTATCATTTAAATCTTCTTTTTATCCATATGAAGTTGTAATGTGTTTGTTATTGAACCAGAGTTTATACTCAAGAACAGGTGGGGGTACATAAAGGGAAAATATCTAAGATTAGAAAATTACAAGTTACATGTATTTACGTTTCCTTAAAAGTCTGATATCTCAATGCTTTTGTTTTTAAAGGAGAACTAATATGTTGAAATGATTGCTATAGGTATATTACATGAAAAGGAATCAAACAGATGGACAAAAGTTACACACAAATATTTTACAATAATGCTTTGTAGTTTCATGATTTTGAACCACAAACTAAAAATTATTCAAGTTTGGTGGTCCATGAATGTCAGGGGTTCCCCAAGTACTGCAGCTTTTTAGCTCTGCATATAGATCAAATCAATGTAAGTAAACTAAAAATCTACCGGTAAGTAAAAATTACATTTTAAGATGAACTCACATTATAGACATCATAGTAGACCTCTCCATTATCTTGTTGATATTTTCCATCTGAATGACTAGGACCTGATGAACATAGAGGCTCTTGATGTATATGGCGCCATGTTGTCAACCACAACAGCAATAAGATGAAGAGAAGAAAGAGAACAGGAACCACGCACAGAACCCCAATGGAGATGATCGTACCAAGTGATAATTGCTTGGGCTGTGGATAGAAAAATAAAAATACCAAATTAATTTTCATCTTGATAATAATAATAATAACAATCTTTTCAAATCCACTCCAAATTTTATTAAGGTAAACCGAAAATGGAAATTCTTTTTCCCCAATTGATCATGAGCCCGGCAGCCACTGAGCAGCGCCAGATCGACGTTGCTCTATCCCTTATTGTTGAACGCCAAACAAGGTAGCAGCAACTCCCGTCTTTTAACGTCTTTTGGTATGATGCGGCCAGGATTTGAACCCATGACCTCCCGGTTGTGAGGCGGACATTCTACTGACTGAGCCAACACATAGCAGTTTCAAAACCTCCTAAGCAAGTACAGCTTTCGGGTGCACACCTCTACTTCTACAGCAAAGTACAGCAAGGATGTGCATATCACATGGCAGCCGAGAACCATGTCTACTCTTGATGAAAAGGCTTTTTATTTCTGCAGCACCATCTCTTTGGAATGCTCTTCCACTGAGGATCTGATCAGCAGAATCCCTCAAAACATTTAAAAAGAATCTAAAGTCATACATGTTCGCATGTTATTTTAGTTACTTATATGTTGAATGTACATCTATGCATATTTGTTCTCATTTCTCTATGTAACTCATTCTAATTCTATACCTTTGCGCCTCAAAATAGTTTACTAGATCGATGGTGCAAAACAAATGCTGTATTTATTATCATATACCGGTAATTGCATCAGCTTTTGTCCGTCATCCTACATGTATCACAAACATTGCTACCTGGGTTAAGAGCACCAAATACTGATTGATGCCTTGTTACAACAACATTAGTGACAGGGATAGGACAAAAGATTAAAGCTTGGAACATTAGATATTTAGATCCCATTTTCTAGTGATCTACAGATTAAGATGCTGATGTTGTTAGTTTTATCACTTTCAATATATTGTTACTTTCAGATTTATCGTAATCATCATCATGATCCATCATCCTCTTGATCATGGTTGTCGTCATGGTTGTTGTCGTTGTTGTAGTAGTAGTAGAAGTATTAGTATTAGTAGTAGTAGTAGTAGTAGCAGTAGTAGTAGTAGTAGTAGTATTAGTAGAAGTAGTAGTAGTAGTAGCAGTAGTAGCAGTAGTAGAAGTAGTAGTAGTAGTAGTAGTACATGTAGTAGTACATGTAGTAGTAGTAGTAGTAGTAGTAGTAATAGTAGTACTAGTAATATAAAATGTGGATGGACTAGTAGACATTCTCAAAACAAGAGTGTTTAATAATAAAAACAAGAAAATTATCAGATAAAAGAAATAATCTTTACATGCATTTTGTAGTATTACCGTAAGTGTATTGCTCAGGAATCAGAGAAACTCATTACCGGTACCGTATACAATTTACATCATGTGGCAGGTAATTTTATTACACATAGTAACATACAGAACAATTACAAACTTAATGTATATAACCTTTGTAATAAGATATTCAATTATAATCTACTACATACACATGTATATGTAGACAAATATATGAGCAGGATGTGATATCAGGGAGGTAAAATGTTAGGTTACTTAATTGTACCACAATCAAATATCTCATTGTGTTTGATAGAAATGAATAATCACACCCATTCCAAATATCATGTCAATCTGCTATAATCACCACTATATCCATTACTAGCTGTAGAAGGATAAGTTAACACCTATTCTCCAAATACATCATCCATCTCAAAAACCAATTATAACAACTACATGTCAAATTACAGAAATCATACACCTACAGTTGTGTGTATCTAAATGCCCGGTCTTAACGGTACAATTTGATTTTGTACCACTTTGTCAATCTTCAATAAAGGAACATAGTATAAAAATAAAAGAATTACACGATCACAGACATAATTATAAGTGTAGTAAGAGTAGTCCCGGTCATGGCTCATAACTGCCTAAGCAGAACATACAATACAAAACATACGGCATACATGTAAGACATCAAGATGTTATAAAACATGATGGCCGAGATCTTTAACAGTAGTTATTGTGTTCATGCCAAATACACTCTTAATCAAAGTGCTGCTATATAATGATTAGCAAACTTTGATAGAAAATGTATCTAAGTGAATTTAAACTCAGCTTACCCAATGTGCATCTAACACATAAAATGGCACCGCGATGAGAGATGAAACATTCATCATCTATAAGCCTAAAGATACCTGATTGAGCTATATCAATCTAATGGCCGACTATCTCATTAGTATGCATGCTTCATTTAATTAATCAATATTCATCAACAGACAATACAATCTCACACACATCATCCCGCGTATTGATAGATGAGTATTGTAAGCCTGCATGTCATAGATGTCAATGGGATGTCCCATTGTGATGGAAGTGTTAGAACTGTAATAATTAAAGAATGAGCTGTGTTTGATAGCTGTTACCTGAAGGAAACATATACAAGTAAATCTACATGACTGATACGAAACAAACACAATGCTTGGGTTGCAGCTGGAAGAGAATTGTGAGTATATATGACTATCAATGTTTACATTGTCTTTGTTTACATTCTAATTTAAATGTAGCTGTATCGCTGTTAAGGGAAGTGTTAGAACTGTAATAATTAAAGAATGAGCTGTGTTTGATAGCTGATGCATAGGAAACATATACCGGTACAAGTAAATCTACATGACTGATACGATGGGTGGCAGCTGGAAAAGAAATGTGAGTATGACTATCAATGTTTACATTGTCTTTGTTTACATTCTAATTTGGATGTAGCTGTATCGCTGTTGAGGTACACGTTTGTATCCCAGTATGAGTAGACTACATGTAATGATGATCTTTTTATACACAAATATTACTAGATGATGGGAAGCAAGATTTTCATAGAATACAATTAAAATTGATTTTACATTCTAATTTGGATGTAGCTGTATCGCTGTTGAGTTACACGTTTGTATCCCAGTATAAGTAGACTAATGATGATATACACAAATATTACTAGATGAAGAAAGTAAGATTTTCAAAGAATGCAAGGAAAATTGATATGAATTTTCAAAACTATTATAATACATCATCTGCAAAAGGACCATGTCGGGAAGAAAGAAAATGAAGAAGATCCATTAAGATGAAAAAGCTGAATTATAAAGACGTCTAAACATCATAAGATTTGATGATACAATTACATCTGTATATATTACCTTACATTATGTAGTTATGTGTAGTATTTAGAGTTTTCAGAGTATTTCAGTGTACCGGTGTTCATGATGAACCATCAATTCTCTCTCTCTCTCTCTCTCTCTCTCTGTTTCACAATCAGTTGCTGCTTTCAATTACCGGTATGTATATTTCCTTTCTTTTTTCTCCTTTTGGGGGGAAGGGGAGGGGGGGGGGGGTTTTAAACCTAGCGATGTCCTAAGGATTGTCATAGGAGTGACAACAATTGTAATCCATGATAATACACCATACACTGATACACTTCCTCCTTGGTAAGAAGTACACAAACACTGCTGCATAAAAACACAGTTGGGAATTAGACAGACAAACTGGGTTGGTTGAGTAAAAAAGGAATGCAGACTTAAAACCCCAAAACAGCCATTGTTCATTGCATGCATGGAAAGCTCTCACATGCATTTCTGCATGGATAGATGAACAGCATATAATATATACAGGATAACACTGGACAGTGATTGTATCAGACATTTTTTTCTCCCTTTTTGAGGAAAAAAAAAGAGATGCACATTTTAGTGTAGGGCATACATGACTGTATGAACACAACAAGCCTAAATCTCCTACCTTTCAATGGCCTAGATTCAATTGTATTTTCTTTAGAACATGTATATAACCACAATATCGGTACAGAAGATGTGCTTACTAAAGCTACAGTCCCATATACGTCCCGGACCGTCCCGGACCATCCCGGACCCCATCCGGGGTGATCCGGGATTCGGTCCGTGTTGACACCGTGTTGGCACCGGGGTGGTCCTGGATGGTCCTGGATGGTCCTGGATGGTCCGGGATGGTCCTGGGCGGTCCGGGAGTCAACCCCGGATGTTTTTGACGGTCAAAAACTGCCGGGGTGGTCCGGGACGGTCCGGGACAATAGTTTGATCCGGGGTGATCCGTGTAGCCACCGTGCTGGGTCCGGGGTCATCCGTAGTGGCGCCGGGGCGGTCCGTGTTGATCCGTGGCAGTCCGGGAGTGAGTTATTGACCGCCCAGGACAATCCAGGACCATCCAGGACCACCCCGGTGCCAACACGGTGTCAACACGGACCGAATCCCGGATCACCCCGGATGGAGTCCGGGATGGTCCGGGACGGTCCGGGACGTATATGGGACTGTAGCTTAAAAGCATCACACTTTTTTTAACAAAACATCCCGGACCATCCCGGATCACCCCAGACCATGGTCCGGGATGGTCCGGAGTGGTCCGTGCTCGTCCGTGCTGGTCCGGCTTTATATGGGACTGGGGCTTAAACTAGATGGAATTCGACTGCGCGCAGTCGAAAATGATGCCTCCGTCATAGAGCAATTCAAAACAGAAGAAATTTTTCGAATTCAATTTCAATTGTAATCCATTGACAGGTTCTCAGAATATCGTGATAACAAGCAATTTCTCATATACAGAATAAGCCCTTGACCTTTGACCTTATGAACCAAGAATCTACTCAGTTCATTGGCTCTGCATGTAACATCAAGACCTAATTTTGGCAGGATTCCATCAATCGGTTCTTGAGATAACGGGATCACGAGCTGTTTTTGCATACATAATGTGCGCTGTGGCCTTTGACCTTTGACCTCATGACTCCTAAATCTAATCAGTTCATTGGCTCTGCAAGTAACATACGTGACCTAAGTTTGGCGGGAATCCATCAATCGGTTCTTGAGATAACGCGATCACAAGCTGTTTTTGCATACATAATGTGCACTGTGGCCTTTGACCTTTGACCTCGTGACCCCAAAATCTAATCAGTTCATTGGCTCTGCAAGTAACATACATGACCTAAGTTTGGCAGCAATCCATCAATCAGTTCTTGAGATAACGCGATCTCGAGCTGTTTTTGCATACATAATGAGCCCTGTGACCTTTGACCTTTAACCTCGTGACCCCAAAATCTAATCAGTTCATCGGCTCTGCAAGATACATACATGACCAAAGTTTGGCAGGAATCCATCAATCGGTTCTTCAGATAACGCGATCACAAGAACGGGACGTACGTACGTACGTATGGACGGACGGACAACCCGAAAACATAATGCCTCCGGCTACTTCGTAATGGAGGCATAAAAACAACTGCATATTTGAAATAACAACATGAAAAAGAGTAAGATGAGTGTATATCACAAGGACTGCTGGTGATAAAAGATGTTTCAATCTAACTGCATTGTACACTGCAGGCAGTAGCCTCCCCCCCCCCCCCCCCCCCCCAATTTTTGTTTTTGCAGGGTACATTGTACATGCAGATTTGTTTTTCCCCTCCCACCACCTCCTTGTGTAAAAAAAGAAAAAAGAGCCAGGGAAAAAAAAATGGCATCTAAGAACATAGGGGTAAAATCAGGAAGAAAAAGAAGAAACAAAATCGGAAAAAAAAAAAATCAGGAAAAAAACAGAAAACCGATTTAAATTGGGTACAGGTAATTATCAGGCTTGGGTACATGTTAAAAATGAATGCAAGAAGCCACAACTCGGCCCCCCCCCCCCAAAAAAAAAAAACCCCACTTAAATCCTTCTTCTAGAACTACTCCTTATTCATGCAAAGTATGACTCAGCACTGACTGAAATGATTACTGGTGAGTATTGAGATGTATTTTGAAGTAACAACAAATTAAAAATCAAGATTTGTACTAACCGGTGGTGGTGGTGCAGGCGTAGTCATGTTGAATAGAGTACAAGTAAAGTCTGCATCTACAATAGTTTCACATATCTCGTTCTCATAGCATGGACTCAATGAACATGGATCGGTGTAAACCTCGCATCGTCTCCCTATAAAGATCAAAACAAAGTTTGAAATGAACAAGTTATCAACTAATCTATTACAGAGTAGTACATGCACAACCAGAGATAATTTACAATTACAGTTTTGCTCAGGAAATAATTTCTATCCTACATCGTACAGGTAGATTATATATAAAATATTGTATTATATATTATATTACATATTAAATATTATATCATATATTATATATTATATTATATATTACATATTATATGATATATATACATTTTAGGCCTTTAATAGACATTTAACAAGATGGAAGCAAACAAATTCAGAGAAACAGATTCATGAAAGTTGGAACAAAACGTACAACACCTACCGGTACATGTAATAAGATACTGTATGTATATATTTACAAAATCAAACCACTAATGATTTGGGAACCTCCTATTAGCAATGCAGTGAAGTTTACGTGCTAAGTATGTACAGACACACAACTAGAAAGATGAATAATATTTTCCTTGAATTGTTTACGACTTGAACAAACAGTAGTCCGTTACTACTTTTCTACATTATCAAATAATTGTTATCACCAGTTTCCATTCAAAGATATTGAGCAAAAAAAAATGTTTTCCACTCGTGTTCCACTCTAGCAGTTGTGAAGAAGAAATGATTTTACCTGAATGATAACAGTAGTCCTTAACTACTTTTCAACATTATCAAATAATTTTTATCACCAGTTTTCATTCAAAGATATTGAGCAAAGAAATGTTTACTCGTCTTTCACTCTAGCAGTTGTGAAGAAGAAATATGATTTTACCTGAATAACCTGGTCTGCAGTCACACCTATAACCTCTAGCACTGTCATCTAAAATACAATCTCCATTGTCTAAACATGGTTGATAGCGGCAAGCTCTTTCATCATGAGCATCCCTGGGAATGCGAGTCCCTCTCTCAGTAGAGCTTTCTAGGGTCGTTGAGTCTGTATCCTCGTAGACTGTAAATAACTCTGTAATCAACTCGGTGATTACTGGTGAGTATTGAGATGTATTTTGAAGAGGTTCTGTCGCTGTATCATTGGATGCTGCTGTGAATGATATAATGGATAATAAATTCATAGAAGTCGTATCAATCAATATTTATATGAAAATGATTGCTTCATTATCCTCATTAGCTCATTTACTTCAACAGAAATTTCATCAAATCAACATTAATTTACTGTTACACATCCTGATAAAGAAAGTGGACTTGCACCTGTGGGAATGTTTGTATAATTAGCAAGTGGATTAAATTCATGAGTTTCATCACTTTAATATATCACAAAAATAATCAAAATCATCAAATCTTACCTTAAAGATAAACTTGAGTTCTGGTAAAAAAAGAAAATGAATTCTCACAGAATCTAACGAAACTTGCACTGAATGTTCAAGATTACAAATAAATGTCATGTGCAAAACAATTTTGGAAGAAAATGTATACTGGCTGAGTAATAAGCATAGAAAGATAAGGAAATCAGGGTAGTACTAGCCCCGACACCATGTGTGTTGTCCCATATACATCTTTCTGTGTAAGTGATTGTTACTTTACCAAGACTCTGCCAAATTTATAATGATTTTGATGACTCCAGAACCTTGCATTACACACCATTACTTACATGCTATATGATCAACTTTTCTGATCCATTCCACACCTTTTCTTTCACAATGCAATCGCATTACCAGAACTCAAGTTTATCTTTAAATGTGAATTCATACATTTTGCAAAGTTTGCCTTGCAAATGGGTGTTGCTTTCAAATCAATGAGAGTTTCTAGTTTTTTTCAGTGAATAGAGGTTCTACTCATGATTTTAATGAATAATATTTGCTAGACCTACATGTACTATCCCATATATCTAGAAGAAGAAAAAAACATATACATGTACTCTATATTCATGGCATAGGATGGATGCATCCAATCATTGAGGAGAGGGTGCATACTTTTCATATTGTCTCCCCTTCCCCAATCTTTTTTTTGTTTGCCCTTCAAATAGGGGCACCTATCCTAGAGGTCCCAATGCGCCCCCGGTAGCTACACCACTCCGACATGCCAAGAACTTTCTCAAAGTCTAAAAATGATTTCCCAAGTTTTGGACATGAGGTACTGTGGATATATTAAAGGAAAGATTCTTTGTTTTACACTACTAATAATAATAATAACGGTAATAATCATCATCAATGATCATTAGTTTCAATTTTTCCATTTCAGTTTCATTTATTTCTCCTCAACAGATAAAAATACATACATGTATAAACAGACAAATGTATGACAATACATAGGATAAAAAGTGAGGAAGGCAGTGGCCGAAAAGGAAACAAACCTTGTCAGAGGCCAACCCTTTCAGAAAACAAGATATAATACGTAACATCAAAAAAACATCAAAAACATCCTCATCATTATCCTCATCATCATCCTCATCATCATCCTCATCATCATCATCATCCTCATCATCATCCTCATCATCATCATCATCATCATCATCATCATCCTCATCATCATCATCATCATCATCATCCTCATCATCACCATCATCATCATCATCATCATCATCATCCTCATCATCATCATCATCATAATCACCATCATCATCATCATCACCATCATCATCATCACCATCATCACCATCGCCATCACCATCATCATCATCATCATCACCATCATCATCATCATCACCATCATCACCATCGCCATCACCATCGCCATCACCATCGCCATCACCATCATCATCATCATCATCACCATCATCATCATCATCACCATCATCACCATCGCCATCACCATCGCCATCACCATCATCATCATCATCATCATCACCATCATCATCACCATCATCATCATCATCATCATCACCATCATCATCACCATCATCACCATCGCCATCACCATCGCCATCACCATCATCATCATCATCATCATCACCATCATCATCACCATCATCACCATCGCCATCACCATCGCCATCACCATCATCATCATCATCATCATCATCACCATCATCACCATCGCCATCACCATCATCACCATCGCCATCACCATCGCCATCACCATCATCATCATCATCATCACCATCATCATCACCATCATCACCATCGCCATCGCCATCGCCATCACCATCACCATCATCATCATCATCACCATCATCATCATCATCATCACCATCGCCATCACCATCGCCATCACCATCGCCATCACCATCATCATCATCATCATCATCATCACCATCATCATCACCATCATCACCATCGCCATCGCCATCGCCATCACCATCATCATCATCATCATCATCATCATCACCATCATCATCACCATCATCACCATCGCCATCGCCATCGCCATCATTTACTCAAATGTTCAACATACAAACCTGTACACTGTACCCTGCAATTTGCAGGTTGTAATACACCTGTTAAATCTTGAAAATCAAAGTCTTACCAAGTAATGAAGACCAATCTACCTTGCACCAGTAATACCAGCACTAATGAGAACCCCACCCAGCATAAATTTAAGTTCAAATCTTTGCTTCCTCACCGAGATAAGAATCTTAATTGTTTACCAATCTACTTCGAGATAGGTCAGTCTTGAAAACCAAGTAAATATATACCAGTATGACATTTTAACATTTTGACTGCCAAGTGCCAACACTTGTAATGATGGGAGAAAGGAAAAGAAAACTATACACATGTACAAGTTGAAGGATTTACAGATCCTGTTTCAAATAAAGGTGGAGCAGAAAATCTACTTGTTCAAGCTTAATGCTAATATTGCAAATTCATATTTCAATAATATTTGTGAGTCTATGACCTACAATTGTTCATAATGCACATAGTCTGAATAGCTCTTACAAAGTACATCAATATAACTAAGGCCAGCATTTAATGAATACATTAACCCATTAAATACTAAGCTTGAGATTTAAAGATAAACTTTAGTATCGGTACTGGTAATGCGATTGCATTGTGAAAGAAAAGGTGTGGAAAGGATCAGAAACAGTTGATCATGTAGCATGTAAGTATTGGTGTGCACTGCAAGGTTCTGGAGTCATCAAAATCATAATAAATTTGACCGAGTCTTGGTAAAGTAACAAGCACTGTACACAGAAAGCTATATATGGGACAACACACATGGTGTCGGGGCTAGTACTACCTTGATTTCCTTGTCTTCCAATGCTCATTACTCAGCCAGTCTACATTTTCTTCCAAAATTGTTTGGCATATGTCATTTATTTGTAATCTTGAATATTCAGTGTAAGTTTCGTTTGATTCTGTGGGAATTAATTTACTTTTTTTTTACCAGAACTGGAGTTTATCTTTAACTCTGACAGAACTCTATGAAAATTCTTGCTACATGTAGAATCCACTAAAAAAAAAAAATCCAACAGTTTTAATACATGATAGTTTATGCTATAAATTTGAAGGCCGTATACATATACAGTGCACAGCAAAGTGGGTAAGGAAGGTTAAAGCAATTCTATATTTTGTGATCAACTAGTAAAGTATTGATCTACTAACAGATGGTATGGGAGCATTGGGAGCACTGGGAGGTGCCCTGAATTATCAACTACAGTGTAGTCTACACTCACAAACTCTTTTAAAGAGAAGGTTGAGTTCTAGAAAGAGGAGAAAAATAATGTGTGAGCATTATCATTGTATTATGGAAGTGCGGAAGAACATCAGATAAGACATGTTCCCTGAAAAGCAGCATGGCTCTTCAAATGCCTAAATATTCTAAATATGGCATGTAACATCATAAAAATCAGGACAGATTTTTATGCCACATGTTCATGCAGTCCTATACACATCTTTCTGTGTACAGTGCTTGTAACTTTACCAAGACTGGGCCAAATTTCTTATAGTTTTGATGATTCCAGAATACGTATATGCTAGATGATCAACCTTTTCTGATCGATTCCACAACATTTCTTTCACAATGCAATCGCATGACCAGAACTCAACTCCATCTTTAAGTGCAGTAGTTTAGAAATTAGACCAGGGCCCATTGATACATCTTACATAGAAGAATTATTCAATAATCCAAATTTAAAAGCAAGTATGCTCTACATCATACATGTACATTTGTATATATATATGAAGTTTAGTCATTATAAAACATTTATACAATTACACATTATCTCGTTGTTCTTGTTACTGTACGTGGGCACAAGCTTTTGGTTTTTAATATTGAGTTATTGGCTTCCCTAACATGAGACATCAATGTTATTATAATGACAATCTGAGCCTGCAAACTAGTAAGTACCCTATTTCATGTGACAGAAAATGGAGAAACTAAGAAGTCACATATCAAACTTTTTCCTCCTTTTAAAATCTGGTTGTTTATACATGTAGTATTGAAAATACTTTAAATTTGCCATACAATAATCTGTAATTTTGGTCAGCTTTATAGTGAAAAAGGCAGAATTAGATCAGAATACCGGTAACAGATTTAGAGTGCATCAAGTATCCTTTGTTTTGGAAAACTTACAGTAAAGTGTACAATTTTGCAAATGAACAATGAAAGAGTAGATTGGAAGGGTTGACAATAACCCTAGTTTCTACTTTCTAGTGATTATGTCACACTAACAACATTAGAAACAATATAACTGGGAAACAGAGAATTAAAATATAGTCTAGAGAACAGTTATTTTACTACAATTTTTGTATCTTACCGGTACTTTAAATACTTTCAACAAATCTTATTCACAATTTGTCAGCTTGAATCACTTTTAACTATGATACTGTAATATGCATGTATATGCCTGCAATGTACATCACATTGCTTTGCTACAGGAGGGGAAGAGAACTCACTACTTAAATATTTGGAAAGTGAGAGGAGAACAAACAAAAATCTGAAAAAGGCTTACTGGTAAATGAAATATAACAGCCTACACTGCTACAATGTAAACATTTAGTGTGTTGCTGAGTGTAATATTTACATGAAGGACTGCATGGACCCAAAGTATAAGAAATTTAATTACGGCATAAATTATTGGTTTCTTATTTCATTTCTGAATCTCATTTGGTTCCTTGTAGAATGTTGGGATAGTTATAGTGAGTGAAAGAGAGGGACAGAGAATAAATATATATTCAAGCAACCAAAACATTGCATAGCCCGTCGAAGATTACTAGAAGAATGCGACAACATATACATCATGTAAAAGCTGCTAATGATAGGCATGATCAAGATATATAGACCGGCATCTACATGTAAGTATATCAGCTTGTACTGTAAACAAAAATTACCAATATGCTTTAGATTTAGGCAAGTCTCAAAGTGTCAAACAATTTCATTTCATTTTATTTATTTATTTATTTTAAAACGGTAACCCTCTCAGCAAAAACAGATGTTGGTCAGAAGTCTGTGTGAACAAATTATAATAAAAACTAAAGCCAGTAACAAAATGTAACAAAACAAAAACATATGCAATACTAAACATATCATATCAAAACAAAGGAAAACATAATTGGCTTGATCTAGTAACTTATACAAATAAGAAAGAAATCAAAGATATCAAACATATTTTATCATAAATGTACAGAAAAATACAAATTAACAATAATAAATAAAAAGTAAATGAGAATGTTATTTTAAGTAGAGTCTGTTGACTGTCCTCCCTATGGTCAACCCCCCCCCCCCCCCCTCCTCGCATTGTGTATTACCTACAACATGACCGTGTATAGGTGGTGACACAACATGTGCTTTTCTAATAAATATCCAGATATATACTGTACATTTTAGTTACATGTAGGTAAAGCCATAGGCCATAAGCACACTGTAGATGAGTATAATAATACCAATATTCATTGCTTACTTTTCTATTTATATCCGAGTACTGACTATAAAAGTAATTCTCCATGCAATTAGTGTTTATTAATCTAATGTAGTAAACTTAGACTAGTGATTTAATAGAACGGATGATAGGCCTTCTTCGTGATTCTGACAGCCCGTCCACAGTCATACCACACCCATCACGACACAAGAAACATGACAAACATCGCATATGAACTCCCGGCTCCCTTGTTTTACAACTCACTTCAACACACGAACTTTTCACACATTAGTTTTCCTACCGACTATAAACTTACTTGTTGTGACTATTGTTGACGAGTTCTGCGAGTGGATTGCCACCGGAATATAACACACCCAAAGCAACCAAAACACCCCCCGTACTCTTCGTAAAGGTGCCATCATCTGATCGTATTAGAATCATCAACATATCATAATCATATCTAGATTCATCAATCGGTGACAGATCAAAACTGTTTAACAAGACAGCTGTGTTATTCAGTGGACGTGTAAACACCGTGCACGCATGCAAGTCTAGCACTGCGTGTATTCCGCCAATGCGTAACAGGTGTTTTGATATTCTTTACAAAGTTTCTCGATTTGGGATCTAACACAGTGACTCATTCAAAAACCCATGTAAACGGCTGGAGCGTATTAGCGATCGATACATAATGTGTTACGTCCCTATACCTCCCCTATTATTATGGGCGTTCTACTCTTCACTATGTGGGCGTTCTCTTGACTATGCCGACTTCTCCGATCTATATTATTCTTTCATTTTGTTAGCCTATCTCTTCTTTACCAGTAGGCCTACTGAATTTTGATTTCACAGCTTAATTGTTTACATGAGTCTGATTTGTTGTAAGTTGTACCAATATGTATGAAATATGTTGTCTCGCATAATTGTGAGCAAGGCGCATCCAGAAATGGGCGTATTATTCCTCTCTCTCTCTCTCTCTCTCTCTCTCTCTCTCCCTCTCTCTTCCTCTCTCTCTCTATATCTATCTAACTATCTATCTAACTCTCTTGACAGGGACTACCCTACTGCAAGTGTTGGTCTTTATGGGTTTTCTTTACGTCTAACAGTCCTAGCCGGAATTGAATTGAAAATTATATATAATATATTACTCAAAAAATTTGAAAAGATTAAAAGGGAAACTACGCATACACAGGCATGACAGTCCATGATGCTACTAACATTTAAAAACCCGACGTTCATCTTTAGCTTTTGTTCATAGGGTCGAAACAAAATAAGTTAATTGAATCTGAAGTCTATATAATATATGTTTTGCTAATCTACAAAGAAAAGTAAAAATATTATATATAGTTACTCTAAGTTGTTCCTTTGTAATAGACGTGATCTAGACAGACACAAGGTCGGGCTTAATTGAATGTTAGAGTAGTTGACAGGAGGCTTACGAGACCGACATGTCAGTCTCGTGTCAATCCTCAGAAAAAGGTTATTGGAAGGCCCACGGATCCGACATATAAATCGGTCAAGTTCGTGAATTGTTAGTCTTGTGAACTGAACAGTCGATCCGTGGGCCATCGATCTCAGGAGGTGTGTCTGGGCATAATACTGATGACATCTAGCCCCCCCCCCCCCACCCACTGGCACAGTCACATTCATGACAAACCGGGATTGTATAGTATGTTGTTTTTTTGTATTTTTGTATTTTATTTATTTAATCACGGTTAAAAAGCCTGCAAGGCCGTGAACAACAACAACATAACAAGTAAACGAATACAAAATTATATACAAAAGAAATCACAAAAATTATCATAACAACATAAGATGAAAACAAACAAAATGAATTAAAAGTTACTTGGATAACAGAAACGATGGAGGGGGTGTATTATTTAAGAGAGGGATATAAGACGTGCGAATGTTCCCAGGCTATTTTCTAATCGGATGTTTGCCGGTAGGTTATTGACAAGTTTTGAGGCTGAATAGAGAGGGCTCTTTCTGAGGTAATTTGTATGTGGTCGTGGCGCAGTATAAGGAGGGCGCTCCATCACTAATAGTGGGGGCTGTTAGGGCTAAATAGGGGTTGTTTGGTGCAAATTCTTCTAAAAAACACCAAATTGGGCCCAGAGGTAGATTATACCATACTGTTACGATTTCTGCCGGACGCCAAGAAGGGCACCCTCTGGGTATGCCATATTGGGCAAATCCAAAATGGTCGCCATTTGAGTTAAAGGTCAAGTGTAGTTCCAAAAGAAAAAGCGCTTGTATGATAATAGTTTATTATGGGGTTTTGGGGGTCAGAGAATCTGATTTTGATGTTCTTTCATCGATTTGAGGTCTCCTTGGGGCTGCCATACTGGTCATATTGGTAAAATCCAAAATGGCCATCATCTGATAGTTACAGGTCAGGTGTAGTTACGAAAGGAAATGGGCTAGTATGATAAAAGTTTATATATTTATGGGTTTTCGGGGTCAGAGAATCTAATTATGGTATTGTTTCATCGATTTGAGATCTCCTCGGGTCATACTGGTAATATTGGTCAAATCCAAAATAGCCGCCATCTGAGTTACAGGTCAAGTGTAGTCACGAAAGGAAACGGGCTAGTATGATAAAAGTTTATACATTTGGGGTTTTCGGGGTCAAAGAAACCGATCATGATGTTCTTTCATCGATTTGAGGTCTCCTTGGGGCTGCCATACTGGTCATATTGGTAAAATCCAAAATGGCCGCCATCTGATAGTGTCAGGTCAATAGTAGTTCCAAAAGGAAAAGAGCTAAAATGATAACAGTTTATGTATTTATGGAGTTTTCGGGGTCAAAGAATCTGGATATCATGTTCTTTTACCAATTTGAGGTCTACTTGGGGCTGTCATGCTGGTCATATTGGTCAAATCTAAAATGGCTGCCACCTTTGAGTAAAAGGTCAATTGTAGTTCCAAAAGGAAAAGGGTTAGTATGATAAAAGTTTATATAGTGAGGGGTTTTCGGGGTCAGAGAATCTGATTATGATGTTGCTTGTATCAATTACAGGTCTCCTTGGGGCTGTCATGCTGGCCATATTGGCCAAATAAAAAATGGCTGCCATCCGAGTTAAAGGTCAATCGTCGTTCCAAAAGGAAAAAAGACCAGTATGATGAAAGTTGATAAATTCATGGGGTTTCCGGGGTCGGATAATCCGATTATGATGTTCTTTTATCAATTTTATGTCATCATCCTGTCCTAAGGCTACAATGAAGTACATTTCCTGGTTGAAGAAGATGAGGGTATAGATGCGCCAAATTCACACTTGAGTGGGTATAAATCTTGGCCTGCGCCTATATGTTTCATCCACCGCTCAAAATATACGGGGGCGGTGGGCGATTCGCCCTCGTGAGCTACATAATCGCCCCCGTCAGGTTGCTCAAGGGGGCGATTGCAAAATTAAAAATCGCCCCCGTGGAATTATAAAATAAAGATTATCTTTTCTGTTATAACTTTAACACAATATTGATTTTCAATTTCCCAATGAAATGGAACTTAGATTAGCGTGCAAGATTTCTCGTTCTATATGAGTAGGCCTATTATTACCGATTCAGCTCACAGTGCCGCCGTCAGCAGTGGTTATAGGCCTACTGCGCCGTTAGTAACGGTACGTGTGCACGCTGCCGCGCCATGTCTGCTGGAGCTATGGAGGCGATCGCGCAAGTTTTTCGTTGTGAAAGCGTAAACCCGCTGAAATCTGATGATTTCAAATGACCAGCAAATAATGAACCTCGACCAGTAAATCAATATTAGGGACTTTTAGATGTGCACGATGAGAACGTGGACTGAAACGTGTGACCTCCTTTTAAGGCACTGCCAGTGCTTAAAAGGACGTGACGTGTGGCTGCCAGTGCCTTAAAAGAACACGTCCACGTCCACGCAAATCTAAAAGTCTCTATTCAGAAGAAGAGGAAGACCAAGATGTCGTGGAATGATATGGTAACATGGGCAGATCTACGGGGGGGGGGGGGGGTTAGGGGGTTTAACCCCTCCCCCCCCCCCGGTCCCCTTGGGCTGCCAAGTGAAAATGTGATGTGCATAGAAAAACGCCAGGTCGACCCACACAGTAAGATGTTAGTAGATGCCAGGAAAACAATACGGGGGTTCAAAATAGCAACAACAAAAAATCGCCTCGCCGCTATGCGGCTCGTGGACGAAACATCACTTACGGGGGTCCTAAATCAGGGGCGGATCCAGCCGGCGGCAAGAGGGTGGGGGCCAAATCTTGAGAAAATATTTAGCGGCGAATCAGCCAGCCGGCGATCGGCGAATGAGCGGAGGGGGAGGGGGGGGGGGGGGCTGGATAAATGCACATAGTATATTTGTTTTTTGGGGGGGTCCAGTTTTTGGGGAACATTTTTGCGCCGACTCAGCCGGCCGGTGAATATTACAGCGGGGGGGGGGGGGATGCTGGAGAGGAGGACCACTAATTTATTTATTTTTTCAGGGGGGGGGGGGAGGTGAAGCGCCGTTTTAGCATGACTTTCTTTTTAACACTTACTTTCACCTATCTCAGATAACCCTAAGCTTTTGGTTGCTGCTTTATATGTAGTTGATAATGCATGATTAAAATAAAGAGAGAGAGAGAGAGAGAGAACCACCATCATTTTGCAATGGTTCAGGGTTAGTGAAATGTACATTTGAAACCATATCTTAGCGTCTCAACCCTAAAAAAATAGCGAAACTATTTTTGAGGAAAAGCATCATACTGAACTGAATAAAGAATAATAGCTTTATATTGGCTCATACTAATACTGATACGGGCTAAAGACAATGTGGTATTTGTATAGAGGTATTCCAAAATGACATTCTGATAATCAACATTTTGTTCTGGTATCATTATGTATATACGCATAATACAACTGATCTTTCTGATTTCTTAACGTGACATAGCTTCTTCTCCCCCTGCAAACAAAAAAGAAAACAAGGTTATTTAATAAAAGTATCATGCGACAAATAATCATTGTGATTCAAATTGATGCAAGGATTTTTTTTTTTTTTAATAAGCAATGCTTTTCACCAGAATCTTCTTTGTAGAAACGACTTTTACAAATCTCAGCCATGCAATTCTGCCACTGTGTTGTAAGATCACTTTCAGATGTGCTTAGATTAGCAAGTGTGCGCTTGTAAAAATGACGCCTGGCTGGAATGCTCCCCAGGGAGTGGAGAATGTGCATACATTGTGTGCGGGTAAGCCTGAATCCGATGACCGGGGTAATAATATATATATTTCTGTAAAGCGCTTTGAGAGGGCCTTCGGACCTGAAAAGCGCTATATAAAAACTAGCTATTACTATTAGGAGAAGTGTATTCTTTAATGAGTATTTTACATTGAATGGAACGTCTCAACTCAGTAAGCATGGCTGAGATTTGTAAAAGTTGTTTTTACAAAGAAGATTCGGGTGAATAGCAGTGCTTATTCAAACAAATATTCGCATCAATTTGAATCACAATCATTATTTGTCGCTTAATCCCTTTTAACGACCTTGTTTTCTTTCTCGTTTGCAAGGGGAGAAGAAGATTATGTCACGTTAAAGACATCATAAAGATCAGTGTTGTATGCGTATATATACACAGGCCCCGCGGAACGTTTATCAAAGTGGGGGGGGGGGGGGGGGCTAAAGTATTTACGATCAGGTAGA